AAACACGCGCACTGTGTTCTCACCTTGATCTCTGCATTAAAGGAGTTCTTGTCCTTTTGTGTGTGCCAACCCACACCTGCCCCACCATCTGCCCCCAGCCCAATGTTGATCTGAGGGAAACAAGACAAGAAAAGCAACATAGAATTGTGAATAGAACCAAGTTGGGGAAATTAAGTGTAGACTACCTAGGTAGACATTTGCACCTCCAGGCGTCTACCACGGATGATTCTTACACAAGAGAAGCAAGTGGCACGAGCGAGAAGAGCACACATATTTGCAGATTTTCAGGAATTATAAGCAAGCAGACATGCTAGTAGAAATGCTGACGAGCAAGCAGACCGGGAGCAGATTAGCGTACGGATGCAGCAGTGGATTCAGTGATCTGAGACGTCCATGAATTGGCCAATGAGAGCGAGCCGTCATCAGCATGCCACGTCACCCCTGCTGTCGCATTGGTGGCCGGCGACACTTGTCTGCACATGGGGGCGGGCGAGAGGTAGTGAAGAATACAACGAGATGGCTTCTTAAGCCCCAACGGCAGGAGTAGGAAAGGTGGGACAAGCGGGACATTTGAACCCTTGAGACATAAGGGAAGACTTTTACTTGATCCCCACCACGACCACCAGCTCGCCTGTCTGGTACGCATCCATCTGTCTGCACAGCGCTGCCAGTGCATGCAGGCAGGTATCAACCCACGGACCATGAGTACTTACCTGGCAGTGGAAAGAGTGAGCTGGGTACGGATGCCCACCACTGCCACCAGCTCGCCAGTCTGGTATGCGTCCATCTGCCTGCGGAATACTGCCACCATGGACCCTCCCCCTGCCACGCGCCTCATGAGCATGGAGCCCCCCAGAACAAGGGTGTCTTTATCTGATAGCGCCGCCTGCACCTGCGTTGACATCTGCATGCTGGGAGGGGAGAAAAGAGTGGGTTCACGAATGGGGTTGGGCGATCGAGGTGGGGAGGGGGCGGGAAGCAGCGACAACACTCGCTCGGCAGTGCTGCAGCGAGCCGGGAGTGCAACAACGAGCAGAAGGAGTGCAAAAGAGAGCAGAAGGAGTGCAAAAGAGAGCAGAAGGAGTGCAAAAGAGAGCAGAAGGAGTGCAAAAGAGAGCAGAAGGAGTGCAGCAGCGAGCAGAAGGAGTTTCTCGGCTCGCAGTTGCACTCCCCTGCACTCCTCCAGCTCACAGTTGCACTCCTTCTGCTCGCTGCTGTACTCTTCCACCTGCACCTGCGTCGACATCTGCATGCTGGGAGCAGGGTTTTGGAGTCAAGGTTTAAGGGGGGAAAGGGGGTGTGAATAGGGGGTTAATGCAGTAAGGAGGAGCATGGAGCTCCCCAGCACGAGTGTGTCCTTATCTGATAGCGGTGCCTGTACCTACGTCGACATCTGCATGCTAGGAGCAGGAAAAGGAATGTCAGAGAGCAAGCGTGGAGGAGGAGTGCTGAGTGCGCATAGCTCCTTACAACCCTTCTCGTCCCCTTTGCGCCTACTCTCCTACATCCAATCAACACATACCCAGTGATCCTAGGAAAGCGCTCGAATCCCGATGCGATAGCATCAGCGGCAGTGACAGAGAGCAGCATTGAGGAGGAGTGCTGAGTGCGCATAGCCGCCTTGAGCTCCTCCCTCCTCCTCTGCGCCCGCTCCCACTCCTCGCGAATCTCCTGCCTCGTGCGCAGGTGTGGACCCAACTCCATGCCTGACAGCACGCCCTCTATGCCGTACAGATCGTACACCTGTAGAGAGTGCGGTGGAGAGTGATGGAGAGAGGTGGGGAGAGGTGCGGAGAGATGCGGGGTGGTGGAGGGAGGTAAGAGACCTTGCAACCTCAACACCTATTCTCTCTGTTGTTGTCACAGCTGCTTCTTTCTTTGCCGGGTCAAAATCACATCGTACGCGAGTTTGAATTGCAAGACCTCTCAAAGGCTTCAAGCGCAGGTTACCACCCTTTATTGTCACACTCACATACCATCATGACCTTCTCACACACCTATCGCTTGGCCGGATCAGAAAGCACTTTGTACGTGGATCAAATTGCAAGAGAACTAAGAGATTACCACCGTTATTGTCATACTCGCATACCGTCACGACCTTCTCACACACCTGTCGCTTGGCCGGATCAGAAAGCACTTCGTACGCGGATCGGATCCGCTGAAAGTGGTCCTTGGCTACATCTTGCATCTGTTACAAGTAGCGAGGGGGGAATATAACGGGGAATGACCCCTTGCGGAAGAATGGCGGCGGCGAGGTGGGTGCGGGAACGTGACTGGAAGCATCTAGAGGTCCAAAAGCGAAGAACTGCCATTAGCTGGAAAATATGTTCATGCTGACGGTGCTAAATGGTAAAGCGGTCGAATTTGAGTGGTCACCGGCTGACCTGCGGAAAGGGGTACTTGTCAGGGTGGTAGACGGACGCGAGCTGCCGATACGCGCGTTTCAGATCATCGTCGGAAGCATCGCGTGAGACGTGCAATAGCGCGTACAGATCGGTGTGCGGATCCGTGCTGCCAGATCGTGCGCTGCTTCCGTCTCTAATGGGGGGAGGATCGTCGTATCCCGCCATTGCTACCACTCCGGTGGATCAGGCAAAACCACAGCACCTCCGGACCTGATTCTATCGAGGATTTTTTCAATCTTGAAAAAAACCCAGCGTCCAGAGATATCCAAGTGGCTTTTTCAAAATTTACGCTGGCCGATCACCAAAAGCGGGAGCCATGACGAACAGCAAGCAAAAGCTCACGCAGAGCACACGCAACCACGAAAATGGAACATGCTTGCTGGGTAGGTATCCTTGGTTAGGCACGAGCTTTATGGAGGAGCTGGGATGTGGGGTGTGAAGCGAGAAGAACCGCACTAAAACCTACAGCATCGCCTTTAGCCAATTTGTTCGACCTTTTATGCTGAACCAATCTCAAGGGGGAAACTCTGGTCCGAGTCCGCTTTCAGGGAACTAGCATCTCGCCAAGTTCCGGTCCCTAAAATGCAGAATTCGTAACAAGGGTACATTTTCGGAGTCAAATCGAAACCAGTGAGAATTTGTTACCACACAGGAGTACAGCTCCAATTGTCAGGCATCGCCATTCTGGACAAGTCTGAAAGCAGTTCCGAATATTCCCAAGCTCAGCCGCAGAGAGAAATCATCCACCGACCTAGACTGCAATGGAAACCAATTGAAACGCAGTGAAACGTACATCTGCAACATCTACATCTTCAGCAGTGTCGCTCCAGTCACAAATCCGTTTCCTCCCTCAATCCATTCAACTTCCGTTTCCACTAATTAGGTCACCACTTGACTTGAGCCTGGTTCCTGCACCTAGCCTGACGTTTTGAGAGTTTACAGGAATGTAAGGCCAAGTCTCGTAGTCTCGTTTTACTAAGAAGGACATGTACGGCTTTCGGCGATTTTAACATTCACGTTAGAATTGCTCAAATCCACCATTTCCGCCCATCTCTTTCGCTAATTCCACGCGATGACGTCCAGCAGTTTCCTCCTGTCACTTACCGTGATTGTTACGCTGGTGGTTTATCTGGCGACGACGTCAGAGCTTGCGTCAGCACAGTGCAGCCACGGCCATGACCATTCCCATGACCACGGGCATTCCGATCACCATGACCATGGTCACATGCATGGTGCTGGCGCTGGTGGATCATGGTCGTCTTGGGAAAATCTAGGTGCGTTCAGAGAATTGCTTCATTGACTACACCTTGAATTCGCCTTTTGGAGCAGTAAATCTGCATTCTGGAAGACTGAATTTGCGTCTTTGGAGGGTAACGATTAACCTTCTGAAGCATTGTAATGCCTTTCGGAAGGACTGATACTGCATTCTGAAGAAATGAAATTGCATGCTCAAAATCGTAGGACTGATATTGCTTTCCAAAGCCACAGTGATGTCACATCAACATGAAAGGTTAATCTAGGTTGATTTGATCCTCTAACACGCTTTTTCTCTTCCCCTTTTCGCCCCCAACACCATGTACCCTCTCCTTCCCCACCCACAATTGTAAAGAGCATGCAGCAGATGAGCACAAACACATGCATGCACACTCACACAACGAGCATGACCATGGGCATGACAGGCATGACCATGGGCATGGGCATGGGCATGGGCATGGGCATGGGCATGGGCATGGGCATGGGCATGGGCATGAGCATGGGCATGGGCATTCACATCAACACCACCACCACCACCACCGTCACTCCCACGAAGCAGCGAAACTGAAAGGCGAAGCACAAGCAGCGAGGAGAGAGAGGGAGCGAGCGTCAGGGTTCAGGCACCCGGAGGAGGAGGCAGAGGAGAGGGCGCTGCTGGAAGCAGAGGAGGACGAGGAGGAGGAGGAGGAGGAGGAGGCGGGTACGCCCATCTGGAGCATGGATTCGAAGATGCTAGGTACGCCCATGGATTCGAAGATGCTAGGTACGCCCATGGATTCGAAGATGCTAGGTACGCCCATGGATTAGAATTCGTTAGCTGCTTTTGCCGCTCTTTTCCACTTCCAGCAGCAATTCCTCTCGTCTCCTCTCCTCTGCTCTCCTCTCCTCTCCTCTCCTCTCCTCTCCTCTCCTCTCCTCTCCTCTCCTCTCCTCTCATCTCCTCTCATCTCCTCTCCTCTCCTCTCCTCTCCTCTCCTCTCCCCTCCTCTCCTCTCCTCTCCCCTCCTCTCCTCTCCCCTCCTCTCCTCTCCCCTCCTCTCCTCTCCCCTCCTCTCCTCCGCACTGAATCAGATCGTCATTACCCATGCCCAACGCCCCCGAACCCCCTTTTCCACCCTCCCCCGACCCCTACCCGCCTGCTTTACCTTCGCCCGCGCTTGCTTGACTGTGGTTCAATGCGGTTGTTATCTTATTCTTGCACGCCATTTGCCCTTGGAGTTGTCTCAAACCCACCCACCATTTTCCCCCTTTCCCAACCCGCCTGCCTGCTTCACCTCTGCCTGCCTGTGCTTGTCTTTGGTTGTGGTCCCATTCTTTCTCCACTCGTCATCACGCAGCCATATGGCTGGAGGCCATGGGGAGTGCACTCGTTGTCTCTCTCTGCTCGCTCATTTGCCTCACGCTCCTGCCGCTCGTCTGCTGTAAGCCCCTTTCTTCTGTGGCGGCCGTTTGCATTCTGCGCTGACTGTCTCTGCTCCACTGGTGCTCCTTTTTTCATCCGACCCATCGCACTCGACCAACATGTCTCACCCCTATAGTCAATCACACGCAGGCTCACATCCCAATCACAATCATTCGCACCCGGCCCATCCCATCCCCACACCCCCCTGTGTGTGTGGCTCGCTACAGACAAGGGCAAGCTGCCCCGGGCGCTGGTGGATGGCCTGGCAGCATTTGGGGTGAGTGAGTGATAATGAATGGGTGTGTAAGTGAGTGGGTGAGTGAGTGAGTGAGTGAGTGAGAGAGTGGTTGAATGAGTGAGTGCATGAGTGAGTGGCAGCATAGAGTGAGTGATTAAGTGACCTGTACCAGTTGCCGCATGCTGTGTCAGTGACGTTACTAGAAACTTACTAGTAACTGATTGGACTCCCCTTCTGTCTCGTTGCCTGCAGGCTGGAGCGATGCTGGGAGATGCCTTCCTGCACCAGTTGCCACATGCATTTGGTGAGCCTCCATTGTGATCCCTTGCTTCCCTCACTTCCTTTCCTCTCATCCCTTGCCTCGGCGTTTCTCCTGCAAATTTCTCTCACAAAATAATAATAATAATAATAATAATAGTAATAAAAGTAATAAAGTTATAATAGTAATAACAATACTAATAACTCTTTTCCTTCTCCCCTCTCTCTCCCCTCTTCCCCCACACCCCTCCCCACACCTCTGGCTCCCAAATACTGCTCCTCTCGACACTCTGCTTTTGCCTCAACTCTGAAAGCACCTCTTTATTCACTGCCACGCTCACCTCTGCCCGTCAGGTCTCTCCTTTCCTCTCCATTGTAAACCCCATTCCCGACACACCATCACTGCAGTCGCGTGGTGACTTTCAATTCGACTCAAACTCACCTCGTTGCCATCATGTATAAACTTCATTTCCGCGTCACCATGATTGCAGGCAGTGGAGCTCACTCCCACAACCACGACAACCAGCCACCTGAATCCTGATGCCTGCTCTCTCGACTTTTTCCCCACTTTTGAGGCGCCTCAAAAGTGGTCACCTGAATCCTGATGGCTGTTTTCCTCGAGTCTTTCCTTGCTTTCTTGCTAAGCCGAATCCTATTCCCTCTGTGCCATGACTGCATTGCAGGCAGTGGAGCTCACTCCCACAACCACGACAACCACTCACATGACCATGGGCATGGGCATGGGCGTGGGCATGGGCATGCCTCCCATTCACATGACCATGGGCATCATGGTCATGACCATGGGCACGAGCATGCTGTGGAGGGTGGAGGGCATGCACATTCTCTTGAGGACCTGTCTGTCGGCATTGCCGTGCTGGGTAAGTCAATTTCTGCCTGACTATTGCTCCTGCAGGTAACTTGTGCATGAGCATGCATCTCATTCACGTTACCATGGTTATGGGCATGGGCATGGGCATGGGCATGCCCGCTGCCATGGGCATGGGCGTGGGCATGGGAATTCGGGGGAGAGTGGAGGGCGCGCGCATTCTCCTGAGGACCTGTCTGTTGGCATTGCCGTGCCTGATAGTGAATCGATCTCCGCCTGGCTATTGCTCCTGCAGACAGGGAACTCTGCTGGTTTATTACCCCCTCGTGGATGGTGAAAAATCCCTCTCCCCTCTAGATTGTACGGCGCGGAACTCACTCTCGAGGCACCACTTGCTGTTGTGCGCTGCACACACGCCGCCGCCGCCACCACCACCACACACCACCACCGCCGCCCCTGCCGCCGCCAACACCACCACCACCACCACCACCACCACCACCACCACCACCACCACCACCACCACCACCACCACCACCACCACCACCACCACCACCACCACCACCACCACCACCACCACCACCACCACACCACCACCACCACCACCACCACTGCCGCCGCCGCCGCCGCCGCCGCCACCGCCACCACCACCACCCCATTAGCCTTGTTTTCACCCGTTTTTCCACCCTTTCCCCCGCTGCAGTGGGCATCGTGCTCTTCTTCCTGGTGGAGAAAATCGTGAGGCGCGTGGAGGAACTCACCTCTAGAGGCGCTGCTGTGCCGCATGCTGCTCCCAGCCATCATCGCCCCCAGCATCACATCAACATCTCCCTCTTCTGTCTTGCTACCTTTTCCTCCACTGCAGTGGGCATCGTACTCTTCTTCCTGGTGGAGAAGATCGTGAGGCGCGTGGAGGAACTCACCTCTAAAGGTGCTGCTGTGCCTTTTGCTGGGCATGGTCATAGTCATAGCCACAGCCACCAACATCAGCGTGAGGGCGAGAAAGAGGGGAATTCAGGCGAGGATGAGTGTGAGAAAGTGAGTGAGGGTGGAGGAGGGAGGAGGGACGGGAAAGAGGAGGGCGATGGAGAAAGTGGTTTGAACGATGGGAGAACTGGTGAGAATGGGAAGAGTGGGGATGAGGAAGGGAGTTCTAAGGACGGTTGGGAGAATGTAGATGAAGGAGAGGAGGAGGGTGAGGGAGGGGAGGAGGGTAAGAGAGGGGGGGAGAAGGAGAGTGAGAGTAAGGCAGAAACGAAGGGAGGGAAAGGGGAGGTGGAGGCTCGGAAGGAGGTGAAACAGGCGAAGGAAGAGAAGGAGAAGGAGGAGGAGGGAAGCACTGGTGGTGGGAGCGAGGGGTTGAGAAGACGGAAGGCCACTGCTGATTCCCAGTCAGTGACAGCAGACAGGAGCAGAGAGGAGGCAAAAGAGGGGAAGGAGAATGAGAAGGAGGGTGATGAGGCATCGGCACCGGACAATGACGATAAGAAGGCCCGGGCAGTGGCCAAGGCAGTGCCAGTGGCGGCAGCAGCAGCCAGCGGGTTAGCAGCAGCAGTGGGCCCTCCCGCAGCGAACAAGCACCTGGTGTTGGGATACCTCAACCTATTCTCTGATGGCGTGGTGAGTGCTACGGGGCGGCATGTCGCTGGGTTCTGCTCTGTGAACCGATCTTTTGAGGCGCCTCAAAAGTTGGCATGTCGCTGGGTTCTGCCCTGTGAACCAATCTTGCCGTGTGCCCCCCCCCCCCCCCCCCCCCCCCCCTCTTGCCGCCACCCGTCATCGCTGCCCTCTCCACTTGCCCCCCTCCCCACCCTTGCCCCTTAGCAGCACAACTTCACAAACAGCGTGTCGCTGGCTCGGCCTTCAGGACCCATGCTTGTCTCTCTGCCTCAGCTGCCCGCCTCCTTCCGCCCATTCCCCTCTCTCACCCCCTCCCTCTCTCTCACCCCCTCCCTCTCTCTCACCCCCTCCCTCTCTCACCCCTTCCCTCTCTCTCACAGCACAACTTCACGGACGGCATGTCGCTGGGCTCAGCTTTCCTCCATCGGGGAGCGCTGGGGGGCTACTCGCGCATGCTCTTCATGCTGGCGCACGAGATCCCGCAGGAGGTGAGACTCTCAGTAGCAGCAGGGGGACGCCCAAGGAGGTCACCTCATCTGAGCACAGACTTTAAACCCCTGGCTCGTTGCACACCCGCTCCCCTCCCTCGGGAGCGCTGGGGGGCTACTCGCGCATGCTCTTCATGCTCGCACATGAGATACCCCAGGAGGTGAGTGGTGGCTTCCCTTGAGTGAATCAGGACGGCTTGTGGCACCTCCCTCCTTCCCATTCTCTATTTGGGGGTGCTGGGGGGCTACTCGCGCATGAGATCCCCCAGGAGTTGAGGGCCTCTCAATAGGGGGTAGGTCATTCTCTCAGGAGCCTAAATCTGTGTTTTGAAATTTCTCAAAAAACAGATTCAACAGGTGGGTAGGTCATTCTCTCATGGGCCTATTGACAGCATTGGGGGGATACTCGCGTATGCTCTTCATACTGGCACATGAGGCGAGGCTCTTTCTATAGGGGGACAAGGAGGTCTCATCTGAGCACAAACCCTCCCCAAACACCACTCTCCACCGCGATTCACCGCCACCTTTCCTCCCTTATTGGCGACTTGGGCATTCCGATGTGATGTGACAGTACTCGCTCCTCTCATGGGCCTATTGACAGCATTGGGGGGATACTCGCGTATGCTCTCCATACTGGCACATGAGGCGAGGCTCTTTCTATAGGGGGACAAGGAGGTCTCATCTGAGCACAAACCCTCCCCAAACACCACTCTCCACCGCGATTCACCACCACCTTTCCTCCCTTATTGGCGACTTGGGCATTCCGATGTGATGTGACAGTACTCGCTCCTCAACCTCCCCCATTTTTGAGGCACCTCAAAAGTTGTGACAGTACTCGCTCCTCAACCTCCCCCACCCCTCCCTCTCCTCCCCATCCCCCTTTTCTTCCCAGATTGGTGATTTTGGTTCGGCTTTTGGTGCGGTTAAGAGTGGGTGTGATTCTACTCACTCGTCACCAACCTCCCCACCCACCCCCCTCGTCTCCCACCCCTCGCTCTCACCTTCCCACCTTCCCACCTTCCCACCTTCCCTCCACCCAGATTGGTGATTTCGGCATCTTGGTGCGATCAGGCATGGGAGTGACACAGGCACTGGCCCTCAATTTCCTCTCTGCGCTCACTGCCCTGCTCGGCACTGCTGCGGTATAGTTTTTCCCAACCGCACCCTGCCCCAACTGGTCGCATCCCACCCGCACCCTGCCCCATCTGGTCGCATCCCACCCGCACCCTGCCCCATCTGGTCGCATCCCACCCGCACCCTGCCCCATCTGGTCGCATCCCACCCGCACCCTGCCCCAACTGGTCGCATCTTCCAGTCAACATCCTCCTAGCCCTCATTGCTCCCTGCTCTACAGTTGCCCCCTTCCTCGCCCGCCTTCTCCTCTCCCACACCCCGCAACTGTAGAGCAGGGAGGAATGACAGGGTGCAGGTTTGGGAGAGGAGAAGGCGGGTGAGGAAGGGGGCTCTACCGTTGCTCCCTTCCTCACCCGCCTTCTCCTCTCCCACACCCCGCCCATCTTTGCTTGCCTCTCCCCGTCCACTTCCTCCCTGCCCTCACTTCTCTGCTCGCCACTGCTGCTGTGAACTCCCACCTGCCTATGGTTGACTCTCCCTCACCCCGCCTCTCCCTCACCCCGCCTCTCCCTCACCCCGCCTCTCCCTCGCCCCGCCTCTCCCTTACCCCTCACACTTCACTCCCTTCCGCAAGAGCGTTTATTGCCAGTTATATCATTCCCATACAAGCTTCTGTCACCATATATCTACCTAATTACCCTTTTCTTGCTGTCCACCCGTCCCTTGCCTTCTCCACAGGCTCTCATATTTGGAGGGCAGGAGGCCCACTCAGGACTCATAGAGGTGAGCTTCCATGTCCAAAAGGGGTATGTAGTGTAGCTGGCAGCATGTACATTGGTGTGTGCTGGAAGAATCCCCAACGCACATCTGCCCAGGCTCTCATATTTGGAGGGCAGGAGGCCCACTCAGGACTCAAAGAGGTGAGCTTGCCACGTCTAAAAGGAGCTGCACTGTTTCTGATGTGCCTCAAAAACAGGCCGCATATTCGGACGGCAAAGACGGGCACTGGGGAGTCCGAGTCATACGATAGAGCTTTCGTCTTCTTGCATGATGGGCTGGTCATATGGTGCCCGTTCTCTTCAGAGGATGGGCTGAGCAATTAGATTCTACCGGTTTTTACTCCAATTTACTCCAATTTATCTTCAGTGGCTGTGTCATGGATTCACAACAGGCTGGTTTATCTGCATTTCACGGGCCAGCTAGATGGTACCCAGATTTTTCTCTCGGAAATGCTAATCTCTCGTTTTCCCTCTCTTTATCCTCCTATGCTGCTCCCAGGGCTTCACAGCAGGGGGGTTTATCTACATTGCTGTGGCGGGAGTTATGCCTGATATGCATGCACAGGGAGTTGACATCCTCTCTACAGTCATTCAGCTCGCCTCTCTTACAGCAGGAGTTGCTGTTGCTGTTGTGATATCCCTTCTTGAGTGAGGTGTATGTGTGTTAACGTGCAACTCAAAGACAGATGGTTTTGACCTTGCAAGCATCCTGTGACCTGTCACTACGGTAATTGGATGACTCCCTTATGCTACAGAAGGAACATTGATGACTTACTTTCCAGAACGATCCCTGGGCTCACAACAACCCAATATTGGCAATTTCAGCAGTGATTATAGGCACGATGAACTTAATATTTCTACCAGACTTCCGATAAGAACAGTCTAGACCTAGGCAATAATTCAGAAAGAAACAGCACACATTTATGGAACATTTCTATCAACTGTAGTCAAATACCTACACATCATCCCCATCATCCAAATCACCCCACATCTGCTGCAGCAGCCTCTGCACCCGCGGCGAGGGGGACAGTCTGGGGAAAGGCATTTTGGGCGGCACAGGAAGTCTCAACTCCAGCTCAAACTCCCCGGAACCACTCCCAACCCCCACATCTCCCAGTTCCGGCAATTCCTGCCCTCCCCTCTTCTCTTCCGCGCCAATGCTTCGTCCTGCTGCTGAGAAGCTCTGGCTGCTGTGGTAGTTGGGTGAGAGGTTGGGTGGGAGGTGTGCTGTGTGGTTTGACGGGTAGTGTGATGGGAGGTAAGCTAGTTGGTGCCTTGGACGACCATAGCTGCTGTGCTGGCCTGCGGACGCACCCGAGCCTGGACTCTGAAACGAGGAGCTTCGGCGAATGCCCCGAGGCTGAGCTGCAGGCTCGGGAACCAGGTGGAGAGATCCAGAGTAGGAAGGGGAGCGGGAGTGGCGATGCGGCCGCTCGGTAAAACTCTGGCTGCCCCACTGCAGGGCATGCTGGGCAGCAAACTTCTGAGTTGACTCAAAACTCTGGCTGTTCCGCTGCAGGGCATGCAGGGCAGCAGGGGGGACACGAGCGGCCTGTACATTCTCCTCTGCTGCTCTTGCTTCCCGTACCTCCTCGGCTGCCTTGGCTGCCTTTGCTGCTCTTACCTCCTCCGCTGCTTTGGCTGTCTTTGCAGTGGCTTGCGAGGCTGCTCCTGCTGCCGCTGCTGCTGATTCTGCTGATTCTTCTGCGGCGGCCCTTTCAGCAGCAGCAGCAGCTTCTGCCTCGGCAAAAGCAGTAATCGCAGCGTCGGCAGCCGGGCCTAAATCAGCGTCACAGGCAGAGAAGCGCCGCACACGAACCATGCTGCAGAAAGACACGCGCCGCACGTGCTTCCCCTTGGGCGAACGGCCTGGGGAGAGCTGTGGAGTGGGGATGGGGGAACCCACAGGGAGCAGCCCCGGGTAGGGCGGTGCTGTGGTGGAAGCAGCTCCGGGAAGAGGCTCGGTAGGGGTGACTGTGGCATGTGGATTGGCAGCGGTGGGGATTGAGAGTGGTGAGCTGGAAGGGGATGATGACGTGGCGTAGGCAGGCAACATGCTGTCGAGTGACGGCATTCTTTTCAGCCCGCCGCGTCGGAGGATGCCGCCAGCTGTCGCGCTCCGAGTGGGCGAAGGCATTGCTGCAGAGACAGCAACGCCAGTGCGTGGTGAGTCAGCCGCGCCTCTTGCTGAGTCACCCGCGACACACGCCATTGCTGCTTTCAGGTTCAGATTCGTTGAGAGCATCCGGTTCGGGCTGCTCACAGAAAGATTTCGCCCTGCCCGCAGGCTGCGCGATGAGCTCTCCCATTGGCTGCTCATTCTGCGCGGAAGATTTCCTCGCTGCCCGGATCCGCTCCCGGCGTTGCCGCCTTGAGATACGCTGCTATTCGCTGCCGGCGAAGCTCGATTTTCGTGAGAATTCGCACGAGGGACGGAGAAAGAGAAGGAGGACGGGGACAGGCAGGGGGAGGAAACGGGGGATGCGGAAGGGGAAGGCGGCGGAAGCGGGCAGGCGCCGGGCGCGTGAAAGCTAGAGGGAGAGATGCCGCGGCGGGAGGACGCGGGGGAAGGCGGAAGGCGGAGGCTAGGAGTCCGCGGGACGCCCTGGGAGGTGGGCGGGGTTGGGGACCGAGGACTGCTGCGGCCCGATGCGCCGGTTTGCGCGGGGGCGATCGCCGCCGCTGCCGCCGCAGCCGCTGATCGGGAGGGAGATCGCGCGCCCATGGAGCTGAGCTGGCGCGTATCCGCGCCGGTTTCTGCGGTCGAGGAGATCGGCGATGGTAGCACCGCACCAGCAGAAGCGGCGGAAGCGGCGGCGGCGGCGCAGATCCCGGGGGCGCTGACGTGGAAAGCAAATGAGTCCTCCGCGTCGGGCGAGCCGCTGGACAGCGAATCCGAGTCGGATCCGTCGATCAGCTGAAACGACGTGGACCGATTCAGCGCGCGACGCGGCGCGGACTGTCCCGCGGCGATTCGGAGCCGAAAGGCCACGTCAGCCGCCGCCCCGTGCCCCGCTGTCGCCGCCGTCGCGATCGCTGAAGATGCCGCCGCCTCTGCTGCCGCCGCGTCGAAACTGTGGCCTGTCGCGAAGTCAGAGCTGGTACGACGATGGCTCGGCGGGGCCTTTCTTGAATCGTCGCCGCTTCGATGATGCTGCTGGTAGCTCTTAGGGAAATAAACTACCTCCGCGGCGTGCCGAAGCACAGGTTGACGTTTGGGCCGAACCGAGAAGGTCCGGCGGCAAGCCCCTCCCGCGCCGCCATTAGCCGAGGCGGAGACTCTTTCGGGAAGCCGCGGGAACGTGTCGGTGCGGGAATCGTGCGATTGGTTCGGCGCGGAATGCGACGCGGCGTCGGCGGAAGAGCCGGATGTGACGCCGGCGGCGGAAGACGCCGACGGCGAATCCATCGAGAGGTCGTCACCTTGGTACGCCGCCACGTGTGCAGCGGAGGACGCGGCGGGAGATGCGGAGGATCGTACGCCGGAAGCGGCTGGGTAGCGGCTATTGTTGGTGGGAGGTTTCGAATCCACGAGAAGAACCGCAGCCGCCGCCTCCCGAAAAAATAGTATCACAGGTTTGCTAAGCCTTGGATAAATAGGCGCACACGATGTGCATTCAGTCGCATAAAATTTGTCGCGGAGCTAAGGATGCACTGCGATAGTCAACGAGACGATGCAATTCAAGTGACAACCTTCTGCCAGTTGATGTGCAGCAACAGTCTCGATAAACGCGTAGTGTTTTGATGCAAAGGTGAAGCTGGGTACGAAACTTGGCTGGTAGGAAGTGCGAGGGGAGGGGATCGATCTGGTCTTTCTGCACCAAACAGGAGTGAGCTGAGCTAATGGGTTGAGGGGGAAACGAGTGCAGTTTGTGTTGTACAGGCTGCTGCAAACAATGCAGATTCCCTGGAAATTGCTGCTAGTGGTGTGATAAGGGCGATTTCGCCTGTGATGTGCTGAATCTAATGGCAAAATTCTCCATTCGATTTGCCTGTATGGGACGTGCGACGCGCTTCGCTTGATCTCCATAAACTCTCTGTCCGCCAATCACCAGGCAACCCATTTCTTTGACCCGACAGCTGCCAGGTTCACGCGTCACGCGGGGTTCATACTGTTCGGTTCGACGAGGTCAAAGCAGGATTGGTGGACCAATCACCATGCCCGCAGACATCACGTGACTTTGTTGAGTGAGTTGTATGGGATGCCGCACCGCACCATTCCTCCCTCCTCACCTCGCCCCACCGCCTCATGCCTATGACGCGGTCGAACATGACCATTGTCCGCGTTACAGTGGTTGATGCTACAGTCGCTACCCAGCCGCTGCACGCGAATTTGGTCTGCACCAAATAGAAACCCTGCACCCGGTTTTTTTCTACCGGGCAGTTGCACCCTAGTTATAAGCAACCTGATCCACTTGTGTGTGGGTGGCACTCTGACAAAAAAAACACATGCACAACACAAAAACGTACGTCACCCCCGTTTGTGCTTGTTTCTAGGCCAGAAACAGATGTTGCGAAAACACTGGATGAAATAATTTCGGCGTCGCGCGCAGTATCGCCCTTGATTGTACGCCATGTGGTTGAACGTCGTTGACTGCCACACGCGCGATGACACCGTCAATGCCAACGTGTAGGTTGATGTTGCCTATTACAGACACTGCATGGTTGACCAAGGTGATGTGTGGCACATGTCACCATTTGTAGTCATTGTTACCCTGAAATGTTACAAGCCCATTTCTTAACACACATTCACGCCGCGATGGTTGGATAGGAACACGTTGTAAGCACCAGTTGAGGTTAGTAACACGTCATGCTGTGTGGTCCTGGTTACCTTTGTTCGTTACAGACGCCTTGTGGCGACATTCGCAAGAGTGAATGTCACCACGCACATCTTCACCACCTCGATCCCAAGATTTGCACGCACTACGAGCTCCAACGCTCGTAGTTTTAATGACTAGCAGACAGAATAGATAAGTCAGTTAGAGAAAAAAATAGGAGGCCAATCATGCCTCGTCTTCTCCACCGTTCGCAGATTGCAGTGCACGTCAAGCGTGTCATTTGCGTGCAGCATGTCAAGAATCCGAAGCTGCGCCATGTTGACCTCGCAAGGTGGTGCTTCACCCGTTTCGAAATCCGCCCCGATCGGTCAACCATCTCTCGTGTTCTGAAAGGCGCTGACCGGTGGAAGGTGGCGACGGCGAACCACAACACCGTGCGCGTCCGCGCCGGCGCGCAACCCGAACTCGAGCAGGCCATGTGTAGGTGGATCCGCAACGCGGGTCCGGCAGGGGTTCCGCTGACCCTCGCTACCATCCGAGACCACGTGGAGATAATCGCCCGCGACATGGCAATTCCCGACATGTTTCGCTGCTCTGTCGGGTGGGTTCGCCGGGCCATACGTCGCAATGGCATTCGGTGCCGTAGCGCGACTGGCGAGGCCGCGGACTCCGACCATGCCGCCGTCCGGACATGCCGGGACAAACTCCCGCATATGTTGATGCACCTTGCTGTCCGCACGCGCGACGTGTACAATTTCGACGAATCTGCGCTGTACCTCTCTGTCCTACCGCGCAAGACGTACGGCGCGTCCCGCGTGGCTGGACGAAAAGTAGCTAAGGAACGACTCACCGTGGGGCTGCTCGTGAATGCTGAGGGTACACACGCGTTCTGCCCACTTGTCATCTCGAAGGCGAAGCGTCCGCGCGATTTCCTCCCCGACTTCGATCCGGAAGAACACGTGTACTGGCGTAACAACGCAAAAGGATGGATGACGGCCCCGGTACGTGCTGCACCGGATTTCTGTTCACGCTTCACTGCTCTGGTTTCAACGTGCCCATTGTGTTGTTCCTAGCCGGCAACATCCCCCCCCGTTTTCACAATGTGAATCCACCCCCCGCCCGAAATGTGCGCAGTTGTTCACGCATTTCATCGAACACCTGAACGTCACGATAAATGCGGTAGATCGCTTCATCGTGATCTTGCTAGATAACGCAAGCGGCCACGTCATCCGGAGCAAAGACGCGGAAGCCGAGGACATGTTCGGATTCCGCACTCGCGCCCTGAGCAACGTTTGTCTTGTTTTTCTGCCGCCCAACACGACCGTGTTCACATAGCCGCTTGACCAGGGTCTGATAGCTATGACGAAGATCCGCTACCGTCAGCACTGGCTCCACGTGTTTACGCAATTGTGGCTGGAGGCGGGCGGCACGGCGCCTTCAGCTCGCTTCCGTCCGAACATGCGGGATGTTGTCGGAAGGGTTAATGATGCGTGGATGAACATCCCCACGCGCACCATCCAGCATTGCTGGTGGCGCACGGGGTGTCTCCTGCGCCCGTGGGCCATGGAGCTAGCATTCGTCGGCGCGGAAGGACTCAACAACAAGGGGCCCAACGGCAGTGTCAACACATCGCTCGACATCGGGCTGGCCGACGATATTCTCGATGTCGGAATAATGATCGGCCGTCTGGGCCTCGGTGCAAGCGCCATGCCAGCCGACGAGTTCGTGGCGGTCGACAACGACCAGCCCACCTGTTCGGAGCCGGGACCGGATCCGCTGGCTATCGAGCCCGCCGACCCCTACTCGCGCGCGTAGTGGGAGGCACCGACTACCATGCAGGCGGTGTACGAGGACGAGAGCCCAGAGACGCGCGAGGCGAGGCGGACGGCACGGACGGCATGTAAGATGCTCATCGGCTACGCCCGTGCGACGAGCATCACGCCTCTCGACCTTTGCGCGCTATTCGAAATTAAGAATCTGATCATCATCGATCGGATGGAGCGCGCGAGCCCCCCCACTGAACCTCAACACCTCGGCGTCGCCAGCAATGCGGGCGGATGATGCCGAGCAGGCCACTACCGCCGCGGACAGCACGCCGCGTCGTGCTGCCGGCGTGGTTGACGGCGCCTCCCCGCACCCGCCAGGAAATTCTCGATTCTGGGGTTGGTGCTGTGATGGGTGGCTACATTGACGCAGCCGAGTGGACGACTCTGTGAAGTGTCTTGCGCTTGCCTTCGAGGGGATTGAATCACCTAAGTCATGAAATGTGCACATCTTGTGCACATTTTGCGGGTTCGCTATGTAGGCCCGAATGAAATGTGGAGGTGCGGAGCTGGGGGGTTGGGATTGGTCGGGGAAGTCATTGGGCTTGTTTGTGTGTGTTTGTGTATTCTGATGTAATCGGGTGCTACAATGGACGAGATAAAATGTGGTAACTACGTGTTTGGGAATCCAACGAACAATGCCACACTTCACTATTTTGGAAAAAACAACCGGCCTGTTACCACTTTCTTTTACAACCCCCCCAAGGCCGTGACGACAGTGTCGAGCATGTGCGAAATGCAAAAATCACTTAACCGCACTCTTCACAAGGCAACCATGGGTGCCTCAAACGCGCATGAGGTGTAGCCACCCAAGAGATATGCATGATGCCCGCGAAACGGGCCACTTTCAACACGCCCAGAGACAACCGACAGGAGCCGCGGTCAACATCTCAAGCCAACGGCCCACAGCCTAGACCACGACAAACACCCCAAAACGCGAATAAGTAACCCACGCAAAACGCTCGAAGCTACCCAAAAAATGAAACTGTATTCTAAATTGTAACTACACTCCTACGAACAGACCCAATTTGCCCCTGTTTGACGTGAGTGCGAGACAGGAGCAAAATAAAGATGGGGAAGGAGAGTGAAAGGGGCATCATGTGTACTTGAGCAGGCCATGGTCAAAAGAAGAAGCAGGCGGCAATCGGCAATCTGAGCGACACGAACCTTGACAAAAAAACAGACCAATAGAAACGAAGACAGCAAGAATGGGAGATCCAATCCAAGCTAGCTTTGGTGGCTTGCGTTGCCTTGCCTTTCCAGCAATGTCTAGTGCGGTCTTCCGGGGCAGATCCATAAGTGCTGCACATAGCTCGACGTCGATGCATGTCGGTGAATCCTGACGGTTGGAACCGTCGATCCGAGGGTTGACATTTACCGACATCCCTTAGACCAGCACTTTGTACAAGCCATAAGCGACATTGAAGAACAGTTTTTATGAGCTCTGCGATACGTTGGTGCATGTATGACGTGCACATATTCCATACACTTCCTACTCTTGTTCTACCCGTTAGCTGACTGTATAATAGCAGAATATGGACCATGTGGTACTTATGAAATGTCTCAGCAGTTGAAAGTGCTTGTGTGCTCATATATGCCCCCACATACCACCAACATGTAGCCACGGTTTGGGCATGAAAGAACCTGAGAGTGCGATGTGTTACGATATGGAATGGTTGAACATTCCTAAAGTAACGAATCCTCAACGCGAAGATGACTGCAGCGAGGACGAAAGACCAAGCGTCAAGACAGTTATCGAAGACGGTTGCAAGCAGGAAGAATTCGAAATGAAAAGTGCGGGAAAAGTTCAAACGGTTACCGGGCCGCACAGTTGCGGTCCTGCATCTAGATTAGCCCTAAGGGGAATGTACCCCCTCAGAGTACATGGCTAGCTAGGACTTTTCGTATTCCACTGTATTCCTATATAAACCCTTGTACCGCACTATGTTAATCACTTCTGTCGAGATTCAAATCTCCTTCTACTGACAGAGTCCGTACCCGACAGTGTTCAAACCTTCCGCTGCTACACTCCGTGCGATCAACCTGAGACGATCCTATAAGACGGTTCAGATTGTATCACGATGGATTATAGATAGTGACCCAAATATTCAAACACCCCTCCTCTGCATTACTACGTATGGTACATTCTCTTGAATGCTTGCATGGTGCAAGCAACTCACCTCCACACGGCAAGGGTGGCATACAACACGAGGGCGGGACTGGCGGACGATGCACACCTGACCTGACCTGGCTACAGCCATCATGAAGACAGGATGGAACTGGGTGTTTCACAAGTTGTGCAGGAGATAATTCTTGGTTTGGTCAGTGCAATCTACAAGGCTCGCCTTTGTTGGAAACAATAAACCCTAAGCGCCTCTGTCGTGTCGAAACACCGCACCAGAAGCGAAGCGAACTATATTGAAGCACACGCGAGTCAACCCTCGGAGGTTGAAAGTGGTTGCTGGAGGTTACGCGAAAGTCAAAGGTCAAGCGACCTTTGACCTGACAAGTACAGCGCGACAGTTAAGGACACACAACTGACTCGTTACAGAGCAGTTGCCCGAGTCGTACTGTATCGAACCGCAACAGCAAATTAGTTACAACCGTATCCTTTCGTATCCCTTGTACCACTATATATTCTTGTATCTCTTTGTTATAATCAACTTACTTTGCTCTCACACACTAGTGCAAGGTGGTACACAAATCTTCATTAAACGCTTCCGCTATTACAATAGTCCTACCCCGAATTTACCCCTGCAAAAGATCCTAAGGGCTTTTCTCAGCCCAACATGGTATGAGAGCTATCAGGGGAAATTCGACTACTATCAACACATCACAAGACATGGCAACATACAAGGAGAGGAGTTCCTCTAATGGTTCTCCCGGGACCACTCCTACCCCACCTCCTGCCTCTGGCCTGCAGACAGAGGAAGGAACTGCAACGGGACCAGCAGCGCCTTCAGCCAGCCAGCCTGCCAGCTTCGACCAGAGTATGATGGAGAAGTTTTTCTCCTTCATGTCGTTTTACGAACAACACCAGCAGTCGGCACCTGCGCAGTCAAACAACAGCAACAACAACAACGTGACTCCAATGAGTCTTGACGGCTCATCATATGCGCGCGGAAACCAGCAACAACCTACCTTTGCTCCGTATGAGCGCGGGTCCATCAGCTTCATGCCGCAGCCACAAGCCCCACCTGGACAAGAAAAACCACTGGACGCACTACAAGTTCAATCGCAATTCGCGCACGTCTTGAAGCTGCAGACATCAAGACCCTTTGACGGAAAGGACTTCTTTACCTGGTCATTCGAGTTCGAGCTCATGATGGAAGGCGCGCAGATACTTGGGTTCTTCGACGGATCTGTGCCATACCCAATCAACGGCACACAGTATGAGAAGCAGCAGTACACATATCAGTCGATGATGGCGTACACAATCCTACTGAGAAACATCACTCCGAGTCAGCAGCAGAACATTCGATCTTACCGGGGATACGGCAACTCTGCCGAGCTCGCTTACAGCCATCTGAAGAACCTGTACCAAGCAACAGACAGCGTGAACCAGAGTCGATTAATGGAGAAATTGACAAACGTCGAAATGAAACCTGGCGAAAAGGGAATGGCGTATATGAGCTGCTGTCGCGAACTGCGCGACAAACTCCTTCGATGCGGAGGATCAATAGCCGAAGAAGCCTTCGTAACAGTCGCAATCGGTGGCCTCGGTCCGCAGTGGCGTTCCACCCGAGCCATTCTTCGAGCTCACGGAAAAATATCCGAAGCGGCGCTCTGTGCTGAAATCCACGCCGAGCAGCAAGATATGGACCTGCAAGAAGAACGACACAAGAGAAAAACGTCAGTTCCGGAGTTCGCGTTCCACACTCAGCGACGCTACAACAACAACAACAACAGAAGCGCATACCTCCGTTCTGCCATATCTGCAAGACGTCAGGGCACCCGCGCACACACTGCCCGAATCGACAACAGTCAACGCCACAACAGCGACAGCTTCGACCTTCAAGCAGCCAAGTTGCTTCAACGCAAGCGAATCCTACGACCCAGGTCCAAGCTTCAACGAAATCAACGGGACAACCTGCACAAGGCGCAAGAAACATCGTCAGTTGTATGGCAAGACTGACCGACTCCTGCATCACCGAATCACCACCTCATTACTCACCGGAAGAACAGCTTGACAACAGCACGCCCCGCCGCGAGTCACTGCAGCCGAACCCGACATACGCCGCCATCGCCCAGAGTGAGCCATCCGGGAAAGACACATGGTTCTTGGACAGTTGCTGCGGACAGCACATGTGCTCCTCGGGTCGCTTCGTTCAACGGGAATACCAACTTCAACGCGAAGTCGTCATCACCGTCGCCAACAATCAGAACCTGCGCACACGACGACAAGGCGTAGTTCAACTTCAGTCACGGGAAACAAACGTCATACTGCAAATGACGAAGGTCTTAATAGCAGAAGGACTCGGTTACAACTTACTGAGCGTCAGTCAGTTGATGGCGAAAGGCATCCACCTCGAAGCAGACAGCACCACACAGGAATTCCGGCTGTTCCACCGAAAGGGCGGCCTCTACATCGGAAAGGCAATCCTCAAGAACAACGTCTTCGTTCTTGACTTCGTACCAGACCTTGGCACCGCTGACAGCGACGGGATCGTGAGCTTTGCTCCTTGGACACATCCTCCAGATCTTGACCCAGACTTCAGCCCCGGCGGCTTCTGGCACTCACACACCATTCCTGAAGCAGAGAGAACAAGGGCGTTAGCAACAATTCAACAAACATCAGCAGCAGCAGAGACAACATCGGCAGCAGCAGAGACAACATCAGCAGCAGCAGAGGCAACAACGCCAACAGCAGCAGCAACATCGACACCAATCGCCGGTCCTTCAACGGCACCAATCTCCATCGACGATTCGCCTCCGACACTCGCACAGCAGTTAACCCCGGCACCACGAGAAGTCCACCGAAGCGCTAACATCACCGCCGGTTTTTACTCAAATTCAGACATGTACAGACGCTCCCCCGGGCACCGCGCCAGCGAAGACATCTGGCACGCACGAATGGGACACCCAAGCAACACAACGTTAAACAACACAATAAGAGCAGGAGTGCTCGACAAAGACTCCCTACTACTGCACGACGGGAGAGAACTTCAACGAGTCAGAGGAACATGCTTCACCTGTCCTGAAGCCGACTTACCGCATCAGCCGTTCGTACCTCATCACAACCCAAGCGCACCTGCATACACACCACTTGAGAAGGTATACAGCGACATCCTGTACAACCGCGCAACAGGGCAAGGAGCCCTCAATTACACCATCACCTTCATCGACGCCGCCACTCGATACGTCTGGCACCTCAACCTTCCAAGCCGCGATATGGCTTTCGAAGCCTTTGTCGCCTGGCTTCCAGTCGCAGAACGAGAATCGGGAGCCAAGCTGAAAAGCTTTCAGTCAGACGGGGGAGGAGAATACACCTCACAGAGGTTCAAGCAATACTTGGCGGAAAGAGGAATCAAGAAACTCATCTCCCTCCCCTACGCCCATCAACAGCAGGGTGTAGCAGAAAGGATGAACAGGACACTGCAGAACACCATGCGCAAACTGCTACGTGGCATGCGGCTACCCAACCACCAGTGGCCAGAGGCGATGGACCACGCTGTCATGCTGCACAACTTGCTGTCTTCGTCGTCACTCCCGAACAACGCATCACCGCACCTGTTGTGGACAGGAAAACTGGGCAGCACAAAAATGTTACGAGTTTTTGGGTGCATGGTACAGTACCGACCTCCAGCTGCACGAGCCGGCCGATTCTCCCAACGAGCACAATGGGGACTACACCTGGGCATCGAAAAGAACTACAACGCGTGGAAAATTTTCGACGTCCACTCAAAAGAAACAGTACCAGCACGCGATGTCATCTTCTACGAGCGACTCACCCTCGACTCCTACCTTGCCAACTTGGCAGAACAGCGAGACCTCACCAGTGGATTCCGTGGAGACCGAGCCTTCGCCTCGGCAGCCGACGAAGCTGACCTGGACGAACAGAACGTGGAGGGAGCCTCGGAAGCAGCCGGACCACTCCCTTACTGCTCCGTGGATATCCCAATGGACGAAGAAAACCCTCGCGAAAGCATCAACGCCGAAGTCTTCTACGATTTCGCCGACACCGGTTACGTTACACCTGCACGGGTCAACACCGACGAAGCAGAACGCATAGGACCGAATTTCTTACCGGACCCAGAGGACGGTGACGAAGCAGCTTATCCCGAGGATACCACACTCCCCCGCTACACACAGAGTGGACTGCAAATCCTCGGCCTCGTCACCGCAGTCCACGGAACGACACCTCCTAAGGAGCCTGCGACGGTTCAACAGGCTCTGGGGGGGGAACATAGGGAAAAATGGCGTGAAGCCATGGACAAAGAGCTAAAGGCACTAGAGGAGCGCAACACCTGGAAAGTCGTCCCTATCGGCGTAGCACGAAACAAGACAATACTCACCGGAAAGTGGGTCTTCCGTGTGAAAACAAAGGCTGACGGCACCATCGACAAGTTCAAAGCGCGCTGGGTCGTACGCGGCTTCGACCAGGAACACGGACGCGACTTCACCGAAACCTTTGCTCCGGTCAGCCGCCATACTTCACTTCGCATCCTTCTCGCAATCGCCGCCATGAAGAAGAAAAAGCTGCGACAGATCGATGTCGCAAACGCATTTCTCTACGCACCTGTTGACGCAGAGATCTTCGTGGAGCTACCACACGGTTCAGGCACGAACTCCACGCACGTTTGCCAGCTGCTAAAATCACTTTACGGGATCAAACAGGCTCCGCGACTATGGCAACAGTACTTGCATGCACGTCTCATCCGCATCGGCTTTAAGCAACTCCCGCACGACCAGGGCATGTACCGGCTCACGAAGAACGACGACTACATCCTGCTAATCGTCTACGTAGACGACCTTCTCTATATCGGCTCCACCGACGGTATCACCACCTGGTTCGAAGGGGAGCTGCAACAAGACCTCACACTCACGGTTTCGTCTACTGTGACTCAGTATCTCGGCCTCAACATCCGGGAAGAAAACGACGCAATCTACCTCAGCGCCGCAAAATACGCCGACACCATCGCCAAGCGCTTCAACCTCACATCAACCGCCATCTCCACGCCGTATCGCTACACGACAGGAAACAACAAGGAAGAATCTACTCTACTCAAGCCTGCCGGGATTCGCGACTACCAGAGAAAACTGGGATGTCTTCTCTTCGCAGCTGTCACCTGCCGCCCCGACCTCTCGTATTCAGCAAGCCAGCTCGCTACCTACCTCAAAAGGCCTGAAGCAGAACACCTGGCAGAGCTTGACCGCGCTCTTTACTACTTCGTTAGCACTCCAACGATCGGCCTAACGTATCACAGGAATGCAACTACACCGACTAAGCTAATCGGTTATGTCGATGCCGATCACGCCGGCGACTCCGACAATAGGCGATCCCGCACCGGCTACATCTACCGCCTCGAGCCTATCGGTCCTATCTCCTGGCAGTCGAGTAAGCAAGAACTAATCGCCCTCTCATCAGCTGAAGCAGAATATATCGCACTCTGCTCAGCCACCAAGGAAGGACTTTACCTTCGCGAGCTGCTGGAAGAAGCGAAGTTGGCCGAGTTACCCAATTTCACTCTGTTCTGCGACATCCAATCTGCAATTCGCATTGCCAACAAAAGTAGCTTCGCTAACAGAACGAAACATATCGCCCTGCGATATTTCTTCGTGAAAGACGAGATCGAGAAGGAGAAACTTGAACTATCCTACTGTCCCACGTCCGAGATGGCAGCCGACTATTTGACCAAGAAGCTCGGAAAGCAGAAGTTCGAGTACTGCATGCTGCTGACTGGACAGGGCCACGTCATCAGCAGCGACACTCCAGAAGCGAAGGGGAGTGTTGGAAACAATAAATCCTAAGCGCCTCTGTCGTGTCGAAACACCGCACCAGAAGCGAAGCGAACTATATTGAAGCACACGCGAGTCAACCCTCGGAGGTTGAAAGAGGTTGCTGGAGGTTACGCGAAAGTCAAAGGTCAAGCGACCTTTGACCTGACAAGTACAGCGCGACAGTTAAGGACACACAACTGACTCGTTACAGAGCAGTTGCCCGAGTCGTACTGTATCGAACCGCAACAGCAAATTAGTTACAACCGTATCCTTTCGTATCCCTTGTACCACTATATATTCTTGTATCTCTTTGTTATAATCAACTTACTTTGCTCTCACACACTAGTGCAAGGTGGTTCACAAGTCTTCATTAAACGCTTCCGCTATTACAATAGTCCTACCCCGAATTTACCCCTGCAAAAGATCCTAAGGGCTTTTCTCAGCCCAACAGCCTTGTGAGTGGGTTGTTTGTTTTATAAGCAGTATTTTCTGGAGGAGGGGGGGCGCCAGGTGAGTTTTTTAAGCACATGACCCCCCTTCCTTATGCCATGGATCAATTCAAAATCGTTACGGTATCTGCATCCTATTCGGGGGTGTAATGCAGAGAAGAGGTGTGACTGGACTTGATTTTTTTTTGCAGAGACGGGAGGAGATGATAAGGGAACCAAGGTGCACGACTGACTAATTTCAGTAGCAATGAGGATTAGGCTAAGAAGACGCGTGTGGCATGGACAAGCTGATTCTACTGTGCTCCTAGAGCTAGTGGAACGTCATTAGATCAGCATCATGCCTGCGAGCATGCACACTAGCGACACAAGGGAAACGGTTGCAACATTAGCAATCTTCGGGGGCGGTGGTGGGGATGCAGCCTGGGTGCTCTGCACTGTAGCGTTTCCACACGTCGCAGTGCTTTTAATCTTCCCGAGCGACTGGCTGAACTGGTTGGCGTCAACAACGCCAGCAGGGCAGTTTCCAGGCACAGTCATGTTGTCGCAGCAGGAGGTGGACTTGGGAAGCGCCTTAGGACCACTGTAGCATTTGCCATTTGTCTGAAGACAGGGAGAGAAAGACGAGATAACGTGCACGTTTCACGTACTGTTGTTGAAAGAATTTGAGCACAGTCCGCACGCTGCTTCCAAGGAGGAATAAGAAAGCCTTTATAGAGGAGGAACAAGCAGGGATGCTTGTGTGTCCGAGGGGACGCTTTGAAACAGAAGTAAATTTGGCCTTAAAAAGAAGGTGCAGAGAAGATTGGAAAGCGATCGACTAACCCGGTCAATGTTGATGGTGACATCCGTTAGCCATGTCACCACCTTCGAGATTGTATTCGGTCTATTAAACTGAATACACGAAGGCCGGCTGATCCCAAAACGGTTCGGGCAGTGATGACACCCACCTTGTCGATGTTGATGGTCACGTCTTTCAGCCCTGTTGCCATCTTCACGATGCTCGTCATGGCGCCGGACATGAACCCTCCCGCGTCCTTGATCAGTGAGCTTAGCGGAAAGTTGTTATCTGCGAGAATTTGGGAGGTTAGAAACATATCGAACAGCCCGTCAATATTACGTAACGAGGGGCTCTGCAGACGGAGATTTATCTGAGATGCGTGAGCACGCCACTGATCCAAAAAACGGGCAGACTCGCATGAGGAGGGTGAAATAGGTAGCTACCAGGCTGTATCTGGATCGAACAAACGAGTACGTGACCGTTCAGCATTCCACAAAAAATATGTAGTTAGAGGAGACTTACAAGTAAGTCCAGAGCAGGCGTCGTAGACCCGGTTCGCCATGGTGTCGCAGACAGTAACAGTTACAGCTCCACTGTTTGATGTCACATAGTTGCTGGAACCTGAGAGAAGTGGTGCCAGGCGAAAAAACAGGGGACGATGAGTTGAACGCCGTGATCCAAATTAATGGTAAACAGATAATTTGATGAACTGCGAACTGTGTTCTCGTAGTACGTGTTTGCGAATGTGTCGTACCTGGATTACAGGTTATAGCACAGATGATGCTTTCCACCAGTAATGAACATGTCTCCTTCCCCTGAAACATGCTGCAGAACTGCAAGACAGAATCACCAGGTGGGACCAGGCATTAGTGTGAAACGTTGCTACTAGACACCGCGTCACGGCGATGACAATCCCTCTGTGTCGCTCAGAGCCCAAGTACCTGAATCTCGGTGCCTTCAGGCACGAATTTCGCGTAGTCTGGATTCATGTCGCTGACAAGCTTAGTCACGTCTGCTGTGAGGAGGTTCAGCGCGTAGCCGAAGTCACTGCAGTCCTGGCAGCACGACGATTTGGCTGCATCGAGACAGCGAGCGGAGGGAATCTGCGGAACGCTAGGCGGTTTTCCTGTCAGAGGACATGTTAAAGGCGTGGTTACGGAGATTGCCGATGGGAGGAACACTGACAACAGCAGTAGCACCGTCTGCGTCGTCTTCATGGCGACAATGGCTGACAGGCTTGGTTTTAATCTACGACGACTGGCGGAATACGAAGAGCGACGGGATGGTAAAACTATAGCGATCACCAGAGTCTACTATGCTAGGAAATAGAGGATTCTATCTCTGTGAAGGCCTTGTCAAATCTCAATTTCAGAACGACAATGATAAGAAGCAGCCTTGGGAGTTGCTCAGAGTCATGCATCTTCTTGAGTCCTCACGTTGGACCTCCAAGAAGCAGGCATTCATTTCGCTAAACATTTCGCCCCAGGTGCAGCGCATCGCACGCACCCCGGCAGCGAATTAGCGAAAAGTTGGATGCTCATGGGGGGGATGACGACGGCGGCAAGGGTATTTCTGCTTGTTCGGTGGCTGGGGGCCTAGGTTTGGTTTTTTGTGGGCGGGAACAAATCATTTGAATTCGCGGCTCGAACAGGCAGCCGTTGTCTGGGCTACTGAAGCAGGGAACGCTGAATAGAAACTCCGATATAGATGTTATTCAAGACCCATTTGTAGAAAAGCATTAACGCCTCTTATAACCTTACAGCTCACACTGTGCCGCAAATGGGATCCGAAACCGCTTCAGCTATATTCTTTGCCCATATGCTGCACATTATGTACCTGGTAGCTCAGAAGATGTTCCATAGGAATGGTTGCACAATAGGGAGTATTTTTCTGCACCACTTTTCGCGCTGTGTACGAAGAGCACTTATATTGACGGAAATACAGGGTTTGTTGGCAGAATCTTGCGGATGCTTTGACTCGAGGACTCGATGGTGGTGGTTGTGTAGAATCTGGGCGGGGGAAGCGGATTAGTGAGAATATCTTAACGTCTTAATTTCTACTGGGAAAATCGTAGGTGGGAGAGATGGCAGGGGTGGTAGGTAGCGGAAGAGGAAGGGGAAGAGGGAAGGGAGGAGGGAGAGGGGGGAGGAGGAGGGCGGGCGAAAGGGGGAACGAGGAGGTTCAGGAGGTACTTAAGGTGCCGCATAGCGGCGAAATTGAGGAGATTAACGACGATTGCGAGGAAGTTCGCGAAATGGAAAGCGGAAGCGACAGGAGCAGCGGGGAAGATGACGTCAAAGAAATTTCTCACCGAGCGTCGAAAAAGCGGCGGGTGAAGCCTGCTAGAGTCTGCTTAGCTACTGCTCGCGTCACTTCCAGCCGTTTACAGCGAACTTTAGCGACAAGTGAAGGGATTCGGGGGATTGAAAGCACGCGCGCCGGGGAGAAGCGGAAGGAGAGAAGGGAGAGAAGGGAGGCTGGCAGGTCCGGCCGTTTAGGGCGCGCTGTAGAGAGAGGTGAGGGAATTGCAAGCACGCGAGATGGGGGAAAGAGGCAGGAGAGGCAGGAGATTAGGGTTGAGGCGAGGAGAGGGGTTGAGACGAGGAGTGGTAAGAGGAACGCTGTGGTAAGGGGGGGGACCAGAGGCGGGGTAATTGGGGGGCCGGATTTGGGGAAGAAGAAATTGCACTGGAAGCAGTGGAAAGCGATGGAAGAACAGAAGCAAGCGGATGAGGGGAAGAGACAGCAAGTGGGAGAATCTAGAGAGGCGGATGGGGGGAAGAAGAAACTACACTGGAAGCAGAAGAAAGCGATGGAAGAACAGATGCAAGCGGATGAGGGGAAGACTTTTGATTCGTCTCAACAAGAGGTGGATTTGGGGAAGAAGAAACTACACTGGAAGCAGAGAAAAGTGATGGAAGAACAGAAGCAAGCGGATGAGGGGAAGAGAAAGCAAGCGGGAGACACTGGGGAGGCGGATTTGGGGAAGAAGAAATTGCACTGGAAGCAGAAAAAAGCGATGGAAGAAAAAAATCAAGCGGATGAGGGCAAAAAGAAATTGCACTGGAAGCAGAGGAAAGCAATGGAAGAACAGAAGAGAGCGGGTGAGGAGAAGAGACAGCAAGCGGGAGAAACCGGGGAGGCCGATGAGGGGAGGAAGAAACTACACTGGAAGCAGAAGAAAGCGATGGAAGAAAAGAGGCAAGCGGATGAGGGGAAGAATAAGGGGGGTAGGTGGGGGAATGAAGTGGTGAGAGCTGGAGAGGAAAAGCGGAAGTTAGGGCAAGAGGGAGAGGATGAGAGGGGGGATGGGAAGGGGGATGAGAGGCGGAGTAAAAGGCGAAGGTTATCGGAAGAGGGGGCACAGGAGAGGGGGGCGGAGAGGGGGGCGGAGAGGGGGGCGGAGAGGGGGGCGGAGAGGGGGGCGGAGAGGGGGGCGGAGAGGGGGGCGGAGAGGGGGGCGGAGAAGGAGGAAGCTGGTGAAGGCGAGTGCAGGATCAGGGTGCAGAGCAGAGAAGGAGGAACGGCAGAGGGGGCTGGGCAGCTGGTGGCAAGTGGAATTTTAAGGCGCCTCAACACGATTTCTGAGGCGCATCAAGGAACGGCAGAGGGGGCTGGGCAGCTGGTGGCAAGTGGGGTGGCGGAGAGGCAGACGATGAGGAGGAGCAAGGGAAGGGGCTGGGAGGAGATTAAGGCGGAGACTAAGAAGCTGCTGACACAAGGGAACCTGCACGAGGTAAGGGACTGGGATGAGGGAGTCTGGAATGGGATTGCCGGCTCAGTACTGGGAGTCTGGAGTGGGAAGGCTTTTCAGGGAGGAGATCGAGGCGGAGACTAAGAAGCTGCTGACACAAGGGATTTCGCACAAGGTAAGGAACGGGGATCAGGGACTTAACATGGGGGAGTGAAAACTTGGGGCTATTAGGTCAGTGCTTGGAGCTTGGAATGGGAAGGCTCAGGGAGGAGGTTAAGGACAGGGATCAGGGACTTAACATGAGTGAGTGAAATCTTGGGACTGTTAGGTCAGTGCTGGGAGCTTGGAATGGGAAGGCTTTTCAGGGAGGAGGTTAAGGACAGGGATCAGGGACTTCACATGAGTGAGTGAAATTTTGGGACTGTTAGGTCAGTGCTGGGAGCTTGGGATGGGTACGTCCTTCCTTTTCCTCATGTTCTCCCTATGTTGCTCGACCGTGTTTCTCCCCTCTGCCCCTCTCCCCCACTCTCCTCCCCTCTCCCCACGCTTTCTGCTACAGAAGACTGTTGCTTCTGTGCAGCAGCAGCTGGGTGAGCCTCTGTTTCAAGCAACACTTTTGAGGTGCTTCAAGCAAACGTACTCTACCTCTCCCCTTCTCTCTCCCCTCTCTCCGCCCCACTCACTCCCCCCGCTTTCTCCTACAGATGGCTGTCTCTTCCATGCAGCAGCAGCTGACTTTTGTGTCGACTCAAAAGTCAACCCACTCATTCCCCTTGCTTTCTCCTACAGATGGCTGTCTCTTCCATGCAGCAGCAGCTGACTTTTGAGTCGACTCAAAAGTCAACCCACTCACTCCCCCCTCTTTCTGCTACAGATGGCTGTCTCTTCCATGCAGCAGCAGCTAGGTGAGCCTCTGTTCCAAACAGCACTTTGAGGCGCCTCAAATGTACTCTCCCCTCCTCTCCCCTCCCTCTCCCCTCCCTCTCCCCTCCCTCTCCCCTCCCTCTCCCCTCCCTCTCCCCTCCCTCTCCCCTCCCTCTCCCCTCCCTCTCCCCTCCCTCTCCCCTCCCTCTCCCCTCCCTCTCCCCTCCCTCTCCCCTCCCCTCCCCTCTCCCCTCCCTCTCCCCTCCCTCTCCCCCCCTCTCCCCTCCCTCTCCCCTCCCTCTCCCCTCCTCTCCCTCTCCTCCCCTCCCTCTCCCCTCCCTCTCCCCTCCCTCCCCTCCCTCCCCTCCCTCTCCCCTCCCTCTCCCCTCCCTCTCCCCTCCCTCTCCCCTCCCTCTCCCCTCCCTCTCCCCTCCCTCTCCCCTCCCTCTCCCCTCCCTCTCCCCTCCCTCTCCTCCCTCTCCTCTCTCCCTCTCCCCTCCCTCTCCCCTCCCTCTCCCCTCCCTCTCCCCTCCCTCTCCCCTCCCTCTCCCCTCCCTCTCCCCTCCCTCTCCCCTCCCTCTCCCTCTCCCCTCCCTCGCCGCCCACTGTCTGCTGCAGATGACTTTCTTGTCCGTGCAGCAACAGCTAGGTGAGCCTCTGTTTGAAGCAACGCTGTGGTTGAAGAACTGTCTTAGTCTTATTGTTCACAACAAAGAAAGATGCGGAACACTTGGAGTACTTTGTCTCAGACAATATTGTTCCCATATTATATTGTTTACAATATTGTTCTATATTGATCACAATATTGATCACAATATTGTTCTCTCTCTCTTTCAAGTTTCCCACCAACTCGTGCCACCCAGTGCCACATACCCCCCCCCCCCCCCCCCCCCCCCCCCCCCAACCATTCCATATCATGTGTGACCCTCCCATACCACCTCTGCCTCTTTTTCTCGCTCTTGCTCTCCCTTTCGTGTTTCTCACCAACTCGTGCCACCCAGTACCACATGCCTCCTCTCCTCACTACCTGTTCGATTTTTAAGAATTCCAAAAAAATCGCACACAAGCACCACTACCTCTTCTATTCCATATCATGTGTGACCCTCCCATACCTCTGCCTCTTTTTCTCGCTCTTGCTCTCTCTTATTCTCTCGACTTTTCTCCATCTGTCTCTCCATGTCTCTCCCGCTCTCGTCCTCTCTCTCGCGCTGTCCCCCAACACCAAGCAGAGGAGGTGTTTGGGGGGAACTATTCTGTAAGCTGCACGCGAGTGAGGGTCGTTCTGACAGAGATATTCCAAGAAGAGTGGCGTGCTAAAATGGCAGCGGGTGAGGGCAGCGAGTGGCACAGATTGGCAGCAGCAGGCGAGTAAGGGCTGTTCTGCGTGAGATATTCCAAGAGGAGTGGCACGTTGGAATAGCAGCATGAGGGGTGCCTTGCTCTTGTTCATTCTTGTTTGAGCAGCATGCCGTGCGAGTGAGGGCCGTTTTGAGCGAGATAGTCCAAGAGGAGTCGCGTGGCCCTTTGGAATAGCAGCAGGAAGGATGCAGGCTAGTGAGGGCTGTTGTGAGCGAGATATGGACATTCCACGAGTGGCACGCAGGAATGACAGGGGGGAGGATGCAGGCAGGCGAGTAAGCGGTGCTAGGCATGCTGAAATGGGGGAAAGAGGTGACTTTTGAGTCGACTCAAAAGTCAGTCGACTGAAAAGGCAGGCGAGTAAGGGGTGCTAAGCATGCTGAAATGGAGGAAAGTGAGGGCGTGATTTGATGTCGTGACTGTATATCGAGCAAAACAAGCAGCAGAACCAGTACATTACACAACAGCAACGCTTCAAACAAGTATAATAATAAAAAAGAACCCTATCATGCTACCGCTTGGTTGGGTTAGTAGTGGTAAACAGTAAATTACATACAGCGGTAAGTGCTTCGACTACAGCCTGTTAGCCTGTACAGTCACATCGAATACCTTTGAGGCGCCTCAAAAGTTGTCTCCCTACCGGCAATTTTTATAGTCAACCAACTGTCACCCCCACACCCCCCTCGTTGAATCAGTTGCAGACCAGGATGCTGAATAAGCAGAAAGTTGATTCACCTGCCTGCACGGACAACAATGGGCCGCATAGCTTCATTATCCATCATCTCTGCAATCCCACTATGCCACGCGTACCCAGGCCCCCTTGTCGCATCAAACCCAAACCCTCCCCCCTTCACTCCCCCTCCTCCCCCTCCCCCTCCTCCTCCTCCTCCTCCTCCTCCCCCTCCTCCTCCTCCTCCTCCTCCTGCCATGCAGTCTGCACTCTGCCATGCGACCCAAAGTGAGAGAACTTGTCTCGGCCAGACCACACTAGTGTCTTTCCACCCCAGCCTCTCCCCTCCCGGTATTCCCTTGGGCTTCTTTATGAAACATGAGCGGGGTGCTGTTTCTGCTGCTGGTGGCCTTGTGTTTGTCGTCTCCTCCTTGGTATTCTCCTCCCATTCTTGTCTTCTACTGCTACTGCTGCCGCCACCGCCGCTGCTGCCGCTGTTCCCACTGCTACCACGGCTGCTGCTGTTACCACTGCTACTGTTACCTCGGTTACCAGATTTACTGTAGCTGTCCCACCCCATCGCCCGATCGAACGCGCAGAAGCCGTCCAAAAAGGCCTCTGCGTCGAATCGACGGCGGGAGATGGGGCGGTGCAGGGCTAGGGGGATGTGGATGGGGTGGGCGATGGGTGAGAGGTTGACTATATGCCACATTTCGTAGGTCCCCTGTTGTGGTGGGAGGAGAGGGGAAGAGAAGGAGCAAAGAGAAAGAAGAGGGAAGTTGGGACAAGACAAGGACAGGAGGGATGTGGATGGATTGGGCGATAGGGGAGAGGCTGACTACATGCCATATCGTAGGTCCCCTGTTAAGAGGGAGGGTAAGGAGAAAGGAAAGAAGCAAAGCAGAGAATAGAGGAAAGAAAGATGAGGCGGTATGTGGATGGGGTGCTCGATGGGGGAGAGATTGATTGTCTAGATGCCACACCACACCTCGTATCTCCCCTGTCGTGTTGGGAGCGGTGAGTTGGGAATGGATTGGTCGAGAGTGGTGGAGAATGGTTGGGAGATGGTTGAGGGGCCACAGCACTCACCTCATGGCAGTTGAAGATGGGTTGGTGCAGTGCCAGGGGGATGCTTATGGGGTGGGCCGTGGGGGAGATGTTCACTAAACGCCAGAGAGTGGTGTGGTGGTTCAGTGGTTGACTAGCACATCCCTTCATGCGAGATATTAGTGGGCGGGGTTAGTCATGAGAGTGCAGGGATTTTTTGAGAACTCCTGCAATGTCTATAAGCCAGAGAGCGGTGCTTCTCGTACCTTGCCATGATTACCGTACCCAGTCATGAGAGGTTGTGCACAACGTACCACTCTGGGTGCTTCTGTGGCCGTGTCCTTAAAGCCCGCGTTGTCGATCAGCACGCGCAGAGGGGCGTCGGTCTGAGCGTCTTTAACTGAGACCAGCATCTTCCACCTGTGCTGCGCTGCTTGGCTGAAATGAATCGGAGGAAGAGGGTTCTGGATAAGGGGGGGAAGGAGGAGGGAAAAGGAAGAGAGGGAAGGAAGGCCATGAGAACTTGAGCGTCTTCAAACCGAGACCAGCATCTTCCACCTGTGCTGCGCTGCTCGGATTCATCTCCATCAGTGCTCTGCAGCGCGGAAATATTGAAATCACTTTTGAGAATTCTCAGAAGTGCAGCGCGGAGAATTCTCAAGAGTCTCAAAAATGATATCAATATTGCTGCGCTGCTCGGATTCATCTCCATCAGTGCTCTGCAGCAAAGAAAGATAGTTTCAATCTGTCCGTTGACTTTTGAGTCGACTCAAAAGTCAGCTCGGATTCATCTGCATCACTGCTATGCAGCGCGGGTCAAGTCCATTAGGCTAAGGCTAAGCGCGGGTTGGTAACCAACAGGTGGGCTGCGGAGGCCTTATTTCCTTCCACCAGCTCTTGTTATTTAGGACAACGAGTCGAACCCCATGGGTTTGGCAAGAGAGAGAACAAGGAGTGCCTGGTTGAGTGCGTTTTTTAGGGAGCCATCTTCGTGCAAATATTCGGGCTTTTCAACCGTCGCCAGCATTTTCCGTCTCTGCTTTGCAGCACAGGTCAAGTCCATTGGGCTAAGGGTGTTCCGGGAAACTCACCGCTATTTTCTCGGGTATTTTCGGGCTGAGGATGCTCTTAGTTCGCGTGATCACAATCCGCATGACCACTCCCGTGTGACTGTTCGGAGGCGTGCCGTTAGGGAACGGCGCAGGGGCTGAATTCGTTACAATCACATCCCAACAGGAGGAGGGCAGAGATGCGAAATCCACTAGAATGTCCTTTCGTTCCCCTGGTGCGAGTAATAGTGAACGGATGTAGGATGGACGCACCAGGTACCCAGCATCACTACTGATCTGGTAGTTTGGGGGCGTTGGGAGGGGTGATGGGGTGTTGGGGAAGGAGGGCAGAGTGGAAAAGTCCTTTCTTTTGCCTGGAGCGAGCAGCAGGGAGCGGATGTAGGATGGACGCACCAGGTACCCCCAGCATCATTGCTGATCTGAAACGGGGTGTTGGGAAAAGTGAGGGCGTGTGGGAAGGACGAAGAGGGTTTGTGTAAAAGACAGAGCGAGGGAGGGCAGAGAGGGCAGTAAGGGGTTGGACGAAGCGAGCCATGCACAGCCATGCACAGCCACGCACAGCCACGCACAGCCACGCACAGCCACGCACAGCCACGCACAGCCACGCACAGCCACGCACAGCCACGCACAGCCACGCACAGCCACGCACAGCCACGCACAGCCACGCACAGCCACGCACAGCCACGCACAGCCACGCACAGCCACGCACAGCCACGCACAGCCACGCACAGCCACGCACAGCCACGCACAGCCACGCACAGCCACGCACAGCCACGCACAGCCACGCACAGCCACGCACAGCCACGCACAGCCATGCACGGCCTGCATGGCCTGCATGGTCTCCGATCCAAGCAAGCAGGGATTTACGTATTTACCTGGGCGAACTTCACTTTGCTCCCTTTTAAAGGAGGGTAGAAGTTGGGGTAGTCACGGCGCTCGGCGCAGACGAAGGAGAGATTGAAGAAGCGGGCGTTAGCAGCAGAGAGCAGGCGGAACCTGTGCAGTGCTGGGCGGACCTTGAGGTATGGCCAGACCTGTAGGGGAGAGGGAGGGAAGGGAGGGAAGGGAGGGAAGGGAGGGAAGGGAGGGAAGGGAGAAGAGTGGGCGGAGGGGTGGGGAGAAAGAGGGGAGTTTGGAGTGAATATGCATTAGCGGCGGAGAGCAGGCGGAACCTGTGTAACGCGGGACGAACCTTGAGGTACGGCCAGACCTGGGAGGGAGAGAGGGAGGGAATATGGGGAAGGGAGGGGAGTGTGAGGAGGTGCAGGAAGTGGGGGTGATTGTGTGGAATGAATAGGCGTTGGCAGCAGCAAAGAGCAGGTGGAACCTGTGCAGTGTCGGGCGGACCTTGAGGTACGGCCGGGCTTGGGGTGACGGAAGGAGGCAGAAGAGGGGGATGGGGGGGGGAGTAAGGAGGGGAGAGATTGGGAGACCCTGATACTCGTTACAAACACACTCTTTAACAGCTACGCCACTTTGATAGCTCACCAGGCCGTTAATCACAGTAGTGTTCGTAAAACCCATCCACCCAGTTAAGATGCACATCCGGCATCGCCCCTCTCCTCAAACAATACAGCAATACAGCGACCCATACACAAAAACATACTCCTATACTCCTTTTTGAGGCGCCTCAAAAATCATCCGGCACCACCCCTCTCCTCAAATAATACAGCGACCCATACACAATAACATACTCCCATACTCCTTACAAACATATTGGTTGATTAGCTACACCAATCCAATAGCTCAGCAGCCCATTCACCACAATGGTGTTGCCGTAAAACCCATCCATCCAGTAGGGATGCACATCAGGGACCACCCCTCTCCTCGGGTAGTACAGCAATCTGTAAGCTATGACAAGCTCCCATACTCCTTACAAGCACAGCACATTCGTTATAAATCTCACCAGCCCATTCACGACAATGGTGTTGCCGTAAAACCCATCCACCCAGTTAGGATGCACATCAGCCACCACCCCTCTCCTCGGGTAGTACAGCGACCCATTCGCTGTGAACGTTGGATCGGCCAACACGAGAGGGATACTGTAATCCCCCTTGGGAACCCAACTCCCCACTCCCGCCCCCGACACCTTCCCAGCCCCTCCCCCCTTCCCCTCCTCTCCTCCCCCCCCTCCTCCTCCCCCTCCTCCTTCCCCGCTTCCGGCTTTCCCCCTCATCCACTTCCCCTCGGCCCCGTCAGGATCCGTTACAACGTACAGGCCTGCCATCCCCGCTATAAGGTTCAACCTCCCCATGCCCTGGGTGCGGTCCCGATACCAGAGCAGAGCAGCAGAGTGGTGGTTCAAATACTTGTACGTTTGCGAGGAGTATGCATGTTCTTGAGGAGCCTCAGGACCCGAGAAAGTGGGAGAGGAGGAGGAGAAAGGAGAGGATTGGGAGGTTCGGGAGGTGCGGGAGGATCGGGAGGAGGAGCGGGAGGACAGGGCGGGGCCGAGTTCGCCATACTGAGTGAACCACGCCTGGGGGTGGCCTGAATAGGAGCTGTGCGCGTGGCCTCCCTGCCTGAAGGGCACTGCAAGGAGGGAGAACAGGGGAGAGCGAGCGAGAGAAGCAGAGCGGAAGTGATAGAGCAGGGGAGGGAAGAAAGGCCCTTGTAATGCCCTGAACATGGGATAAATGCGGAAGTGATAGAGCGTGGGGAGAAAGGCCCTTGTAATAACGGGATTAAATGTATCAGAAAAGGAAGTAATGACCCTGTACTCTGTCTTTAACAAAGTCGAGCATTCAACCGAAGCAAAGCACCACTCACCCAAGGGAATGCCACCACGGGACGGTCTAGGGACATCTTTATTAATAGTGTAGTCGACTTGCAACATGTGCTTCCTGTCTGTTAAATGGTTCTCCCACCGAATCTGCCATGAGCATTCCAACACAGAGGAGAGTTGTGAGTTGAGTTGTGAGTCGAGTTTTGAGTCGACTCAAAACTCGTTCTCCCACCAAATTTGCCATGAGCATTCCAACACAAAGGAGAGTTGTGAAATATGTCAACAGGATGGGAGGTTCCTTCGTGTTCTCGCACAAAGCTGAGATGTGGACTAGAACTGCTGGCAGTAAGTGTGGAGATGTGTTCCTCACTGGCAGTAAGTGTGGAGATGTGTTCCTCACTGGCAGTAAGTGTGGAGATGTGTTCCTCACTGGCAGTAAGTGTGGAGATGTGTTCCTCACTGGCAGTAAGTGTGGAGATGTGTTCCTCACTGGCAGTAAGTGTGGAGATGTGTTCCTCACTGGCAGTAAGTGTGGAGATGTGTTCCTCACTGGCAGTAAGTGTGGAGATGTGTTCCTCACTGGCAGTAAGTGTGGAGATGTGTTCCTCACTGGCAGTAAGTGTGGAGATGTGTTCCTCACTGGCAGTAAGTGTGGAGATGTGTTCCTCACTGGCAGTAAGTGTGGAGATGTGTTCCTCACTGGCAGTAAGTGTGGAGATGTGTTCCTCACTGGCAGTAAGTGTGGAGATGTGTTCCTCACTGGCAGTAAGTGTGGAGATGTGTTCCTCACTGGCAGTAAGTGTGGAGATGTGTTCCTCACTGGCAGTAAGTGTGGAGATGTGTTCCTCACTGGCAGTAAGTGTGGAGATGTGTTCCTCACTGGCAGTAAGTGTGGAGATGTGTTCCTCACTGGCAGTAAGTGTGGAGATGTGTTCCTCACTGGCAGTAAGTGTGGAGATGTGTTCCTCACTGGCAGTAAGTGTGGAGATGTGTTCCTCACTGGCAGTAAGTGTGGAGATGTGTTCCTCACTGGCAGTAAGTGTGGAGATGTGTTCCTCACTGGCAGTAAGTGTGGAGATGTGTTCCTCACTGGCAGTAAGTGTGGAGATGTGTTCCTCACTGGCAGTAAGTGTGGAGATGTGTTCCTCACTGGCAGTAAGTGTGGAGATGTGTTCCTCACTGGCAGTAAGTGTGGAGATGTGTTCCTCACTGGCAGTAAGTGTGGAGATGTGTTCCTCACTGGCAGTAAGTGTGGAGATGTCTCAAAGCAACGCATATAGTGCATAAACCCCAAAAACACGCCATAGTAACTCCTCGTCCCATCTCGCACCTTAGTCATAACGCCCTTCCTCGCCACTATGGTAGGCCCCGGATACGACGCGCGCGCGCGGCTTGTCCCAAATGCGTACAGCTTCGTGGGCGGCAGATCTCGGTGGAACTTCTGTCGGATCTGATACACTCCGATTCGGAGAATCTTCCCTCTCGTGCCGTCCACGAGCTCCATTCTTCCGCCCGTGCCGCCCGTGCCAGCCTTGCCGCCCGTGCCAGCCGCGCGGAGGCTGTCAACGAACTTGCACAGCGGGCGGGACGGAAAGCGGTTGATGCATCGCGGTCCCGCTGTCGGGGTGCCGCCGGTTACCCGGCTACCAGACTTCGACAACCCGGACTTTGACGACCCAGATTTCGACGGTCCAGATTTCGACGGTCCAGATTTCGACGGTCCAGATTTTGACGGTCCGGATTTCGACGGTCCGGATTTCGACGGTCCGGATTTCGATGGTCCAGATTTCGACGGTCCAGATTTTGGCGGTCCGGATTTAGACGGCCCAGATTTGGACGAGCCGGTGGATTTGGGCGGGTTGGAAAGGAGGTCTGGCATGCCATAGTAGATGGGGCCAGGTTTGGAAGCGCCCTTGTCTTTGGGAATCAGCGGGAAAGTAGAGGCTGCAGAGAGGGGGAGGATGGGAGGGAAAGGGAAAGGAGAGAAAAAGATTGAGGAATGAGGCAGGAAGTAGAGGATTTGAAAGAAGAGGATTTGAAAGAAGAGGATTTGAAAAAAGAGGATTTGAAAGAAGGTAATAGACGGGCCCGGGCTTGGAAGCACCCTGTTTTTCGGAATTAGTGGGCCCAGTGGCGGCTGCTGTGAGGGGGCAATGAGCAGGAAAGGGGAGAGGGATGGGGAGAGGGGGGGATGGGGAGAGGGGATGGGGAGAGGGATGGGGAGAGGGGATGAGGCGGGGAAGCAGGGGGTGGGGAAGCAGGCTGGGCGGTACTAGGGGGCGAGGGCTTGTACCATAGAACAGTAGGTTCGACCCAGATCCAGCAGATCTAACTCGTTCTAGTCTCGCTATTCTGTGCTTAGGGGAGGTATAGAGGACAAGGAGAGATGAGAGGGGATGAGGAATTAGGCGGGGAAGTAGGGAGCGGGGAAGTAGGGAGCGGGGAAGTAGGGAGCGGGGAAGAAGGCTGGAAAGTAGGACAGTGGCGGTTTCTCTTAAACGACTACTACGCGGTTGATTTGAGACGACTTTCGAGGTGCCCAGAGAAATTAGCAGCCACCGCTGTGAGACCAGTAGTACGCGAGTTTGCTGCTGCAACGATGCTCTGAATAGACTTAAACAGCACCCCCGTTCGGGTGATACAGTGCGGGTTCCCAACGCGCCTTAACTCCTTCTGCCTACCTGTTTCGACGTCGCCTTGCCCGCGTGCGGCGCTGATAAGGAGCATGCATGTGCACAGCGCGACTCGTACGAAAAGTCTATCTGCCGTCATTGGTGCGTCTAGCCGGAAACGTATTTAGTCAGTAAGATACCGTATCTATGTAGTGCTCAGTTTATTTATGGTATGTACAATAAGAGTTTCTACCAACTCTATTCGAGATCGCAATAGAAGTGGTTTTAAGTCGGCCTGCCGATTACATCAAGGCAATTTAGAAGTCGTTTATTCAAGCAAATGCTGCCCTTCCGTCCCGGTCACGTCTAGTGAAAAGCGCGGCGATACACAGCACAGCCACGGCAGAAGCGCGTGCAAGTGATGACGTGGCGTGTGGTGTAAATAAGGACCTCTGGCGCGCTCGATTCTTTTCGGCGAAAGGTCGAGGACCCGTAAGTGGAAAATACCTCAGTGGGTGCTAAATTGCTAGCGGACGTGCGATGGATGAAGAGAGACTCTGGCGGGCTTGGAGGGAATTTGAAATGTGATGGATTTGGCCGAAATTCAAAAGAATTTCCCGCCGGACTCCACATTCAAACCGAATGCGGTCCGTTTACGCGATACGTGCGTGACTCTTTGAATAGCAGGAAACATGAAAGGAAACACTTACAAGAGCAGCAGTGGCTGATATGACAATGGTAAGAACATTATCTACATCCATTTTTCACTCCGCTTATGTAGAATGACGAATAATCATTACTGCATCCGTTTCGTCTGGAGAGACTGCAGCTCCTGTAAAACTGTGCAGAGCTCTTCCAGACCTGCTCTTATTGCGAGGCTTCTTGCTGAGCTTTCAACACAGCAGCACGGAGCATAGCAATGGCAGTAGTTGGGTCGGAAGCGCCAAACACGGAGCTTCCAGCAACAATGCAATTGGCTCCTGCTGCTGCTGCTTGAGAAATCGTTGATGGACCCAACCCGCCATCCACCTGCACAAATTATTAGAAACATTGGAACAATACCTCTTTCACCCACATTGTCAAATAAGAAAATCTTACACCACTTGCAACTTCCGGATCATTGCAGGCATGTGCATTTCGGTGTAGCACATTCAAAAATTCCTCTTAGCACCTGGATATCCATGTCCGGGAATCCTGGCCGTAGGAACTGCACTTTGGGCGCCTGCTTGCAAGCACGGGTTAACATCCCTCTAGTCACCTGAACATCCAAGTCTGGGAATCGTGACCGTAGAAACTCCACTTTGGGCATCATGTCAGTCATAAACAACGCCTGGTTGTAGACACAGGCACACATTCCTCTTCTCACTTGAACATCCACAGCATAGAAGTGCCAATCCTAATCTCACCTGAATATCCAAGTCTGGGAATCGTGACCGCAGGAACTGCACTTTCGGCATCATGTCAGGCATAAACGCCTGCCCTCCGAACCCTGGCTCCACTGTCATCACCAGCACCACATCCACCGCCTCCTCTCCCTCCAACTGCAGTTAAGGGCGGTCATGAGAGGTGGGGTTGACAGAACAACTAGGGAGAGTTATGGCAGGAATGATGAACAGATCTGCCCTTCGACTCTCGGCTCCACCGTCATCACCAGCACCCCATCCACTGCCTGCCTCCCCAACTGCCATCAAGGGTGATAAATAAGGGTGGTCATAACGTGTGGTGGCAAGAGATTGCTTAGGGATGGGATGTGGCATGAGTGAGATGCCTGCCTTCCGAGCCCTGGCTCCACTGTCATCACCAACATCACATCCACTACCTCCTGCCTCCCCAACTACCATGAGGGGCGATCACGTGGGTGATGATGATGATGGGAGAATGGTGTGGGAGAGGGGAAGTGGGGGATAAGAGAGAGGCCTGCCCTCCAAACCCCGACTCCACCGTCATCACCAGCACCACATCCACCGCCGTCATCCTCCATTCTCCCTCCCTAACCTTTTTGTCATCTCGCCATCATCCTGTGTGATCACTCTATATCTGTCTCTACAACTGTGATACGGAGTGATCACACAGGGTGACGGTAAGATGACAGAAAGGTTAGAGAGGGAGAATGGGGGATAACAGACATGCATGCCCTTTGACTCCCGGCTCCACTGTAATCATCACTATCACAACATTCACTGCCTCGCAACCTACACTCCTTCAACAACGTACCGAGCGATCGCAAAAGAAAAGGTACGATGGGTGGTATTCGGGGCGTGTGCAGAAACAAGCAAGCAACGTACTAGGGGCAGGACGGATTCAACAGGCGTGGAAGGCTTGATGGCCACGCCCGCCCTCATGCCCGCTGCGTGCACTTCCGCCACCAGCTGCTGTGCCTTGCCTGGGGAAAGGGGGAAGAACGGGAGAGGCGAGAGGGTGGGGGTAGAGGGGAGGGCTGAGTGGGCAAGAGTTAAAGGCTTGATGGCCACACCTGCGTGCACTTCCGCCACCAGCTGCTGTGCCCTGCCTGGGGTACAAGGAAAGTTGAAAGGAGGAGGGGAAAGTGGGAGAGGAATATGATAGCACATGAAGAAAAGAAAAGGAAGAACTCGTAGAGGCGGAAAGAGAATGGAAGACTGCCCTCCTCCCCCCACCCTCAAAAAAAGAGAGAGAGAAAAAAAGGCCATGCTTATGCCCACGAGCCGATGCCCTCAAATGACTATGTCTACAACCTTGACAACTGGCATGCTGACCTCGCATGCTGACCTGGCATGGTGACCTGGCATGCTGGCCTGGCAAACTGACCTGGCACAGCCTCCACGTGGAAGGTGAAGGATGAAGCTCCAGCCTGCTTCATAGGCTCCACGTAGGCGAATGGATCCGTGACCATGAGGTGGCAGTCAAGGTAGGCACTGCACCATCACGAGCGAATGAAGAAGCGTGAGGGGGAAGAGGAGAGCTGGGAGTGGTGTGGAGGGGTGTGGAGGGGTGTGGAGGCCACAGGTTGTTAAGCTGGGTGCACGGTGCACACTCCACGAAGGCGAATGGGTCCATGACCATGAGGTGGCAGTCCAGATATGCACTGCTCGGTCACAAAGAAACATGGCGAGAGAGGGGGGAAGGAGGGAGGGGGAAGGGGGGAGGGGGAAGGGGGGAGGGGGAAGGGGGGAGGGGGAAGGGGGGAGGGGGAAGGGGGAGGGGGGGGGGGAAGGGGGGAAGGGGGAAGGGGGGGGGGAGGGGGAAGGGGGGGGGGGGGGGGGGGGGGAGGGGGAAGGGGGGAGGGGGAAGGGGGGAGACCAGGAAAGGGGAAGGTGGAAGGGAGGGAGGCATGAAGCAGTGGCTTGGGAAAGAAGAGAGCGAGTGGTGTGATGTGAGGGCCCCAGCATCACGGGCTGCATGCAGATGGAGAGGAAGGATGTGGATGACTCAAAAGCATCACGGGCTGCATGCAGATGAACGAGGTGACTTTTGAGTCGACTCAAAAGCATCACGGGCTGCATGCAGATGAACGAGGTGACTTTTGAGTCGACTCAAAAGCATCACGGGCTGCATGCAGATGAACGAGGTGACTTTTGAGTCGACTCAAAAGCATCACGGGCTGCATGCAGATGAGCGGGGTGACTTTTGAGTCGACTCAAAAGCATCACGGGCTGCAAGCAGTTGAACGAGGTGACTTTTGAGTCGACTCAAAAGCATCACGGGCTGCATGCAGATGAACGAGGTGACTTTTGAGTCGACTCAAAAGCATCACGGGCTGCATGCAAATGAACGAGGTGACTTTTGAGTCGACTCAAAAGCATCACGGGCTGCATGCAGATGATCGAGGTGACTTTTTAGTCGACTCAAAAGCATCACGGGCTGCATGCAGATGAACGAGGTGACTTTTGAGTCGACTCAAAAGCATCACGAGCTACATGCAGATGAACAGGGAGGCTGTGTGCAAGGCAGAAAAAGACATAAAAAAGGGACATGAAAATCTCTGAGTGATTCTTTTGAGATGCCTCGAAAGAGCAAAAGAGCAATTAATCCTAAATATCGAGGCAGGGCTTACTCGGTGTGTTTCCGAAGAGCAGCGATGACTGGAGGACCTATGGTGAGGTTGGGCACGAAGTTGCTGGAAAGGCGAGGGGGTACAGAGGGGGGGGGGAGTTAGTGATAGGGAGGATAGAGAGGAGAGTGGTAGCGGAGGAAAGAGTGGGAAGAGGCAGAGGGTGAGCAAGGTCCAGGATACAGGCAAGGCAGAGTCGAGGAAAAAGTTGAGGGAAGTGGATGGAAGCATGAGATTGCCGAGAGAGGCAAGGGAAAAAGGACGAGGTCACACAAAACTTGAGGATGATGAGAGGGATCAGAGGAGAGGGAGGGGGGGAAATTCGAGGAGAGGAGAAGCGTGGGAGGGAGAGAGGGTAAGAGATGGAGGGATGGAAGCATGAGTATGAGAGAGAAAAAAAAAATGAAAAGTTGAAGGTGGTTGAAGGTTTTAGGGAAATGTGCTTGTAGCGAGTGAGGTGATAAGAGGTGTGCCCTTGTCGTGAGAGAGAGAAGTGGGTGCTTGCCTACCCGTCCTGCAAGAAACGCACATGGATGGCATGGAAAGACAGATACATGCATGGCATGACAGAAGCATGCATGGCATGACAGAAGCATGCATGGCATGACAGAAGCATGCATGGCATGACAGAAGCATGCATGGCATGACAGAAGCAAGCATGTCATGACAGAAGCAAGCATGGCATGACAGAAGCATGCATGGCATGACAGAAGCATGCATGGCATGACAGAAGCATGCATGGCATGACAGAAGCATGCATGGCATGACAGAAGCATGCATGGCATGACAGAAGCATGCATGGCATGACAGAAGCATGCATGGCATGACAGAAGCATGCATGGCATGACAGAAGCATGCATGGCATGACAGAAGCATGCATGGCATGACAGAAGCATGCATGGCATGACAGAAGCATGCATGGCATGACAGAAGCAAGCATGTCATGACAGAAGCAAGCATGGCATGACAGATACATGCATGGCATGACAGATACATGCATGGCATGACAGACAGATACATGCACGCCATGACAGAAGCAAGCATGTCATGGGAGAGAGAAACATGCACACACGCGCACGCAGTCCCACACAAGCACACACAGAGTTGACTGAGTTATTGCGCGTTGACCGCGTTGACGCGATAATAGCGAAACAGATAGCAAGGGAGGGAGGGGGGTGTGGAAGGTGGGAGGGAGACAGAGAGGAGTGGCAAAGGGTGAACGAGAAGGACCGAAAGAAACCGAGAGATGATATGGACGAACCAAATTAAACACGACAATACTGATGATCCATAGATCTCTTGATCGACGGTTACCAGCTTCCTGCTTCAAATTCAGGACAGGTATGGAATTACCATGATATCCATGTGTAACCAATCAGCACCGCACGAAAGCATCCGCTGCGCCTCGCTCGCGAGATTCGCGAAGTCTGACGAAAGCATAGACGGCGCAATCTTCGGCGAAGGCGCCATTTCGAGCGTTTATTTCGAAGAAGATTCAAATTTCGCGAGCCGTGTGGGTAACACAGCTTCCCTACTCTATCGTTTGCAGTACCCGAAATTCGCGCCAACGAACAAAGCTCCCAGAAAGGTCACTCGTGCAGAATAACGGATGCGGTAAGGAACGGCCGTCTTCAGTGTCAGCAACATGCAAGAATGAGCACTAATGATTAATCTGGAAGACACCGATATACTAGTGCTTCAGCGAGACGCTTTGCTGTTGACTGCTTCGACGACAATCGAGAACGGTCGAGTACGGTTTTGAGCCCAAACTCGGCTGTTCTGGTTTCCTGATCATAAGTAATTTGTCGAATCCCCTTTATGTTGTTAATTATCCAAGACACTTCCCCACAATACTTAGTACAAACGTTTACTTTCAAATAAGTGGTTTAAAATCCAGCAGTCAGATATGCTGACACCTCACATGAGATGTTACAACAGCAAGAAACCCAAACCAAATAGAACAATCCAAGCCGCAGCAACCACATTCAGCACAACTGAATAAGCACCACTCTTAGGTGGGGGAGGTGCAGGGGGGGGCGTGCTGGTTGTGCTGCCACCAGGAGCAGCGCAAGTGGGGGGAACAGAAGCAGCAGCGTCGCATGGGCTTGTAGGGGCGAGTTCTGGCTCTTCAAAGCACAATGTCTGAGGAGGATGAGAGGGAGAGGGGGGGGGAGTGGGGGGAAGGAAAGAGAGGAGGGAGTGGAGAAAGGGGAAGGAGGGTGAGGGGGGAGGGGGGAGGGAGGGGGGAGGAGGAAAAGGGGGTTAAAAGTGGGCCGGTGAAACTTTAGCAAAAAATGAGCAAGAGGGGGTGGCAAGATTGAGTTGATAGTGAATGCTGCTCATCCCACCCATTGCACCGTTCTACCATCACCCCACTCACTCTGTTGCTAATGGTGACGCTGACGCAAGCCAGCAGCCAGCCTGACAGTGCAGGGCAGCACGGTCACTCATCACACCGCCCCTGCTACTCAGATCCCATCCCCGCACACTGTTAATATGCTATTTCTCATCCCACTCTTATTTCGCATCCCACTCATGCTGTTGCTAATGGTGACGCTGAGGTTGGGCATGCCAGCAGCCAGCCTGACAGTGCAGGGCAGCACGGTCACTCATCACACCGCCCCTGCTACTCTCATCCAACTCCCTCACTTCAGCAACAGCGTGAGCTGCTATTTCTCATCTCATCCCACTCACGCTGTTGCTGACGGTGACGTTGAGGTTGGGCATGTCAGCCACCTTGACAGTGCATGACAGCACGGTCACTCATGACTCCATCCGTGCTGCTCACATCCCACTCACAAGCAACACTCACGCTGCTTCTCATCCCACTCACAAGCAACACTCACGCTGCTTCCCATCCCACTCACATGCAATGCTGCTTATAACAATCACGCTGCTTCTCATCCCACTCACGCTGTTGCTGACGGTGACATTGAGGTTGCGCACGCCAGCCAGCTCGACAGTGCAGGACAGCACGGTCACTCACGACTCCATCCGTGCTGCTCTCATCCCACTCACAAGCAACACTCACGCTGCTTCTCATCCCACTCACGCTGCTTCACATCCCACTCACGCTGTTGCTGACGGTGACATTGAGGTTGCGCACGCCAGCCACCTTGACAGTGTTAACGATGACCGTGTCAATGAATGCTTGCGCATCCGCTATCAGTTCGCTCAGCACATACGTGCCCACTGCAGGGAAGGGCGAGCAGGGAAAGGCACACAGTGAAGGGCCAGGTGAAGAACGGTGAAGAGCGGTGAAGGCCGGTGCTCAAGGGAAGGTTGTTCGAGGCAGTGTTTGACAGTGTTCACAATAACGTGTCTATGAATGATTGCGCATCCGCTATCAGGTCGCTCAGCACATACGAGCCCACTGCAGGGGAGGGCAAGCAGAGAAGACAGGAAAGGTGCAGGCACGGTGGTCAAAAGTGGTGAAGAGCGGTGCTGGAGGAAGCATGACGCATGATGATGGTCAGAGGAGTTGAGGAGTTGCTTGTCACTCACGTTTGATGCCCTTGCAGGCACTGAAGATGCGGTCAGCGAATTTCGGGCAGATTAACATGACTGACGTGCCCTCCTTGGTGCTGCTCACATAGTTGCCCGAATCTGCCATGTCAAGAGAAGCATATTATAAGGGGCGTGAGTGGGCGGGCTGGCTTGAATTGCTACAGAGCTGGCCTCTTGCTGGAATGGAAGTTTGTCTAGCAAAAGCAGCCCTGTGTTTGGCTACATTTGTGCGCGAGCTTTTAGAATAAAAAATGTGAGAATAGTGTGATCATTTTTAAAAGGTGTGAATGTCGTGTGTAGCTTGTCCCGAACATAGTGCCGAGAATTTATACATCGCATGTATTCTCGCAAAAGAGAATAAACTGTTGCAAAAATGACTCAACCAAAACTTTATCGTAACAAATAGGTGTAGACGCGAGGGTTCGCACTCACCAGGGTTGCAGTTGGCGCCACACACGATCGCCTCGACGAGAAAGGGGCACTCCGGTTGGTCAACGAACAAGTCGCACACCTGTTACAATTACGCACCGGGAACAGGGGTAGGGGAGAACAGTAGGGGTAGGGAGTACAGGGCAAGGGGAAACGGAGGAGAAAATTGGCACGGGGCGCATGGGAAATAGCAGCCAGCCCTAAACCCGGGGGCCTGACAAAAAGTAACTTGAAAAAAAAGGGGGATTGGGATTAAAATGAAGGTACGTTATGCTGGTGAACGGAGGTAGGTGACCAAGTGGTGGTATGAGGAAATTTCACGTCCTGCGCGGTAATTAGGAGAGAAGAAGCACGACGCGTCGATCCATCGGGGTACGTGGGAACGCGTACGCGTACGGTGTCTGCGCGCTGCGCGCGTCCTCGCACCGCCCAGCACCTGGGACACCTCGGTGAACGCGAGGGTCAACGAGGGTCGTACCTTCACGCTCGGCTCGACGAGGGATCCGAGTGAAGGATTAATCTCCGTGAGCACGGCGGAAAGGTTTGCGCTGGTCATCATTTGCGCGGCCGACACGTCCGCGCAGTCCGCGCAGCACGACGCGGTTTCCGCCACGGGGCAGCGCAACGACGGAGTCTTCCGCGCAATCGGCGGCTGCTTCGTCACCGGGCACACCTGCGCAGTCGCGCTGCTGGGGGAGGCCAGCGCCGCGGGCGGAGTTGCGGCGGCGCGAAACAAGTTACCAGTGTAACAAGGAGATGAGAGGACAGCACGGCCGCCGCGAGCAGCGCGTGCCGCGGGAACAGCGGCGCCATGATACGCGGGATCGGGTCGAACGCTGCGGGGTAACGTCACGGCGGCACGGGGTACGTGCTTCCGGCGACGACGCCGATTGTGCGAGTAGTAGTACTACGGTTCGCCGCAATAAACGCCGACAGAATAATTTTAGAAGCCTCAACGAGCGTGCGAATAGTACGCCGACGCCGACGCCGACGCCGAGTCTGCGAGTAGTACGGTTCGCGCGAATGACCGCGACAATGCCCAGGCCAGAAATGCTCTCGCTTCGCACCGACGTTCCGTGACGCGCAACGCGTTAACGCGTAAAACCTATCATAAACCGCTGAAGGGTTGCAAAAAGGAGGGCACAGAAACACGGCGGAACACGTCAGCGGAATCATATCAGCCACCAGAAGAAGCTTTCTACAGTTATAAGAAGACTGCTTGCGCCACTTCTGCTTTCTACAGTACCTGGTCGCGTCGTCGAACAATAATGTATACCGTAACGGCAACAACTGGGCTGGAACCAGGCGCAAGTGCGCCCACGACAGTGGGTGGGGAATATGGTGGCGATGCGAATTGAATTGAGTAGGGTTACTGTATAGACAGTTCGGCGACACACAGTCTGGAAGGGTGGATGAAAGGGTGGATCATCGGTGATCTGCGCCGAACCGAGGTGGTGGTCCGCGGGGAATGGTAGGGTGGATGGAAGATCAGGTAGATCGATACTACTGCGCGATTGTTCCTCGATACTACCTGTTCTGCATCAAAGAAAAACTAAAACCAGTCTACTGTAAAAAAACAGACACAAGCCAAGCTATTCACTGCTCCCTAAATAGATGTTGTGTATATATATTGCAGTTTCATAGCAAAAAAAGACCCAAACCACTCAACAAACAAGACACACTAATGGTGGCAGCACTATTGGCCATAGAAATTGTGGACTTTTGTGGTACTTGTGCTATTGCAAGCATCGGGGATGGGGGAGGTTGTCCAACAGGCTCTCCCGGTGACGGCGGAGCTGGTGATTGGCCGGCCGGCAGGGAAGGGACAGGTGGCGCCGATGCCCCGGACACAGAAGTGGGAGGAGGGGGAGGAGAAGGAAGAGGAGGTACAGGGGGGGGGGTCTTGCACACAGAATGATCGATACCGCGGCCAATCAGATCGCTGTATTGTGTTGCATTTACGGCACCGGCAGGGCAGTTTTGAGGGATGGCGAATGGGTCGCAGCATGCGGTTACTGGTGCAAACACCTGAGAGCCACCGAAGCATGCTTCCTGCAGGAGAGGAATTTGACGGCAGGTGGATGGAAGGAAAGGTGTGAACTTCCAACATATATAAGGAAGTGACAAAGGGGGAGATACGATTTTATCAAGATTAGTTGTCGTGGGATGTGAGTGTGCACATACAATACGTTTAAATGTAAATGCAACACTGTACCTTCTCTACAACGATGTTGAAGTTACTGTAGCCAATTGCCTTCATTACACTGGCGGCGATGGCATTAAGGAAAGACTCGGAGGAGGTGATGAGTGTGCTCAGGGGGATGGCTCCAACTGCCAGGGAGGAGAGGAAGGGTGGAAGGGGGGAAGGGTGGAAGGGGGGAAGGGGGGAAGGGGGGAAGGGTGGAAGGGGGGAAGGGGGGAAGGGGGAAGGGGGGAAGGGTGGAAGGGGGGAAGGGGGGAAGGGGGGAAGGGTGGAAGAGGGGAAGGGTGGAAGGGGGGAACGGGGAGAACACGGAGGAGGGGATGAGAATGATGAGATGCTAGTAGATGGTTGAGAAGCAATCTGATCTGTGCTCTCAGGGGTGATGGGGTGACTTTTGAGTCGACTCAACCAAAGTACAAGTCAGCAAAGGAAGCACCCAACTGGACTACCCTCAACTGCACCACACTCAACCTCACAGCACTCAACCATGCTCTCAACCGCACTGCACTCAACTGGAAATGCCCTGGCAGACGCCAAAGAAGAACTCGGCGTAGGAAGAGCAGACGGACATTGTCGTGGCGTCCGCTGTTACCCGGGTTGTAGTTACCCGCATCTGCACATTAGCACAACACACATTTAATAGTGTCACATAAAATGGTAAAAGCACATCTAATAATTCTAGTCACATAAAGATGGAAATGACACATGGCTAGATAATGCATCACATAAAGATGGAAATGACACATAACTAGATAATGCATCACATAGACGGTACAGTCAGCAGGAGCGGCAGGCTGGCAAGCCCCCCTTTTGGTTACATGTCATGTATGTACCATCTAACCTGGGTTACATGTCATGTATGTACCATCTAACCTGGGTTACATGTCATGTATGTACCATCTAACCTGGGTTACATGTCATCTATGCACCATCTAACCTTGGTTACATGTCATCTACCGTCTCAATTCTCACCTGGGTTACATGAGACGGCGCACAGCAGATCCTCTATGGCTTGCTCGCACATCTGACCGCCGGTGAACATGTCACACATCTGGAGGATGAAAGGGGGTTAAAGCCAAGCATGTGAGCGGCTGTCATCATCATCAGTCATACTTGGAAGAATAGCACCGCCCCATCAGCTTTAAAGCCACACACTAGAGATGCACACACCTTAAAGCCCAAGCACAAAATGGTCACCAGATGGAAAGCACGTACCTTAAAGCCCGAGTCCACGAATCCCACCAGGCTCGGATCAATCAACACCACGACATCCTCCAGGTTCGTCCCCACGAGCCTCATCGCCGAACCTAAGTCGCTGCAGTCGGCACAGCACGTCTTATTCGCAGCAGCAGGGCAGTGAGTCGGCACCCTCTTAGGGACTGTCGGAGGCTCTTTGGTGAACGGGCATGCAGGGTAGACGACAGGTCCGGGAGGGGGGGGGGGGCGCAGGCTCGGGCGAGAGGCCCGGGGAAGGCTCGGAGGACGGGGCAGGTTCGGGAGGTTGGGAGATTGGGGGGAGCATGCCGAGCATGCATGCGTCTGGATCGGTGACTCGAGTAAGAGGGGGGAGAGAGGAGGAGGAGGTGGAGAGAGGGGAGAGGGAGGAGGAGTAAGAGGAGTTGATTGAATTGGGAGGGCATGTGGGCGGGATGGTGAGGGGGTCGCAGCAGGCAGTGTAGCGGGGGTAGATACCGGTGCCGTTGAAACAGGAATCCTGAAGAGACAAGGGGGAGTAGGATAAGGGGTGTAAAGACAGAACAAATAGGGACGATTGAGGGCTTTGTGAGGAAAGGGGTCGCAGCAGGCAGGAAGTGTAGCGGGGTTGGATACCGGTGCCGTTGTAACAGGCTTCCTGAAGATACAAGGGGAAGTGCAGGAGGAAGAGTGCAGGAGGAAGAGTGCAGGAGGAATGAGGTGAGCAAGAGGAATGAGGTGAGCAAGAGGAATGAGGTGAGCAAGAGGAATGAGGTGAGCAAGAGGAATGAGGTGAGCAAGAGGAATGAGGTGAGCAAGAGAGGAATGAGGTGAGCAAGAGGAATGAGGTGAGCAAGAGGAATGAGGTGAGCAAGAGGAATGAGGTGAGCAAGAGGAATGAGGTGAGCAGGAGGAATGAGGTGAGCAGGAGGAATGAGGTGAGCAGGGGAATGAGGTGAGCAAGAGGAATGAGGTGAGCAGGAGGAATGAGGTGAGCAGGAGGAATGAGGTGAGCAGGAGGAATGAGGTGAGCAGGAGGAATGAGGTGGCAGGAGGAATGAGGTGAGCAGGAGGAATGAGGTGAGCAGGAGGAATGAGGTGAGCAGGAGGAATGAGGTGAGCAGAGGAATGAGGTGAGCAGGAGGAATGAGGTGAGCAGGAGGAATGAGGTGAGCAGGAGGAATGAGGTGAGCAGGAGGAATGAGGTGAGCAGGAGGAATGAGGTGAGCAGGAGGAATGAGGTGAGCAGGAGGAATGAGGTGAGCAGGAGGACTGGAGGAGGAGGTGAGGTGAGCAGGAGGAATGAGGTGAGCAGGAGGAATGAGGTGAGCAGGAGGAATGAGGTGAGCAAGAGGAATGAGGTGAGCAGGAGGAATGAGGTGAGCAGGAGGAATGAGGTGAGCAGGAGGAATGAGGTGAGCAGGAGGAATGAGGTGAGCAGGAGGAATGAGGTGAGCAGGAGGAATGAGGTGAGCAGGAGGAATGAGGTGAGCAGGAGGAATGAGGTGAGCAGGAGGAATGAGGTGAGCAGGAGGAATGAGGTGAGCAGGAGGAATGAGGTGAGCAGGAGGAATGAGGTGAGCAGGAGGAATGAGGTGAGCAGGAGGAATGAGGTGAGCAGGAGGAATGAGGTGAGCAAGAGGAATGAGGTGAGCAAGAGGAATGAGGTGAGCAGGAGGAATGAGGTGAGCAGGAGGAATGAGGTGAGCAGGAGGAATGAGGTGAGCAAGAGGAATGAGGTGAGCAAGAGGAATGAGGTGAGCAAGAGGCGGGTTAGGCCTGGCCTGGCAATAAAGCGAGGATTCTCATGGGAGCAACGCAGCATACACTACTGTTGAAACGAGACCCCTGAGGAGGAGTCAAGGGGGATTCACTCACAGTGGGGAGAGGACAACGGGGAGTGCTCAAAGGCTGACAGTGTTGTCACGCTCACGTGGACAACGTGGAATGCTGAAAGGCGCACACTCACAGTGTTGTCGATGGTAATGGTGACGCCAGCTGCGCCCATGAGTGATGTCACGCTCGCCGCCACTATGCTCATGAAGGACGATGGGTCCGGTGCCACCCGGCTGAGGGATACCTCGCCCACTGGCAGGTTGGGAAGACAGAATGGGAAGGGAAAGGAATGAAACGTGGACGGCAGCAGGGGGTGATGCTCATGAAGGAGGATGGGTCGGCGGCCACTCGGCTCAGGGATACCTCCCAGTGAGGGATACCTCGCCCACTGGCAGATGCGGAAAGAGGAAAGGCGAGGGGAAGGAAGGGGAGGGAAGAGGGAAGAAGGGAGGAAGGCTAAGCGCATGAGGGAGGGGTGTGCTGCCACTATGCTCGTGAAGGAGGATGGGTCCGGTGCCACTCGGCTGAGGGATACCTCTCCCACTGGCAGATGGGGGGGTGGAATGGGCAAGAGAGGAACAAGGGAAGGAAGGGGGACGAATTTTGAGGCGCCTCAAAAGTCGTAACATGGGAAGGAAGGGGGACGAAGGGGTGGCATGCATGAAGGTCGCTCGCCGCCACGATGCTTATGGAGGAGGATGGGTCGGGGGGCCACTCGGCTCAATGATACCTCTCCCAGAGGGAGGGAGAATGAGGAGGAAGGGGGATCAGGGAGAGAGGGCGAGCAGCATGGGCCTGTGGGGTGATGCTCGTGAAGGAGGAGGGGTCCGGTCCGGTGCCACTCGGCTGAGAGACAACTCCCCCACTGGCAGATGGGGGGATGGAATGGCGAGAGAGGAAAATGGGAAGGGGGACGAAGGGGTGCCTTGAGTGATGTGAGCTGGTTTTTGAGAATTCTCAAAACCCAGTGATGTCACACTCGCTACCTCTGTGCTCCGCCTCCTCCTCACCAGTGTAAGGAGGAGGCGTCTGGTGCTACTCGGCTGAGGGATACCTCTCCCACTGGCGGATTGGTGAAAAGGATGGGGAAGAGAGAGGAAGGGAAAGCAGGGACGTGGGCGGCAACGGAGGTGATATGGATAAAGGAGGAGGCGACTGGCGCCACTCGGAGGAAGGAGGAGACTACCTCACCCACTGGCAGGTCGAGGAGATGGGGACGCATGGAGATGGGGTGAGGTGAACACGGAGGCATGGGGGCCTCTCACACGGTGATCACCGTGCCTGCTGCCATGGCCGCTCACATGCGCTGAACGCCCCGCACTCGTAGCACGCAAGAGAGCACGTCAGTCAGAGTCAACGCAAGTCAAGGAAGTCACTCACGGTCAATGCCCTGTCAAGGAAGTCTTCCATCACCGCCTGTGCAAACGCCTGCCTCACACACGCTGATTGCAGTGCAATCGCCTCAAACTCGAGGCAAGCAAGAGAGCCACTCACGGTTGATGCAGAGTCAACGCAGTCAACCCAGTCAACCCAAGTCCACGAATACACTCACGGTCAATGCCCTGGCAGCCTTCCATCACCGCCTGTGCAAACGCCTCACACACGAGGCAAGTCAACTCAAAGTCAACGCAAGTCAAGGAAGTCACTCACGGTCAATGCCCTGGCAGTCTTCCATCACCGCCTGTGCAAACGCCTCACACACGCTGATCACCGTGCCTGCTGCCGTGGCGCTCACATATGCGCCCGCATCTGCTCATGGGCGCAAAAAGAGGCAGTGGGGTGGAGGCAGTGGGGTGGTGGCAGGGAGGGAGGACATTCGAGTCAACTCATAGTCGCCTCACACACGCTGATCACCGCGCCTGCAGCAGTGGCGCTCACATACGCGCCCGCATCTGCTCATGGGCGCACAGGGATGGCGGTTGGGTGGTGGAAAGGAGGGGACTTTTGCGCTGATTCAGAGTCGTCTCACACACACTGATCACCGCGCCTGCCAGCCGTGGCGCTCACATTCGCACTCGCATCTGGTGATGGGGGGCGTACGACAAGCAAGGCAGTGGTGTGGAGAAGATACAGCGTGGAAGAAATGGATTGTGTGTCTAGTGAAGTGACAATTGAAATGCCTGCAGCAGTGGCGCTCACACACGCACCCGCATTTGCTCATGATCGCACAGCACGTCGCACAGCACGTCGCACAGCACATCGCACAGCACATCGCACAGCAAGACGAAGATACGGAAGACACAGAGAACGCACAAGACGTTTGAGTTGTCACCCTGTTACCACCTGGTTTCACGGCACCTGGTTACCACCTGGTTTCACGGCACCTGGTTACCACCTGCTTGCACGGCACCTGGTTACCACCTGCTTGCACGGCGCCTGGTTACCACCTGGGTTGCATGTTGCCTAATCACCACGGGAGACCAGAATCCTTCACACTTCCGCATTCACCTGGATTCCACGTGAGCGCGCAGCTGAGACCGCACGCGCGGCTGCAAACGACCCTCTCTCGCACCGACTCACACACCTCACCACGTACACACCACCACTCTGAACCCACCCGGGTTGCACGTGAGCGCGCAGCTCAGATCTTCCAGCAACTGCAGGCACGTGGTCTGGCCGATGAACGCGTCGCACGCCTGGTAGACAGAACAGGGTTGAGAGGGGTGAGACGGGTTGAAAAAGGGGAGGGAGCGGTTGAGAGGGAACGGTGGGGAGTGTGGGGGTTTTCAGCAGCTGCAGGCACTTGGTCTGGCCAATGAACGCGTCGCAGGTCTGGCGGTGCGATGAGAGGGAGTAACGGGGGATGAAGGGGGATGCGAGGTAATGATTGCGATTCTAGATGTCACGAACAGCGCTGGGTCGACCAAACTTGGAGTGCTAATCGTCATGATGACCAAATAGCAATAAAGATTATACTACAGTGTTTTTGTTATGGTGATTTGTTTTTCCTTGCATGAGAACCTCGACCTTGGAGGCACGAAGATCAGTGCCTCGGGACTGACGAGTACAGCGGGTCGGACGAGCCTGGATAGCTGAGCGTCATGATAACCAGCTACAGTAATGTACAGTGAATTTGCAGAGTACGAACCTTGGCGTTGGGTTGCACGAAGCTGAGTGCCTCGGGACTGACGAGCGACACCAAGTTGCGCAAACTCGCGCTGGCAAGGCCAAGCGCGGCGTTAAGATCCGCGCAAGCCCCGCAGCATGATTGCGCGGATGCCGCCGGACACCGCGTTGAAGCAATTGCCGTCGCGGAAGGCGCAAGGCCTGTGTGCGGACAAACTTGGGAGAGCGCAGGCGGAAGTGGGGAAACAGTGGGCTTGGCTAGGGCGGTAATTTGAGGGGGGAGGATAGGCGCGGGCTGCGTGGAGTAGGTAGGGAGGTGAGTTACAACAAGGAGGGAGATAAGTAGAGCGGCTCGAGAAATTTGTGCGGCTCGGATGCCGTTTCTAACTGGGGAGGTTAGTCTGTCGCGGAAGACTAGTCGTAGTGCGACGCACGAGAGAAGCTTTCGAGGACGCATTTTTGCAATGAAGGCTACAGTCCAAATACACTAAATTATGTAGCTCTATTGGATTGTGTGCGAGCTTACGAGCTCCTACCATAAGAACAAGGTTTTCGTTCCTCGATATATTGAAGTTCTAAATGCGACGAGTGAGACCATCCGAGAGGGTCCCTGCTCACTGCTGTCCTACTCTCTTGAATAGATAAGGGCTGGTTGTTGGGACATATGTGCAGTGCTTGGGCAAGAATACGGTCGGCTCGCTTTCAATTCAGTGAAGGAACAAGCTGGAGAGTGCAAGGGGAGGTAATGAAACTGCCTCCTCGCACTCGAGATGGGCCTACTCAAGAAGAGCTTGTCAGAAATGGCCGAGAATTGGTGTCCTGCACAAGTGACTCTGAAACCCTAAACTTTTCGTCTGCGGTTTGACGACGGAGTCCATTTGACGGGAACTCAAACTCCTACCTACGCTTCCGCCCTCAAATTACAGTAGCTCAGCGTAAGTGCCTGGGTTTCGGGTTCACACCGAGTGTTTAGCGAGCTTCGGCGACCATCCAACCCATGTCTAAACGGAACCAGTAAGGGATAAAAATTTCTCGACGAAAAACGACTGAACCCGCTGGCGGCGGACAGAGTTCCTTTGTGCAGACACCGAAAGTCATGCCGAGCCGCATTTGCAGAGTGCACAGAAGCTGGCTGACGCGGTTTGTTGCACTTCCCGCGATTCAGAATTTCTGCAAATTCGGGGTGCGAGGATTGATTGGTGAACATTGAACAAGTCCATGACCGGACGACCAGGCAAGGGAAGACTCGTTACAGGGCTTGTATATTACCAAGGACAAGGTAATACAGAAGGAAATGACTGTAAGTTATACAGCAAAAGAAGTGATCATTAAACGATATTGCTCTTAAAATACACCTATATTTTTCTTTAAATTACAATTTTAAATCTTTTAAAAATATGAAAAAAAACGGATAAATTGTTATTCTTTCATCTTATATAGTCCTCATATAGAAATTTACAGCACCACCCTTATCACTGCTGAATAAAACACTAAGGGAGATGCCTGTGCCAGAGCAGGCGCAGTGTGGTGTCAGATAAACTGTCACGTGTGCAGTGGATTCTGACTCGAAGCGGCAATGCAGGCGATTCGTGCTTGCACCGACATCCGTGTTCCCTCACCGATGGCGGCGAACCACAGCTTCCACTATCCCTGACAGTAGGGCTTATGCACCAATCACATGCCAGGATCGACTGGCTCTGATCGGCTTGATCTGATGAAAAGTTTTCGTTAGGGCTGTTACCCGATTTCGTTTCTAAAGTCGCTAGCTGCAAAGGGGTAGCTCAACCCATCAGGGAACGGGGGCGGCCGAGACGCGACAGAAGTCCGCTCCGCAGCGCATTCACATGACATTTTGTGGCGCATTGGGTTGGTTTGGGTCTCAGGGAGAGCACAAAAGAGCTGAAAGACCCGTAACCCGATCCAGCCCAAGATGGAGGTTTGTTTCATGTCTTACTTAGGGCGCGTCCTCTCCCTCGGTCGACCCTGCCCTCAATCGATCGAGGGCGAGATACATGTCGCAATTCACAGGGTAACTGGAATGCGAGATGGCTTGCGAGACGTCTTAGACACACCAAAAAGTCGTTGGGCGGCTGATAGGAAATCCAAACGGTGTCGAGTTTGTATTTGCAGCCAGCGAATGATCCATTTGTGGTTCGCGATTGCTGTCATAGATCAGCACCAGACGGTCACTATTACGTCTGAACACGCCTGGCCGAACACTATAAACAAAGCCCTCTCTGCACAGCACATTCAAGTTGCTCGGGATTCAGTGCCCCTCTGGCCTGGAAACGTCTTTCCTTCATCCAGCGGCTGTATTCCTAGCACATTACTGCTCCTTGTGCCCGCCCTTCTGCTAAAACCGTCCCTTCCCTTCGCGCGTTTCGGGGACAATTAGATCGGCTCGCACAGCAGAAACTGGAAAAAAGGTGGACTCGTTGTACGAACGAGATCTCAGAAAGCCCGCGTGAGTACAGCGCGAACCGAAAAAAGAGATCAACTCTCAAAATGGTCACCACGTGGCAACATCGTCCGCAATCAGCGCGCCATCGGCTCCACTATGCTTCTCCGCGTAGCCCCTTGTTGCTGCTGCTCTCTCCTTTCTTCCTCCTTGCCCTCACATGCCTTGACCCTTCCTCCGCGCAAAGTGCGCCGACTCCTTCCGCCAGCCCCCCTTCCGCCAGTCCGTCTCCGCCTCCCCCGCCACTCCGCCGTCCTGCCCGTTCACCGGGCTACAGCCGTCCGCCCCTTCCGTCTCACCTTCCCGCTGCCCGGCCGCGGCGAACCTTTCCTGCTGCCCGGCGTGCAGCGATCTGAACGGCGCGCTACAGCTGGCGTCGGCGAACATGAGCGCGCTTGTAGCGGAGCTCAGCCCCGGCGCTACAGTCGATCCGAGCCTGGGCGTGTGCAAGGGCTTCGAGGGCCAGCAGCGCTGCCTGCAACTTCTGGAAGATCTCAACTGCGCGTCGAGTTGCAACTCAGGTGGGTAAAAAAAACGAGCGAGAAGTCCGAGAACCGGGAAAAAAAAGAGTCAAGGAATCCAAGCGACGTGAAGTGGCGTATTATGAAGTCGCAGTAAAATGAGCGACCGAGGAACGATAATACTAGAACATCTATAATAATAGTGATATAAACAAACTTATAACCACATTGTTTCCACTAGTCCCGCACTCAAATATCCGTGCGTCGCCCTCCTGTGCAGATTCGGGCGCGTACATAAGCGGCACGAGCATGCGCGTGTGCTCCGCCTTCGCCGCGACCCTCTTCGACGCGTGCACTCCCGTGTGGAGTAAGTGTGGTTGGCTTACGGCTTATGACCCACATTGTTTCCAGATCATGTCAGAAATCTTTCATATTTCCTTCAAAAGGCGCGCAGTGCCTTGCGGTGTAAGTGTCAGCTGGCTCGTGATTTACGAGATGCGAGATGTTACATGTCTTTGGGGAAAGCGTGCAATGCGTGATAAGAGTTAGTCGGCTTACGAGGTGCGACGTAATGTGAGATTCTTAGGAACAACGTGCATTTTCGTGTAGAGTAAGTGTCTTTCTTTCCACTCACACTCCCCTTCTCTCTCCCGCGTCCTTGCCCACTCTTCACTTTCGCCCCTGCCTCCCGCCAGTGGACACCCTTCAGCTGTCGCAGCTTTACCCAGACGCCTCCCCTCTCCTCGCGTCCTTCGCCGGCAATGTGACGAAAATAATGGGATCTCTGGTTACCACGTTCGCGATAGATGACTCGTCCGCCTGTTTCAACGGCACGGGCATCTACCCGCAATACACGGCGTGCTGCGATCCCTATTCCTCCCTCCCCTCCTGCCCTGTCACGTCCCTCGACCCGTCTAAATACCAATCCGTAGTTAATCGCACTATCGACTCAAATAGCTGTATGGGGATCGCTCCCCCGCCTCCTCCCCAGCGCCCGCACCCGCCCCCGCGTCGCTCCCCTCCACTCCGCCCCCGCCCCCCCCGTCCCCCGAAGCCTACCCCATCTGCCCCTTCACGGGTAACTACCCCTCCGTTCCTGCGCTTTTTCCGCCTGCCCGCTGCCCGGCCGCGGCGAATCTGTCCTGCTGCCCGGCGTGCAGCGATCTGAACGGCGCGCTACAGCTGGCTTCGGCGAACATGAGCGCGCTTGTCGCGGAGCTCAGCCCCGGCGCTACAGTCGAACCGAGCCTGGGCGTGTGCAAAGGCTTCGAGGGGCAGCAGCGCTGCCTGCAGCTTCTGGAAGATCTCAACTGCGCGTCGACTTGCAACCCAAGTGAGTCCCGTTGTACATCTCGCTTGAAACGTTGAAACAGGGGTTGGAGTTAGGTATAGTCCCTCTATATACGTGTAAACGTTCGTTTGAAAGCACTCGGCTCTCCCTCCTGACCTGCCCCCACCTCTCCCCTTCCCCCACCACTTCTCTTGCTCCCCCCCCCCCCGCCTCTCGTGGCCGTGTGATGTGATTGATTCGCAGATTCTGGCGCTTACATAAGTGGCACCACCATGCGCGTGTGCACTGGATTTGCTGACGCCCTCTACACAGCGTGCAGCCTATGTGGAGTAAGTGCTATGTTCCTCGTAACCTGCCTGCAGGTAGCATTAAGTTTTCCCCGATCTATCCTCTTCCCGTTCTTACCAATCTTGCATCATTCTTCAGCGGGAAAAAAAACCCTTTCTCTAAGCTCTTCCCTCCGCGCGTCTTTCATTCTGCAATTTTGATCACTCCCCTCTCCCACCCACCTCCCCTCCTCCCCTCTCCCACCTCCCCTCCTCCCCTCTCCCACCTCCCCTCCTCCCCTCTCCCACCTCCCCTCCTCCCCTCCTCCCACCTCCCCTCCTCCCCTCTCCCCCCTCCCCTCCTCCCCTCTCCCACCTCCCCTCCTCCCCTCTCCCACCTCCCCTCCTCCCCTCTCCCACCTCCCCTCCTCCCCTCCTCCCACCTCCCCTCCTCCCCTCTCCCACCTCCCCTCCTCCCTCTCCCCACCTCCCCTCCTCCCCTCTCCCACCTCCCCTTTCCCACCTCCCCTCCTCCCCTCTCCCACCTCCCCTCTCCCACCTCCCCTCCTCCCCTCTCTCCTCCTCCTCCTCTCTCCTCTCCTCTCCTCCTCTCTTTCCCCCCTCCAGTGAACAACGTCTCTATATCCGCGCTCTTTCCCACCGCCTCCTCCCTTCTCGCATCATTCGGAGGCAACATGACCCAACTCATGGGATCCAGCATCACCAACCTCACCATCGACGATTCTCATCGCTTCCTTCCTCGTCTATCCCTCTCCCCATCTTTCCCTCCCCCTTCTCCCCCTTGTCCTGCAGTGAACAATGTGTCTATCTCGGAACTCTTCCCCAACGCCTCCTCCCTCCTCACATCCTTCTGAGGCAACATAACCAAACTTATGGGATCAAGCATTACCAACCTCACCATCGACCATTCTCAGCATTTCCTTACCTGTCCCCACCTCTTCCCATCTTTCCCTCCCCGGTCTCCTTTGGTTTCCACAGTGAACAACGTTTCTATTTCTGCGCTCTTCCCCAACGCCTCTTCCCTCCTCACATCATTCGGAGGCAACATAACCAAACTCATGGGATCAAGCATCACCAACCTCACAATCGACGATTCCAATCCCTCCGCCTGTTTCAACGGCACCGGCGTGTACCCGACCTACACTGCCTGCTGTGACCCCCTCGCCACCCCTTCCACCTGCCCTGCAACCGCACTGAACCCCTCTAACTACCCTTCCGACCTGCTCAACCGCACCATTGACTCCCAGTCTTGCATGGGCAGCCTCCTTCCCCCTCCTCCTCCTCCTGCCGCCCCATCATCCGCCCCCGCCCCTGCCTCCACCTCCGCCCCTTCCCCCACCTCTCCCCCCTCCGCCCCCAGCCCATCCGCCCCGGTTCCGCCCCCGCCCCGTCGCCCCCCCAGTTACCACCTTCCCCAATTGCCCCTTCACCAATAACAGCCCGTACCCGCCTGGCAGCGCCATGCCGCGCTGCCCTGCTGCGGCGAATCTCTCGTGCTGCACGGCGTGCCAGGACATTGATGGCGCGCTGAAGCTCGTCAGTACGAAGCTGGAAGACGTGGTGAAGCGCATCGGCCCCGCGAATTCCGTGGATCCCAGTCTAAAGGTGGGAACTGAGCGGAAAAACAAAATAGAAAAGCTTTTCGTTACGTTATGTTTTTCTAATCTTGGCCTGTTCACCTTTGCGACCTCTACAGTGCCCCTCTTACCCCTCGGCGAAACTCAGTTTCCCTTCCTGTTTTCGCCTCCGTTTTCGTCTCCCTAAATTACTTCGCCACTTGCGTGTTCAGCTGTGCGATCTCTACAGTGACCTCATGTGCGAGCAATCGGTGGAGGATATGGTTTGCGCACTCACATGTAACCCAGGTGCGTTACACTCATGGAACTAATATGCTATTCCACCTAGTCCTTTCAATAATTGCCCGCAATTATACCTTTTTCTTGTCTTTTGGAATTCTAAACGTTTAAACTTTTTTTCCCTTGCCACCGAGTCTGTATGTTGCTCCAAATCATCAAATCCGTTTTTATGTTGTGGTGTGTGCAGATGCGGGTCGGTATGTGACGGTTTCAGACGGTGCCGTCTCCATGGCTGTGTGCCCTAGCTATGCTTCCTTCGCCTATGAAGTGTGCAAGGGAACTACAAGTAAGGAATGCCCATATTATTGTGCTCTTATGGATACACGTGCTCTTATGGATGGTTACACGTGCTCTTACGGATGGATACACGCAGGGATATGTTTGTGTGACAGTGTGTATGGGCTTGTGCACAGGTGCGTTTGTCTGTGGGGGTTAACATGTAAAATTGACCGAGTGTGTTCATGTGTGTACACACTGTGTTCTCTTCTATGCAAAGTTCCTTACTAGCACACTCACCTCTCCATCACCCCCCCTCAACTTGTACCCTTTGTGTCCCTCCTGTGTGTGCAGTTGGGAATATGACAATCGAGTCCAGCATACCGGATGCTGGCATGTTCCTGAGCACAGTTGTCAGCAGCGTTATTGGCGTCGCCATGGGCATTAGTAGCTTCAACATCACTGTGCAAGAGGTACAGTCGGTTGTATCTGCGCATGTTCTAGTTGCTTCAGCATCACAGTGCAAGAGGTACAGTCGCTTTTATGTTTAGTCACTTGCAGTCATGCATAAGCAGCGGCGTCGCCATGGACTTTAATAGCTCCAACATCACTATGCAAGTGGTACAGTTACAAATACACCGAGAAAATTGCACATGCGCCATCAAATGCCCACGTACACATTTTATGCACACATATATTAACGCCCAGATATGCACATGCAAACATGCACACGAGTCTTGGAAGTGTGCATGCCTGTTCACACTCGCTCACAAACAATCACTCTCTCTCCCTGACATTCCCACTCACAGCCACACTCCCATCCCCTTCCTCTACCCCTGCCCTCCCCCCTCCACTCCGCCAGACCTCCTGTTTCAACGGCTCTCCCCTTGTCCCAGCCACCCCAGCCTGCTGCGACCCGCTCCCCCTCCCCTCGTCTTGCCCCATTCTTTTTGCAACATACACCCCCTCTAATCCACATCCCCCTATGTGTCCTCCCTGCTCCCCACCCGCCACTCTGCCAGACCTCCTGTTTCAACGGGTCTCCACTCGTCCCCGCCACCCCAGCCTGCTGCGACCCGCTTTCCCTCCCCTCCTCCTGCCCCCTAGGTGCAATCGACGCCTCTCAATACCCCGACACCATCGGCCGAACCATCAACTCCTCCCTCTGCCTCGCCGCTTCCCCTCCCGCTCCTCCTTCCGCCTCAGCCCCTCCTCCTCTCCCTCTCCCCCTGCTCCTTCTGCTCCTGGGTCAACCCTGCACCTCCCGCCCCTGCCAGTTCCCCGTCTCCTGCTCCTCCTGCTCCTCCTTCTCCGGAAGGGCCTCTGACCGGATCTGGTAATAACACGAGGCCTCCCCCTCCTCCCTCTCCTCCTTCTAAGGCTGCTCCCGCCTCCTCTTCTGCTGCTGTGGCGGTAGCGGCGGCGGCATTGTTGCTGGCTACAATCACTGTGTTTCTGTGAGGGGTCTAACGTGCCTGCTGCTCTGACCTCTGAGTCGTCTCAGAGGGCTTTGGTGCTGGCTACACTCGCTGTGCTTCTGTGAGGAGTCTAACGTGCCTGCTGCTCTGCTATTTAAAGGACAGGGGGGACTGATGAGCCTGCTGCTGCAGGTGTTTGTTTGAAGGGTTTGCTCTCTGCGTGCATTGCCCTGTGAGGGCTGGCACGGGGTTGGGATGGGTGGAGGGCGTTGCTTGGTGGTGAAAATGGGTGGGTGGTTGTAATGGTTGGGTGTTGGCTGAACATGGTTAAGTTTCTTGTGGGCTGAGATTGCTTGAAAGTGAGTGTGTTGGGTGCTTGTGGGTTTGAGACCCGGAATGGCATGGTGGCATTGAAAACGATCTGAATTCTTGACTGACTGTTAGGCGGATAGCTGGACTAATAGTCTGATAGTCTGACTGATTGGCTGTCTGAACAGTATATCATATGGTAATGGTAGTGTCATCACATCACCATATGGTAATGGTAATCTAATGACGAACCTTCAAAATGTATATGTTGAATTAAAGCCGGCGCCTAGAATGGCAAAGGATTTTTGAAATTTCTCAAAATTTCCCTACCTAAACAAGATTTTGTCGTACGGTAGTCAGGTTATGTCATGGTTACATTGTAATGCAAAATGGCTGTATTTTGTTAGCATAATCAGCTCAATGTAACAAACCCATTACCGTATATTAGGTTTCCTAAGTGTGCAGGGAGAGCGGGGCGGAGAAAAGGTAACAAGGGAAACAAAATATTTGACCCGGTAAAAGGAATTCACAGCAGAAGTGCTGGTAATAGCAGGGAAAAGCCGGCTGAGAGGAGAGAGGAGAGAGGAGAGAGGAGAGATACCGTAAGCAGATGCAGGCGAAGAAGAAAATGTCTGATCCAGCAAGAGGGATTCACAGCAGCAGTGCTGGTGCTAGCAGGGCAAAGCCGGCTGATAGGAGAGAGGAGAGGAGGGAGAGATAGGCCGATGCAGGAGAAGAGGCAGGCTTTGGGGGAGGAGGGGGAGGGGATGGAGTGGTGGGTGTAGAAGAGGAGGGAGAAGGAGGAGAGGGTGAGAGAGAGGGAGGAGAGGAGGGAGAAGGAGGAGAGGGCGAGAGAGAGGGAGGAGCGGAGGGAGGGGGGGTTGATGCCACTGGGGACGGAGGGCTAGGAGTGAGGGGAAGGGGAGTGGGCGTTGAGGGAGGAGCGGCGGGAGGAGAGGTGGGAGGAGAGGAGGGAGGAGAGGAGGGAGGAGAGGAGGGAGGAGCGGCGGGAGGAGAGGAGGGAGGAGAGGAGGGAGGAGGGAGGAGCGGCGGGAGGAGAGGAGGGAGAAGAGGAGGGAGGAACGTCAACAACAGGAGCCGGAGCAGGAGCAGGGGAGGATTCAGGTGAGAATTCAGGAGGAGGGGCGGGAGCAGGGGCGGGAGGGGCGGCAGGGGCGGGGGCAGGGGCGGGCGGGGGGAGGATTCCTGCTTGGCAGGCGGAGGAGTTGATTGGTCGGTTGATAATGGAGGCGTAGCGAGTGGTGTTGATGGCTGTAGCAGGGCAGGTGGGGGGGACGGCGAGAGGGTCGCAGCAGGCAATGTAGGGAGGGGATTGGGTGGTGCCTGCAAAACAGTTGGTCTGGAGGGAAGGGGAAGGATGGCAGAGGGAGGGAGGGGAAGGACAGGGAGAAGGAAAAGACGATTGTCGGTCAACTGAGTTATGCTACGACAGAGCAAGGTCAAGGGCGTGGTGGTGATGGTAAAGGGCGTGGTGATGATGGTAAAGGGCGTGGTGATGATGGTCAGAGGGACATGGTAACCGGTAACGCCCATGCGAGACCATGCTTATGAGACAAGCAATTCAACTCCCGCTCACCGCTCCCACTAAGTGATAAAATCCTTCACTCCGGCTCTCTTAAAATGTTCCCCACAATCATTGAGGTGTATTTTGAGGCGCCTCAAAATGATTCTTCACCCCCAGTTCTCTGACAATGTTCCCCATATCCATGGACATGCAGGGGGAGTGGGTGCACTGAACTCTTTTGGGGCGCCTCAAAAGTGGACACGCAGGGGTGGATGGATGCACGCATTGGACTCTCATGTGTCTTCGCTCACTGCCACTCCAGGCAGGCAGTGGCCCTTCACAACTCACGCCCTTCACAACTCACGCCCTTCACAACTCACGCCCTTCACAACTCACGCCCTTCACAACTCACCACTCCCACTTTGGTGGCGGTGAAGCCTTGCACCCCCAGCACTTTGACTATGTTCCCCACCACCATGGCCACGAAACTGGACATCCGGGGGGGCATACACTCACTAGCACTGGCATGTTCCGCACTCAACTCTCATGTGTCTTCAATCACTGGCACGCCAGGCAGGCAGTGCCCTTTCACAACTCACCGCTCCCGCTTTGGCGGTGACGCCGTGCACCCCCAGCACCTTGACTATGCTCCCCACCACCATGCAGCCATGGGGCCATGCAGCCATGGGCCCATGCAGCCATGGGGCCATGCAGCCATGGAGCCATGCAGCCATGGGGCCATGCAGCCATGGGGCCATGCACGCATTCCCATCCCATGTGTGTCTTCTCCTGACGCGTGTCAAGCAATGCCCACACCCACCCGCACCCACCCACACCCACCCACACCCACCCACACCCACTCACCGCTCCCACTTTGGCCGTGAAGCCCTTCACCCCCAGCACTTTGACAATGTTGCCCACCACCATGGACATGAAATTGGCCGCATCTGGAATGAAAGTTGTCAGATTCAAGCCTTCGCCCACTGGGGGTGGTGTAGAAGAGATAGGGGAAAAGAGAGGAAGCAAAGTGAAAAGGTACGTAATGATGACACTAAAGTGTATTTTGAGAAATTAAGCAAGTCACCTGACATTCCAAGTGGAAAGAAGTGGTACGTGTACAGTCCGCATCAGATTGTGATTTCTATTGATTTTTAACGCATGGACCACCAGCAAATTGACATCCCCAGCAGAATGTTGAGAATTCCACAAAATGCTCCACAAAGGGATGCGAGTGCCTTGAGGCAAAGCGTTACGCATGTAACAGCGCCATCTTTCGTGAAGGCACGCACGAGCCTGAGTGCAAAATCCGAGTGGACTCAAAAAGGCGTTACACACGTAACAGTGGCATCTCTCGTAATGGCACGTACCTGAGAGCCCCTGGCAGCTGGCGAACACCTTTTCAGCGTAGGCCGGGCAAACGGTCATGGTGGGACCTGCAGGGGCGGCGGATTTGATGTACTTCCCGGCGTCAGGGTTGCACTGCGCGGCACAGACAAGGTCCTCCATGGCTTGCGCGCACTTGATCTGGCCGGTGAACAGGTCGCAGATCTGAATGGGGGGGGGGGGGAGGGGGAGGTTGTCAAGACAATGCATTATGCTAAATGTCAACGAATTGAATTGAACTCTATGCATGTTTAAAAAAAGGGATATAAAACTCACGTATTGGTTTCCAAATTTAGCTCACAAAAAGCCAGTCCAACTCTGTAAACCCTAGTTGAACGCATAACACTCTCATTCATTGTGGATGGTCGCTACAAGATCATTCTCAATTACACGAGATACAGTATTAAGCCCACCTTCATTGTTCTGTTAACGAAATTCAGCAGCGCGGGGTCAATAGCCGCCACAAGATGATTCATTGAAAACGCGTAACGAGGTACAGTTAACTCACCTTGAGTGTTGCGTTTATAAAATCCAGCAGCGCGGGGTCGATAGCCGCCACGAGATCGCCGAGCGTGGACCCGACGAGCATAAGGGCCGAGTTCAGATCCGTGCACGAATCACAACACGACAGCTCAGCAGCGGCGGGACACCTGGACGGTGGCACCTTGGGCTTCTGCGGAAGCTTCCCCGTCAACGGGCACGCGGGAACGGCGGAGGCGGGGGGGGGCGGGGGGAGAGGAGGCGGGCGGAGAGGCGGCGGGGGAAGACGAGCTGGGGGCGGGGGAGATGAGGGGCGCGGAAGGGGACGGGGCGGCGGGCATGATGAGAAGCGGCGGAGGGAGATTTGCGGATGGCGCGGCGAGGGCGGGGGAAGGGTGGAGGGCGGCGGCGACGAGGAGGATGACGACGAGGAGTGGAGACGGCGCGCTGCGAGTAGACGACCGCGCGTTACGAAGAGACAGCGCGCTTCGAGCAAACGGCGCGCTGCGGAAAGACGTTTGGATGGCCATGATGGTGTCTGCCGGTCGGCGCGCGTGTGACAACAGCGAGCGTGACAATTGCGAGTTTGACAGCAGCGGGCGTGAATGCAGCGGGTGCCACAGTATTGAGTGCTAGCGACGAACGCGAGCGGATGCGACGAATACGATTTTTGGCTATACTTTTCAAACGCGACGCGACCGAAGCGCCGCAAGGAAGAGGTTGCGCAGAGGGGCGCAGGGTAAAGAAACAAGCCAACTAGACAACAACAGAGACAGACAACCGAAGCCAATGCAACCACTATGGTCTTTTTGCGGAATGTAGGTTGGAAAATGGAAGAAAGAAAGAAGAACCAAGTTCTTTGTTCGGGTTGCCCCTAGCTTGGAAGAACCCGCATCTGTAAATCAAACTCATAACATTAGCACAAAACGTTGCCAGAGGAGGTAGTCTGTTGCGAAAAGGGAGACGAATCCATTTAAACATACAGCATTAAAAATCATACTGTTATGTAAAAATAATGGGAAAGGGCGAGGGGAGAGCAGAGAGGGGAAGATGGAACGACACTAAGGGGACAATCTTTTCACACTTGAAGCAGCACGATTCGGTGTCGCGGCGCACCCCGCTGGTGGATCGTCGTCGGGCAGGCATTTAGGACGGTTGGAATCCCGAAAAGTTACACAGACTAGCAGTCTGAGGTTTACTCGAGAAAGCAGGACAATCTGTGATACTCGATTTCCGTGTCATAGTTTTGAGGTGCAGTTCTCCATGTCAGGGCAGAAGACATGGAAATCGAATAGCACAAAACTGTACGATCGACAGCCGGGGGTAACCCAAAGGGGGCTCTCCCCCCTCCCTTACAAAATTGCTTGGCCAATAATGTTGCCCGAAAATTTCTGGCGAATCCACGACAAGAAACACAGTCGATCAGAATTTCATTCCGCGATATGGACGTCGCGATACTTTCTCTTAGCATAGGACTGCCCTTTATATACAATTTCTCCATTTTACCCAGTTGAGCAATTGACGCTTGTTTCTTCTAACTCTCGGGCAGGTAAGTATACCCCACATGTATACCCCACTCTCGGGCAGTGAAAAACTGGCATGAACTTCATCCACATGTACAGCTCGTATACAATAGCTGTATATGTATTGTGTCCCTTACCCAACAATTACTCCACCACACTACAGCACAAGAAAAGCCGCAGCCCCATAAATAAGGTATCTAACTACCGATGCATAGCAAGCAGCAGAAGGCGAGCCCGTTTTGGGAGGTGCAGCAGGCGGGGGCGGGGAGGGGAGTGGGGTAGAACCAGGGGCAGAAACGGAAGGAGGAGCGGAAGGAGTGGAGGCTGGGCAGTTGGCTGGGTCGATGGTTCGGCCAATCAGGTCGGCGTATTTGGTGGTGTTGACCGAACCGGCAGGGCAGGTGGTGGGGACGCTGAGAGGGTCGCAGCAGGCAATGTTGGTGGGGTAGACTCCACTGCTGGTGAAGCAGCGAGTCTGAAGTGAGGGAGGAGGGAGGAGAGAGGGGGAGAGGAGGCAAGAGGGGAGAGGGGGCACGAGGGGGAGGGGACACTGAGAGGGTCACAGCAGGAAAATTTGGTGAAGTAGACTCCGCTGCTGGTGGAGCAGTAAGTCTGAAGGGAGGGAAGATGGGGGGTACGGATAGGTGGGAGGCAGAGCAGCAGCAGCCATCGCTTGTGAAGTAGACTTCACTGTTGGTGAAACCGATTGTTTAGAGAGCAGTAACTTCCGAACAGATACACAGAGCGAATCACTTTCTAACATTGATAGCACTGCATACGAGCAGTTACTCACTGTAGCGCGGCTAGTACTCACGGCAACACAGTTACACACTGTAGCGAAATCGAACTTGAAGTTGGGGATGCCAAGGGACTTGACGACATTAGCCACGATGATGTTCATGAAGTCCGGGTAAGATGTGATACAGTTACTCACAGTAGTGAAGTCAAACTTGAAGTTGGCGATCCCAAGGGACTTGACGACATTAGCCACGATGATGTTCATGAAGTCCGGGTATGTTGTGATGAGCCCCGTCAGGTCCATACCGTCGCCCACTGTTCCATAGATTGGCGGGATTATAAGGGAAGAAATGGGGTAAAGGGGACAGCAGGCCTTGAAAATTCAAGAGATGATAGTGTGTATGAAGTCCGAGTATGATGTGATGAGCCCCGTCAGGTCCATACCGTTGCCCACTGTTGCTCAGGGATGGGTGGGAATGAAAGGAGAGGGAAGGAGATGAATTGAGGTCACGTGAAAAAATAGGGGGTCGACCTTTGCGTTGATCTTTACAACTTTGCACACCCTATTCCCCCCCCCCCCCCCAAAAAAAAAGAGAGGAAAAAAAAGAGACAAAAAAAAAGAGAGAAGCTTACGTGAAAGACCACTGCATGCTTTGCAAATGGTGTCCACGTAGCAAGTGCAGACGGTCATCGTGGTGTACAAGCCAAGAGTGTGGTTTCGAGGAGCCTAAAATTAAATTAATTCTTGCGGGAGAGGCTGCTGCAGGCTTTGAAAATGGTGTGTGGAGTAGCCAGTGCGGACAGCCTTGGTGGTGGATGTTCCTGGGGGTCTGTTTTTGACAAGCCTAGAAAATGTAGAATTCTTACGTGAAAGGCCGCTGCAGGCTTTAAAGAGGGTGTCCGCGTATCCAGTGCAGACAGTCATGGTGGTGGAGTTGTTGGGAACAACCGTGACGTAGGAGCCCGAGTTAGGGTTGCATGTTAGTCCGCACAGCAGATCCTCTATGAGTTGCGCGCACTGCGCCTGACCCGTGAATAGATCGCATACCTGAGGCAATGGAAAGGAGGAAATTATGGAGAAGGAAGTTCGTAAACAAGAAACCATGGACAGCGGAGCCAGACGCACAGCAGATCCTCCATGAGTTGGGCGCACTGCGCCTGGCCCGTGAATAGATCGCACGCCTGAGGTGGTTGGACATTTGGAAGGAACGAAGACGACGAGGAAAGGAAACAATGGAGAATGAGACATGTAAATAAGATCGTGGAGGTTTGAAGCAGCCGCACAGCAGATATCGCGTGTGCAAACCGACCGCCGTGCGCGAGACGCGAACAGCCGGAGGTATAAGGTTTTCGTTAGTTAAAACGATCCTTGCTACTCGCGTTATTGTTTGGTCGTGACCAAAAGAGACATCGAAAGGTGCTGGTGTTGCCTTCAGGTCCGCGTTAATAAGATGCAGCCACTGCAAACGAATTCTGACGCGCCTAGAATAGGGGGGTGACGTTCAACTTCGCGTCTATCAAATCCGCAATCTGCAGTCTGGACGACTTAGGACCCTAGAGGGTCGAGCCTGTGCGAGCTCGGCTCGGTTCGCTTCGGTTCGGTTCGGCTCGGCTCGACTGACCTTGAGTTTAGAGACGACTCAGACTCGAAAATAGAGCCCGTGGTGGGCGCGGCTCACCTTGAGCTTCGGGTCGATCAGGTCTACAAACTGCGGGCTAATCTGCGCCACGACGACAGAGGGAACTGCTGTGTTGAGCTGTGCTGTGCTGAGCTGTGCTGTGCGGTGCTGTGCTGTGCAGTGAAGTGCTGTGCAGTGCTGGTTCGGCTCACCTTGAGCTTCGGGTCGATCAGGTCCACAAACTGCGGGCTAATCTGCGCCACGACGCTGGTAAGGTTCGTCCCGACAATCCCGAGGGCCGTGTTGAGATCCGTGCAGTCGGCGCAGCACGACGCATCGACAGCAGCCATGCATCGTGGCGGGGGAACCGCCGGTTTTGTCGGCTGCTTCCCCGTGAACGGGCACGCGGGATATTTCGGCGTCGGCGATGCTGGCGAAAGGCCGTGGACGTGTGCGACGGAGAGAGTGGCGACGACGACGAGGAGCAACAGCTGCGTAGCGATTTTCGCCATTATGTTTTTCTTCTTCTTTTGCCACTCGACGGCTCACACGCTATGAGAACCAGCTTAGCGTCCCTTTATTCGACAAAGTTCGGTAGCAGGAATCGTTTCAACCTGAGCGACAAACCTAACAATTGGATGCACTATGATCGCATCTGTCTTGTGGTCAAGTAATGAAGGTTGTACGAGCCTGTTTTACCAAGAAAAAGAAAAAGCAATCGTCAGCTGAAAAGAGCAGGAAGGGAACTTGGCCAGATAATGGCCTTGTAGCACTGAAAAGCAGTCATGTTGGCTGACAGATATATATCTAGGTCTAAAAAGGAAACAATGCTCTGTGCGATAGTGCACAAATGAGTTGTTTTCGTTCCCAGCCCAGCGAATTGCCGATTGACTACAGCGATATGTTTGGCGAGATTGTCGAACCAAACAGCCAAGTAACCTAGCGTCCGTCGTTACGGACCGCCGACAGCAGCGGCAGCGAATGTGCTCACATAGTGGCTCAACTGTAATCTAGGGAGCTACGGAGCGTTTTGAGGTGGTGATTTCTTTTTGTGTTTATTTCTGAACGACCAAACGATATCTGAACGGCCAGGCTCATCTCGTCTGCCGAAACTTTAAATCTCCACCGTTACGAGGGTTTAGGAGCACTCTGAGCGGTCGACGGGTGTTTCTGACGGTCTCAACATCCAAATTGCGACCGAAAGTGGCCGAAAACTGCGGTGTTTCTTTCTGAAACTGGGTGAAGGGAAAGTGTTTCTGGAAACATGGAAGATGACGGCTGGACCCTGCAGTTCGATAGAATGGATTCACTTACAAGCAAGATGGCGCTTGTATGTATAATCCATAACCTTAGAATAAATGTAATAAGGTCAAACAAATAATGGTGGTCTTCATCAGATTGATTGCATAGACAGTGGCTGGTTTCGCAATCCAAATCTTGCTTTGTCAATGCATGCTCCGTACAGGAGGATCCAAAAAACCCCAAATACATACAGTTCAAAAAACTGCAAGAGCAAGCATGCCTATGGCCACATAGCGCACATAGATTGAAAATAAAATATGAGATGCAACAACTGACGAACTAGTTTTGGGAGGAGGAGGAAGGGGGGGTGGGGGGGTCGCCGTGGTAGGAGTGGGTGGCAATGGAGGGGGTGTGGTGGCTTGGCACGTAGCCGAGTCTATGGATCGGCTGATAAGACCGCCATATTTTGCGGTGATGTTGGCAGGACAAGAGGCAGGCACATTCAGGGGATCACAACACGCAGTGTAGAGGGGATATGAGCCAGTACTGTAAAGCAAGGCGACTGGGAAAGGAAAAAACAGGCAAGAAGCGAAAACGTGGGAGGGGTGGCGGGGAGAGGGGAGAGGGGAAATGGGATGGGTAAGAGAGTTAAGACGATAAGCTAAGAGATGAGAATGAAACATTTTGGAACGTCAGTGCATTGCATATGGGTTGTGTGACAAGAGCTCACTCTGCCTGACCTCCCATTTAACTTGGAGCAAACCCTTGCACAGAAAGTTCAGAATGATTAGGAGGGAGAAATAAACACAATAAGAGAGAGAGAGAGAGAGAGAGAGAGAGAGAGAGAGAGAGAGAGAGAGAGAGAGAGAGAGAGAGAGAGAGAGAGAGAGAGAGAGAGAGAGACGGAAGTGGGAGAGGAGGGGAAGGGAAACAAGGGAGAGCATGCGAGGAAGCGCTTACAGAGGATATTTGGATCTCAAAGCCCTCAACTCCGAGCATCTTAATGACGTTCGTAACAACGAGGCTCATAAATTCGTCTGTTGTGGTAACCAGTCCTGCGAAGGACATGTCACCGACTGTGCTTGTAGCAAAAGGTGAGAAGTGAGCAAAGAAGGAAAAGCAGGTAAAATCAGGAAAAACAGAGTGAGGAGTGAAGGATTATTGACAGTAGCAGCGAAGATTGTAGCCCGTCCGACATGCATGAGGGCATGCATTACTGAATAGAAGCAAGCTCATGCGTCTGGAAGATCACATGCGATACCTTTGCACCCTGAGCGTGACATGCTCATGACACAAATTGGAGGAAAGACATGGTGTGAATGTGCACTGGCACCGGATCCCAATAAACAGCTCTTTCCAGGGTGTTGACAAGTTGACCAGACAAGGCCTCAAATTAGTTAGCCTGGCCTCCAAGTAACAATACTTACATGCAAGGCTCTTGCACCGTGTGGAGACATTGTTTGCCAAATTCGAGCACACGTTCATGCTATGAGTCATCTCAAAATCTGCAGATTCTGAAATTCATACATCCTAAAGATACTCACATTGAAGGCCCTTGCACTGTGAGAATACTCTGTCCGCAAGATCCGAGCACACGCTCATGATCACTCCCGTGTTGGATTTTGTCGCATAGAAGCCAGCATTAGGGTTGCACGAGAGGCCACACATTAGGTCCTCTAGTAGCTGTAGGCATGGGGTCATGCCTGTGACAATATCGCACACCTGGGGAAACATGAGACAGAGCAGGCGAGGAAGAGAGAATCGTCATGAGGCTTTTGAATGCATGGCCGTGGATTCAGGCTCTTGAGTTGAACCTCTGAGGCCCCCATGAAAAGATCTGCATCATAAGAGCCTGAACCGCGTAAGAACCGCCGCATCATGCTACGATTGCACGCCTCTAAGCCTGCCAACGCACCGATGTGCTAGAATCGATCCCATCCGCGATGGTGGGGTTAATCTGAGCCACCACGTCCTTTAGATTCGAAGCTACCAAATGCAGAGCCGTGCTCATATCCGTACAGTTGTCGCAGCATGATTGGTCCTTGGCGGCCGGGCAACGCGCAATCGGAATGGTGGGTTTTTTAGGAGGCAGGCCAGTTAACGGACAGATGGACGACGCCATGCCTGGGGTAGGCGGCAAGCCCGGCGCTGGAGGCGGGGAAGCCGCCTGTCTGGGGAGATTGGCGAGCGTGGCGAGAACGAAGAGAAGTACGAAATCCGGACGCCTCGCCATGACTAGACGTGAATGAGGAAAACGACGAGCGTGTGAGTGGGTTTGATTAGAGCAGAGACTGGAATTCGTAAGTGGAGCAGCGCGGAAATAAATATTTTATGCAAATCAAGAAAACGCAAATCCGCACAAGACGACGGGATGTCCGTATAAAGCCAGCGCCTCCTTGCCCTCGCATTGATTGGCCCAATTCCTGCTTCCAGCCAATCAGCGGCGGGAAAGGAGGTTTGCTCTCTAACGGGGATAACCTTGCGAACTCTACTGTTCCTGGAACACTAAATTTGATTTAAAACAATATGATATTTCCAAATCTATGTGCGCCTAAAAGATACAAGCTCCTCAGCATTTGGAACATCAAGAACAATTCCAGACTTGAAATTATGACACAATCTAATCTTAGAAGAGATATTGAGCGGAGAACGGGCCACACTGCCGGGACACTGCTTCAGGACAAACAGTGGAGCAGAAAACCATGCACAGCACACGTGAAATGGGAAGAGAATGCAAATGTATTGGATGGGAGGGAAGAATGTGGAAACGATAATGAATGAATAAAAAGAAAATACCAGCAAGGGAAAGGAGACGAATCTCAGATATACAGATGCACTCTCGTCATAACCATTACCTGCACATGTTGTTGCTTGTTGTCTAGCATAGTCAGATAGCAGGCCTCTGGAGTCGTGACAACACACGCCGGCCGGCCGTTGTGGAGCCAATCAGAGTTCATCCGTGGCACGATGTTGAGGGAGAAGGGGCTCACTCCTGCCAGCCCCGCTGCCATGTAGCCAAAGGTGGAGCTGTCACTCACCAGCAGCAGGTCGCTGGAGGGTGAGGGAAGTGAAAGGGGTTGGGGCATGAGAAGGGTGGGAATGGTATCAACCGGCGATCACTCCCCTGGCCGAAAAATGGAGCTTTCACTCACCAGCAGCAGATCGCTGGAGTGGAGGGGTGGGGGGAGAGGGTGGGTGGAAACGAAGCAGGCGATGCATGGTGGGTGGGTATTAGGTAAACTCCGAACTGTTGCGAGACGCGAAAACGAAGCCCACATGGGCATGAATGAAGGCATACGTATGCTTGCATGAACCATATCACTGGAAAAACAACCCATAAGCAATTCTGCTGAGCTGAGCAGTTCCACATAAACAGAGCCCCATCAACAGTACCAGCACCACATGAAAAAGACTGCATGAACAGTAACACATCAACCACACCACATGAACAATACTGCATGAACAGTAACACATGAACCGCACCTCATGGAGAGCAGCCACATCTCCTTGAGTGCTCTCTCCAGCTGCAGCAGATCGCCTGTTTTCTGCTCGCCCTCATGACTCAGACTGCATTCGAGGAGCAACAACAGCAGCAAACAAGAAAAACATTGTGCTTCATTGGCAACAACGAAAAAAAAAACATTTTCGTTTGTGTTGTAAGCACATCAGAAAAACAGCGTGCGAGAGATTGGAGGAAAGGAAGCAGGAGCGGGATAGTGATAAGACAAAGTAAAGCGAGTGGGCATTGCATCAAGACTCCATCCTGAAAACGAACACTCTCACCTAGTAACTGCGACATTGTAACCGTCCAGTGGTAACCCTTCCACGTACGCCTCGTGTAGTGCATCCACATAGGAGCGCTTTAGAGAAGCCACCAGCACACCCACGCTACGCACTGTGCCGGCTCCTGCTGCCTTCTGGATTGGCTCCATATTACTTGAGTTGGCTGCGCTCTATGAAATGGAACAGGACGGCATGGAAATTTTTGAGATACAAATGGGGTTGTATGCACTGTGTTCGTGACATATGCAACAGAGCAATCTTGAATTGGAACATCATGCAAAAGCAAGAGCAAGGAAGTACCACTTTGGTCGAAGGAGAGATTTCAACCTTGATGAAGGTACCTGTATCCAGCGCATGGGAGATTGTGACGCTTGTCAATCTTGACACAACCCACGATGTAGCTACCAGCCAATCAGTGTGTGTTAACCGTTTTGCAGGCCAGGAGCCGCCACCAGTCATGGGGTTGGGTAAGAGGGAGATGTTGACTCTTGAGTCATGCACAGAATAGCTTTCTGTGATTACCTGGTTGGCGGCCAGGAGGCGCCACTGGTCATGGGGCAGTATGGGGGGCAGCCCATGGGAGATGTTGACAGCACAGTGCAGCACACAGGCGAGGGCCTCTCCCTCGTTGCTGCTGGCAGAGGTGAAGTCACGGATCTGATGCAGGGGAGACGAAGAGAGAGAAAAAGGAAAGGAAAAATGGGGGGAAGATTTAAGAAGAGTTTTGAAAGCTTCCAGCTAGCCATGGAAAAAGGAAGGACTCGGACCACACATGTTGGCTGAGTGTGTCATACGGACCTGGATGCCGACCCTGTGCTGGTGCGGGGCGAGGTAGGCTCGGAAAGCGCGCGTGATTTCCTCCCAGAGGTAGTTGGCGGGGTGCAGCAGGTAGCGCCCCACTTGCATCAGCGGCAGACGGTCGGGGAACAGGCGCTCCAACTCAGCCTGGAGAAAAAGAAGGGGGCAAAGGAGAAAACAAAGAGAGAAAAGAATCTGACTATAATGGATCGTGTGCATCACTGGCTGGCGGTTAGGTACCAGCCACTCTATCTCAGCGTGCTATGGGGCATGGGAGGAACAACAGCAAGGAAAGGAACTGAGTTGGATAATGTGAGACAAATGTTAGCTTGCAAAACGAAAAGTGGAAAGAAAAGGAAGAAAGGAACTTCTAAGCGATGATTAGAAGTCAAGGGAGGAAAGGAAATGGACACATACGTCGAACTCAGACACGAGGTACAAGCCAGGCAGAACGTACTCCTCTGTGAGCAGTGCCAGGAAACGGATGGCTGAGATCCTCTCCTGCTCCTGCGAGCAGAAGAATACAAGATCTGTGTCGTTCACTCTGGGCACAGGGCAGAAGGGAGGGGGCGGAGGGGGAACGCGACAAAGAGAAAGGAGAATGGAAAGTACTTGTGAGGGTGGGAGGGAAGGGGAAAAAGAGTAAATTAGGAGTACTTCAAGATCGAGAATGGAGTGACTTACTATTGTTAAGGTTGCAGAAAAGAACTTAAGATTTTTCGCGGCGGCGGTCACATAAGAACTGTGACTTACGAGTAGTTGAGGTTGCTGTACACAGCGTCAGCAGCAACATCAGCAGCACCATCCGTGGAGTTGGCGGCAGGCAAACCTGATTCTTGAAACGCATTGTAGCCCACACGCCTCTTCTCAGCTCTCAACCTCATGTGGCTGGAGACGGGCGCACGGGAGAATGAAGACGAGTAGAAGAAAGACGGAGCAAATAGAGGAAAACACATGATAGAAAGCATACGAGGCAAGCACATGAAAGAAAACACGCACATAGAGGAAAGCACGCAGGGGAAAGCACGTAGGGGATAGCAAAGCGAGTGCTTACTTGAAGGAACCCCTGTTGAGAGCAGGTGGGGCCCAGGAGGAGTAGGGGAAGGGGTTGCAGAGGAGGCGAGCAGGGAAGCACTCAGGATTTATGATGAGCGTGCGGTTGGTGAGGAGGGCGTAGGTGAAGGAGGAGACGAGGGAGAGCAGCTGATTGCCCAGACCTGAAAGAAGGGATCGGGTTTTGTGTTGCGTGTTGGGAGGACAGGAAGGGGAAAAGAATGCGGAGAGGATGAGGTGATTGGTTTGATGGGGAGTAGGCAGGTGAAAGAGGAAACGAGGGAGACGAGCTGGTTCCCCAAACCTACACAGGACGAGAGAGGAAAAGGAATTGATGGGGAGGAAAAAGGGGGAGGGGGTGCATATGAAAGCGAAGACAAGTGGAGGAGATGCAAACTGATTTGTGGCCGTATGCTGGTCATGTTTGAAGAACTCACTCACCACTGTAGTTGGGCTCAACCCAGAGAAGGTACTTGCATCCTGCCACGTGTGCAGAAGTCGCATTTTCTTGAAGACCCTTGGATCTTGATGCACGGAAGGGGAATGGTGCGAGACGGAGGCAGGGTTAGCAGAGTCAGCGTTGCGGGGCTTATGCAGTGTTGGTGGGTGTGACCACGAATGAAAAATGACCCAGGTGCTACAGATACGGTTCAGGTGCATGCATGCATGGAATATCACAAATTGCATCTGATGTTGGACATTGTAATCGAATTTACGGGTTGAAGTCGCTTGGAGAAGAGACGGGCTCACGAATTATTGAAGAATGCCGGCCAGTTGGTAACGGGTGCCGTGCATGCTGCATGGAGGGTGGAATAATGCTGCAGTCGCTGCACTAGGGCCTCTGACATGCGTGCTTTGTTGCTGTACGACTGTGACACAGTCACACATGTCAAGGGACAGACATATCAATAGACCCACATGTCGTTAGAAAGACATGTCAACAGACGAACATGTCAACATCCACACATTTCAACACACAGACATGTCAACAGACACACATGTTAAAGGTGACACATTGTCAATATGGGCATGGGAATGAGAGGTAAGGCATGTCCACTCATACTAATTGAGGAACATCCATGTTGTCACATGATGCAACCGTGGATGAGGCATACAGAAACACATCCATGCGGAGTGCTACATAAAGACAGACGTACAGTATCACACATGCATGAGAACGGATGTAGAAGCCCATAACATGCAGAATGCATACATATTCATGCAGCCATTCAGTCATACAGATCGGTAGTAACGTCGTTCAGACATGCTCCAGCAGCGAGCTGGAGAATCAAGATCCGCATTGACACCAGTGCTGCTTCCGTCAGCGGTAACACCAAGGGTTTCACCAGCGCCGTTGATTTCAGATGTCACGAAAGCAACTTCGCCTTGATGATGACGATACCGGTGATGACGAGCTCTAATAGCCGCATCTGGTTCGTATAGCAATCGGCGTCCTTGTGCATTCTGATGATGCCGTGTTCTAGAATGGGGAGGCCCATCAAAAGGTTCAGGAGAACCAGCGAATGCGTCGCGGGGCCGGTACTCGAGTGAAAGCAAGAGACAGGAAAACGTCAGAAGCTGAATAACAAGCTGGCGAAGTCGCTTCAGGAGCCGAATAGAGTTGTCATGAGTCATTTTTGATGGAAATGGTAACGTGAGCGGTGCTTCGGCGCAAATCCCGAGGCCAATTTCGCTGTGGAACAAGCAGGCAGGTCTGTTTGGGCGAAGTGATCACGGTCAGGGCCGTATTCAACGTACGTAACAAAACCAGTCGCATCTTCATTAGAATTGAGGGATTTTTTTTCACAGCTCAAACAGCGAACAATGTAGAGGTTCCACCAATCAGAGGCAAGAAGATCAGGACTCGGACAGTTATGAACTTTGGAACAAATGTGAGAAACTGCGCCCTTCTCACAAAGATCTCCCTTCGCCAAACCCCTTCAGTTCCACTATCAGTCTAACACCATCACATTTGAAGCATTTTCTGTCCGCTCAAACTGCCATGGCTGCCAGTGTTTGCATCGTCAATTCTACATGGGCGACTCGCAATCACAATGTTTATAAGCTCCTCATGGCTGAAAGCGGCTTCAGAACAAAGGAATCTAATATAATGCCTGTATGCAGTTACGCCGGTTACCCCAATGCTGAATCTACTCAATGCCGGTTACCCTAACTTGAGTGTTTTCTAATAGGACATTATTGTCAATTCCGGCGGCATGTCCATAGCATTTATGGTTGGAAGCTTTCAAAGATCAGACAGTGAGCTCTGGCTAAAGTAGGTTGCTACGTTTCAATTTCCAGCATCCGCATTCCGTGCGATCTTGACATGAACGCCATGCACAGAATATTCAAGGTCGGCCAGATGTTCAGGCACTCATATGGCTTATGCGTCTGTCCAAGCTCTCAAGAAAGCAGCGACTTCGCTCGCCTGTATTGCCAGTAAGGCACGCTGATCATTCAACACCCTTCTGGCTCTTTTCACCAGCTCTAACATGCCACGGTCTCAGACACAACAACCAAGGTGTGGTGAAGCCGCCTATCATTGAAGTCATTGACGAGAGATCTGCAGTGGAAACGCTTTTACGGATGGTTCACGTTCTTTCAGGTGGGATAAGCAATTTTATCTCTACCTGTTTCAACTGTCCGTCAGGACTGACCATTACCAACTTGCAGAGGCCAAGAAGCAGCAGACTGCCTCACTCCTTAACGAAGAGGTATGTTACTCTGATCTTTGTTCACAGCAATGACGATCTCAAGGTCTAGCATGGATTTGTTCAACTTGAGCCGTGCCAATTTTACAACCTTACCCTTATCCTTGCAGAGGACCGAGTTTGTGCAATCATCAGAGGCCATTATCGCACCTTTACTAACCATACCTGGCTTGGCCCCTCATGAAGCTCGAATGGTATTGTCGTACCATGAGTTCTATATGTTGGTTATTACAAGTAGATTGATCTGTCAAATGTATACTGAAGGTCCTATATTTTGTTGCAGCTACTTTCCAGCTTTGGATCTATTGATGCTGTGGCATCTGCAAGTTCAAGCAAGATTGCTGGGGCAACAGGAATTCCCTTACAAAAAGCTGAAGCAATATCGAGTTTCTTCCGGGATATGTGACCACTGTACCATACCCTAGTCCTGTGGGACTTACGGTCAAAGCCTGCGAGGCTCAGGAAGCTACGCTGCTTTCATGTCATATGATACCCTGTATGAAAAAGGATGATTTCTCTACCTGGCTTTCGATCACTATAACCAGGAGCAAGTATACAGCAGCAGCAATTACCGTAGGTGAGAGATACCGTAGTGGTACTAATAAGCCAAGGCCTGGCAGAAACTCTAGATGCTGGTGAGAGGTCGTGTGATGTCAGCTCAGCATACAAGCTATCAATACAACAAATGAAGGCATTTGCAGAGAAGACGCAGGCTTCAGAGAAGTCGTGTCAGTAATGTTTCTAGGTCAATGGATCAGTTGGTTAGTTGATGTCAGTTGTGGGCTATTGTGTCTGGCTTGTCAACCACAAGGTCAACCTGTTCTGCAACTAATATGTTGCAAGCGGAAGTATAGAAACTTGGATATTCATCGGCTTAGCTTCCAATCTCAGTGCCTCTGCTGCCGACGACCCAGTCAGTCGCGCCTCCTGAGGTGCTGAAACACAGCACCAATGCTGCTCCATGCGTGTTTACAGAGGAACCCTGCTATTCCGGCTGCTGCTTAGTTGCATGCAAGTCTGCAGCAACAAGTGGTGGCTGCTCCACAAACGTTGCCCCTGTCCCCACTACTCGCTGCCGCTGCTTCTACCGTATCTTGGCGTGTACATAGCTGTGTAACGGACCCATGCAATGCCTGCTGCCCCTGTTCATGTATAAACAGAATGAGCTTTCCTGTTGCTCCTCTCGTGCAGCTCCACCACCTAGCCTAACCACCTGCGGCTATCAGTGCAGCACTTAAGAGATCTGATACTGCTCCAGTGGGCATCCATACCCATCCAGCCTAGCTACCTGCTGCTAACAGTGCAGCGCTTGAGAGGTCTGCTGCTGCTCCATTGGGAATCCTCCGACTCATCCTGCCTAACTGCCTGCTGCTCCAGCAGGGACTCTCGAACATATCCAGTCTAACCACCTTCTGCTATCAGTGCAGCGCTCGAGCCATCTGCTGCTGCTCCATGCGGCTCCTCCACCCCAACTGCTGCTAGCACTGCAGTGCCGCATCCTTCGGTGAGGTCTACAACACTCGGCCATTCCGCCACGACGGCTGCTTGCTCGATTTTGGCGAGCATCACCTACAGTTCTCAGCTACTGTCTGACCGTAATCAACCTACATCCTCACAGCGTCACCAACTACTGCTGTAACCACCTGAAACACCGACGCAGTGAAGTAGCCGTCATGGGCTTACAGCAACTAGCCAGCTATGTGCCTACGTACACTTAACTCTCAGTCAACCGCATGCACTTCCTGGTGCATGTCACCTCTTGCTACTCAACTCACTACTCACTTCGCTTACGTGTCATATGGACCAACATATGTGATTGGTCGATTCTTGAACCACGCCACCATCTCAGGATCCAACGGCTTAGCTGCGATTGCAGCGTCAAGCATCGGTGAGCCGAAAAGTTTTCGGGCTGACCGGAAGTCCCAGATGGACATTTCGGACGATTTGGGCCATGGCTTCTCGGGCGTCTTTTCCTGTTAGGGCAGGAATTGATTGTGCATTGAGGGGGTGGGTTGGGGTGAACAATAGGGAGGACATCAGGAGAACAATAAGAGGGCGGGGAGACATAGGGAGAACATTAAGAGGGCGGGGAGACATAGGGAGAACATTAAGAGGGCGGGGAGACATAGGGAGAACATTAAGAGGGCGGGGAGACATAGGGAGAACATTAAGAGGGCGGGGAGACATAGGGAGAACATTAAGAGGGCGGGGAGACATAGGGAGAACATTAAGAGGGCGGGGAGACATAGGGAGAACATTAAGAGGGCGGGGAGACATAGGGAGAACATTAAGAGGGCGGGGAGACATAGGGAGAACATTAAGAGGGCGGGGAGACATAGGGAGAACATTAAGAGGGCGGGGAGACATAGGGAGAACATTAAGAGGGCGGGGAGACATAGGGAGAACATTAAGAGGGCGGGGAGACATAGGGAGAACATTAAGAGGGCGGGGAGACATAGGGAGAACATTAAGAGGGCGGGGAGACATAGGGAGAACATTAAGAGGGCGGGGAGACATAGGGAGAACATTAAGAGGGCGGGGAGACATAGGGAGAACATTAAGAGGGCGGGGAGACATAGGGAGAACATTAAGAGGGCGGGGAGACATAGGGAGAACATTAAGAGGGCGGGGAGACATAGGGAGAACATTAAGAGGGCGGGGAGACATAGGGAGAACATTAAGAGGGCGGGGAGACATAGGGAGAACATTAAGAGGGCGGGGAGACATAGGGAGAACATTAAGAGTGCGGGGAGACATAGGGAGAACATTAAGAGGGCGGGGAGACATAGGGAGAACATTAAGAGGGCGGGGAGACATAGGGAGAACATTAAGAGGGCGGGGAGACATAGGGAGAACATTAAGAGGGCGGGGAGACATAGGGAGAACATTAAGAGGGCGGGGAGACATAGGGAGAACATTAAGAGGGCGGGGAGACATAGGGAGAACATTAAGAGGGCGGGGAGACATAGTGAGAACATTAAGAGGGCGGGGAGACATAGGGAGAACATTAAGAGGGCGGGGAGACATAGGGAGAACATTAAGAGGGCGGGGAGACATAGGGAGAACATTAAGAGGGCGGGCCAAAGGAAGGGAGGGGAGACAATGGATGGGAGGGAGGGGTGAGGGATGGAAGAAGAAAATGCCGGAAAAAGAGGCTGGGAAGGGAACGGGAAGATTGAAAGGAGGAGAGAAAATAATATTCTCTTATCGCTGACAATACTACACTCACCATGCGATGCAGCAGTGACCTCCTCTCCCTCTGCCCATACGCCCTTGGCAGCGCTTGCAGCGGGTTCTTGGAGTAACAAGAGGATGGGTCCGGCAAGAGAAGACACCCCCTTCTCAACGGCCTCAACGCCTTGCCCGGATCCACCAAGGTCTGCTTGAACCAAAATATCAGCTGCCCGTAAATGTAGTCACTGTCGTATTCCTTCACCCACTCCCACTCGTCTTGCTGTGGGTAATGGGCGAAGGAGGAGGAGGAGGAGGGCGGTGGGACCGAAGGAGAGGGCGAGGCGATGTTTCGGCCGAGGTCGGATGCAACTATGGTCATGGGTGGGGAGTCGAAGGGGGGGTATTCATGGAGGGCGAATACGTTGGTGGTGTAGGCGTATAGATGGATTAGATCGGCTGCTGCGTCGTTTCGGCTGCCCGCTGTCACGGGCAGTTGAAGCAGCTCGTCCCGCAGCCTGAGAAAAAGAAGAATGGAAAAAGGGAACAGAAAAAAAGGGGGACAAAAAAGTGAGTGGAGCACAAGAGAGGTGCGAATAAAAGAAAAATCAGCCACTGAGATGAGAGAACAAGCAGAGAAACTAGCTGCAGCTGTGCTTCCCCACCCACCCTCACATATCCTCTCCCCACCCTTTCCCCCTTCCTCGTGCACGGAACCTGTACTCCTTCCCCCACAACTCACCATAGCAGACTTCGTTTGAGAGCGTGAGCATTGGGTTTAGGTGTCCTCTCCCTCACGCGCTGCCGGAATGCCACAAACGCCGGGCGGTCGAGGTGCAGAGCGATGCAGCGCAGCAGCACCGCCACCACGGACCCCTCGCCGCCCCACACCTTGCGCACGAGCTCGTGCCCCGTCACTAGGCGCAGGGGGGGCGGGCCGGCCTTGGGATCTCCGTAGAGCGACTTGAGGCAGTAGCGGACCCGGTCCATTGTTATTGCCAGGTTCTGTAAGCGACCAAGGTACACTCCTTCAGCCTGATCACAGTGACGGAAAGAGAGAGGAGAACAGAGAGATATACAGACAGACAAGGGGATGGAAGATTTGAGGCGGTAGCACACACGGTCCATGGTCATTGCTAGTTTCTGCAGCCTGCCTAGGTACACTCCTTCAGCCTGCCTAGGTACATTCCTTCAGCCTGAAGGTGGGGAGGCGGTGACAGGGGAAAGCAAATCACGACGCACAGCAGACAGAAGCAGCAGCAGCAGCAGAAGCAGCAGGCAGCAGCAGCACGGCTGGCAGCAACAGAGCCCTCCTCACCCCACACCTTGCGCACGGGCTCTTACCCTGTCACCACCTTGCTTGCTACCAACTTGCTAGCTACCATTCGTCTCCTTCCTGCCTCTCCAAGGGATGGGTGCAGCCTCCCTAGAAACCCAATCGTACCTCGTTCCTTGCATATTTTGAGACGTCTCAAAACATCTCTTTTATCACGTAAAGATGCGTTCATCCAGCTCCCTGGAAACACAATCGTACCTCGTTCCTTGCATATTTTGAGACGTCTCAAAACATATCTTTTATCACGTAAAGATGCGTTCATCCAGCTCCCTAGAAACCCAATCGTACCTCGTTCCTCGCATATTTTGAGACGTCTCAAAACATCTCTTTTATCACGTAAAGATGCGTTCATCCAGCTCCCTAGAAACCCAATCGTACCTCGTTTCTTGCATCTTCTTCCAAATCCCACCCCTCCTCCTCATCCTCCTCTTCCTCCTCCTGCTGCTGCTCCTGCTTCTGCTGCCCCTGACCCTGCTGCTCCGGTTGCTTCCGCTGTTGCTGCTTCTGCTGCTTCTCTCTCTTCTTCCTCTTCCTCCGCCTCCTCCTCTCCTCACCTGACGAGTATCCATCCTCATCGTCCTCCTCTTCCTCCTCCTGAGCGTATTCCTCGTCACTCCCCTCCTCACTCTCCTCACTCTCACTATCCTCCTTATCACTGCCCCCGTTACTAGAACCTGCTCCGTTGGCATCACAACCCTTGGCATCACCATTGTTGCCATAATCGAAAGCATGCCCCTCTGCACCGCTCGCGCCGTCTCTAGCACCATTCCCAACCGCACTAGCAGCAAGACCAACATTTTTCAGCACATTACCATGAAAACCGTTCACAGCACGAATATTGCAACCAGAACCAGCAGCAGCAGCAGCAGCAGCAGCAGCAGCAGCAGCAGCAGCAGCAGCAGCAGCAGCAGCAGCAGCAGCAGCAGCAGCAGCAGCAGCAGCAGCAGCAGCAGCAGCAGCAGCAGCAGCAGCACTTTTGCATCGCCATTTACCCTACAATCAGCATCGACAGTAGCAACACCACCACTACCGACGCCCCTACCACCATCCCCTTCCCCACCTTTCCCTGCCACATGCATCCTCCCCTCTCCAGCTCCAGCCTTCATATCTGCCTCATCCTCCTCCCTCTTCTCATCCCCATCCCCATCCCCATCTCGCCTCCCACCATTCACACCAGCAGCACCAGAACCAAGCTCCCCTATTCCCCCTCTTCCACCCCCCCCGCCCCCTCCCTCTCCCTCCTCGACTTTGCACACTCCTCCTCCTACCCTTTTGTTCGTCCCTTTTCCCTCCTCCCTCGCAGCTTCACCACCATTGGCACCGTTACCAGTAACAGCAGCACCCGCACCATTACCGCCAGTAGCAGCGCCATCAGCAGCAGCAGCAGCAGCAGCAACACCACTAACACCTGCCGCGACACCAGCAGAGTCGCTACCAGCACCAGCAGCAGCGGCGGCAGCAGCATCAGAGGGCCGCCTGGGCCTGCCCTGCTTGGCCCTCTCACTCAGACGCTCCTTTACAATCAGCTCCGGTAACAGGTACTTCTCCTCCTCTATGAATTCCATCTGAGATAAAGAGACGAAGAGGCAGGGAAAGAAGCAATTGAGAAGGCGAATTCTCCTCTCTTGCTCCTTTACTATCAGCTCCGGTAACAGGTACTTCTCCTCCTCTATGAACTCCATCTGTGAACGCACAGGGAAAACAGAAAACACGATGAAGACAACCATATTGTCTCTGCCGCTCCTTTACTATCAGCTCCGGTAACAGGTACTTCTCCTCCTGTATGAACTCCATCTGGACAAGAAAAAGGAAAAGAAGAGGAAGATAACAAACATTTATTTTGCTCTGCCGCTACATCAGTATCAGCTCCGGTAACAGGTGCTTCTCCTGCTCTATAAAATCCAGCTGAGAGAGAACGACAGCGGGGCAGCGTAGCAAACAGCCCAATCTGGGAGGCCAGAGAGCTAATGCCGGCCCTTCGCAGGGCACTCAGGAGCAGAGTAGCACCAGCACAGTACAGCACTCACCAGCAGGGCAGTGTAACGGATGGCCCAATCTGGGAGCTCAGAGAGCAAACTGCTGCCAATGCCGGCCCTTCATTGTGCCCTCAGCAGCGGCAGTGCATGCCGTCTCACCAGCACAAGAAGGTGAGCACAGAAGCACAGCACTACTCACCAGCAGAGCAGTGTAACGGATGGCCCAATCCGGCAGGTCAGAGAGCAAGCTACTGCCGATGCCGGCCCTTCTCAGGGCGCTCTCCTCTGCCTCCGTGATGCCTCCCCCTGTTGACGCCATCAGCAGCAGCGCATGCCGCCGCACCACGGCATGGTGCTGGCTTATCACGTGCGTGTAGGACTGGCCTCCGCCCAGGTGCAGGTAGCTGCCCTTGCAGTAGCGGTGGCCGCACAAGCAGACAGCCTGCTTGTATTCCTCCACACTCTGATGGGGGGAAGGGGAAGAGAAAGGAGGAAGTGAAATCGAGTTATAAAGGTTCTACAAGAACAAGCCCCCCCACCCTCCCCCTCTAGCCGCTGCAGCACCGTATGGAGCTGGCTGATCACGTGTGTAAAGGACTGCCCGCCCCCAGGTGCAGGTAGCTGCCCTTGCCTTGCAGTACCGGTGGCCACAGAGACACACTGCTTGCTTGTACTCCTCCACGCTCTGATAGGGTGAGATATAGAAGGGGCAGATGAGAAGGAGGGGAAGGAGAGAACGGAGGAGGAAGAGAGGTGAAAAGGAGGGTTCGAAAGCGAGCGATAATGAAGGCCCAGAGTACGAAGCCCTGCCCCACCCTAGCTGGTGCAGGTAGGTGCCTTAGCTAGAAGTAGTGGTGACAATTCAATAGGCACACTTTCGGTGTGCTTTACGTTGACTGAAAACGTACATCCCCTTCTCCCCCCTGCCCCCCAACACCACCACCCATCCCTGGTACAGGTAGCTGCCTTAGTAGCAGCGGTGTTGACTGCACAGGCGCACCACCTGCTTGCACTCTTCCACACTCCTTGCTTCGCCCTTACCACTGTGACAGAGATATAGTCAAAGGTGAGCTCCTCCCCGGGCAGGTGAGGTGAGAGCAGCAGTCAGCTACTATGGCAGAGTCAGCTAGCTCGTTGTATCTCACCTCTCTCTCACCCCTTAGCTTCATACTCACCTCAGTAACGGAGTTATAGTCAAAGGTGAGCTCCTCCCCGGGCAGGTGAGGTGAGACCAGCAGTCAGCTACAATGGCAGAGTCAGCTAGCTCGTTGTATCTCACCTCTCTCTCACCCCTTAGCTTCATACTCACCTCAGTAACGGAGTTATAGTCAAAGGTGAGCTCCTCCCCGGGCAGGTGAGGTGAGAGCAGCAGTCAGCTACAATGGCAGAGTCAGCTAGCTCGTTGTATCTCACCTCTCTCTCACCCCTTAGCTTCATACTCACCTCAGTAACGGAGTTATAGTCAAAGGTGAGCTCCTCCCCGGGCAGGTGAGGTGAGAGCAGCAGTCAGCTACTATGGCAGAGTCAGCTAGCTCGTTGTATCTCACCTCTCTCTCACCCCTTAGCTTCATACTCACCTCAGTAACGGAGTTATAGTCAAAGGTGAGCTCCTCCCCGGGCAGGTGAGGTGAGAGCAGCAGTCAGCTACTATGGCAGAGTCAGCTAGCTCGTTGTATCTCACCTCTCTCTCACCCCTTAGCTTCATACTCACCTCAGTGACGGAGTTATAGTCAAAGGTGAGCTCCTCCCCTGGAAGAATGTGGCGGATGGCATACACCCCTATCATGTACGACCCGTCCACTGCCACCACCCTGCATAGAACAAACAACAGCGCACAAAGGCATGGGAACATGGTGGAGGGAGGAGACAGAGTGGTTCAAAACCAAAAAAAAAAAAAAAAAAAAAAAAAAAAAAAAAAAAAAAAAAAAAAACAACAACAACAACTTCTACAACTCGTAATGTTTTAAACAAAAAGCGATGCGCGTATTCACGATTCGGCCAACCGAAACGCCTGAACTGCATCTGGCGAAGAAGGAAGGAAGCGACTCACTTGGCTTCGCAGTTAGGGCTGCACGAGTGGCAGAGGCGAGAAGCGAAGTTGGCGCGGTGCATGGCGTCCACCACCAACACATCGTACCCCGCCTCGTCGCCCTTTGGCCGCTCCAGCAGAATGTTGTAAAACTCAGAGACAGCCTCCTTGTTGTGGATCATGCGAATGCCGTCCTGCTTCTCGTGCCACCGCCACGGAGGGTACACCTCCCCGAAAAACTCCACCACGAAATCCTCTTTCGGAATGCCCTCGGGGGCTTTACACACCACGCCCAGGCCCTGTGAAGAAAGGGAGAGGAAGCAGGAGCGAGAGAAGGAGCAGAGCAGGTGCGAGATGTTGAAGTACCATAACCACCGCCACGGACGGAGGGTACACCGTACACCTCCCAAAAGAATTTCACCACAAAGTACTCCTAACAACCACTCACCATCCGAAGAGCGTGGAGCAAAGCACACACCCCCCCATAAGCCAGGTACTCACCTTGTTGTCTGAACCAATCACCTTTCTAACCATGCACCTTTCTATAAGCCAGGTACTTGTCGGGTTTCTTCATGTTCCTCCGCGCCCGCATGGCGGAGTAAAGCGCCTTGCACGGGTCCCTCAATGCATGCTCGACCTTCTTCAGACCACCACTTGCAATACAACACAATACATACAATACTTGCTGACTGAAGGACGCACCTTCCTATAAGCCAGGTACTTGTCAGGTTTCTTCATGTTCCTCCGCGCCCGCATGGCGGAGTAAAGCGCCTTGCACAGGTCCCTCAGCGCGTGGTCGCCCTTCTTGTCTGCGTCAATCTTCATGAGCGCCACAACGGGCATCAGGTCCAACTCCAAAGGCACTTTTCCTCTGAAGGAGGCCGCTAGCTGGTTCAGGGCAGGCAGCAGGCGCTGTAGGGAGGGGGAGTAAGGGATACGGGAGGGAGAGGAAGGGGAGCATCAGCGCGTGGTCGCCCTTCTTGTCGGCGTCAATCTTCATGAGCGCCACCACGGGCATCAGGTCCAACTCCAAAGGCACTTTTCCTCTGAAGGAGGCCGCTAGCTGGTTCAGGGCAGGCAGCAGGCGCTGTAGGGAGGGGGAGTAAGGGATACGGGAGGGAGAGGAAGGGGAGCATCAGCGCGTGGTCGCCCTTCTTGTCGGCGTCAATCTTCATGAGCGCCACCACGGGCATGAGATCCAGCTCCAAAGGGACCTTCCCTCTGAAGGACGCGGCTAGCTGATTCAGTGCTGGAAGTTGGCGCTGTGGAGAGGGTTGTGGGGGGGTTTAGAGGGGTTGGGGAAGGTACGCATGAGGGTGGGAGGAGGCATGAGCATCAGCGCGTGGTCGCCCTTCTTGTCGGCGTCAATCTTCATGAGCGCCACCACGGGCATCAGGTCCAACTCCAAAGGCACTTTTCCTCTGAAGGAGGCCGCTAGCTGGTTCAGGGCAGGCAGCAGGCGCTGTAGGGAGGGGGAGTAAGGGATACGGGAGGGAGAGGAAGGGGAGCATCAGCGCATGGTCGCCCTTCTTGTCAATCTTCATGAGCGCCACGTCACCGAGGGCATGAGATCCAGCTCTAAAGGGACCTTCCCTCTGAAGGACGCGGCCAGCTGATCCAGTGCTGGAAGTAGGCGCTGTGGAGAGGGTTATGGGGGGTTTAGAGGGGTTGGGGAAGGTATGCATGAGGGTGGGAGGAGGCATGAGCATCAGCGCATGGTGGCCGCCCTTCTTGTCGGCGTCGATCTTCATGAACGCCACCACGGGCATCAGGTCCAACTCTAGTGGCACCTTCCCTCTGAAGGACGCTGCCAGTTGATTGAGTCATGGAAGTAGGCGCTGCAGGGGTGCATGGGGTTGGAAGGGGTTGTGAGGGGTGAATCAGCATCACTGCATGCTCGCCCTTCTTGTCAGCGTCAATCTTCATGAGCGCCACCACAGGCATGAGATCCAGCTCCAAGAGGACCTTTCCTCAGAACAATGCGGCCAGTTGATTTAGCACTGGCAGCAGGCGCTGCAGGGGTGCATGGGGTTGGGAGGGGTTGGGAGGGGTGCATGAGCATCAGAGCTTGGTCGCCCTTCTTGTCGGCGTCAATCTTCATGAGCTGCGTATGTTTTTTGAGAATCCTAAAAAAACATAAGAGATCTAGCTCCAAGGGCACCTTGCCCCTGAAGGACGCTGCCAGGTGGTTGAGACCTGGCGCTGGCGATATGATTGGGTGGTTGGGTATGGGGGACGGAGGAATGGGAGGTGAGGTGAGAGGATGAGGGTCGTAATGGAAGCACGGGTAGTTTTTGAGGCGCCTCAAAAGGTCGTTTTTGAGGCGCCTCAAAAACGGAGGAATGGGAGGTGAGAGGATGAGGGTCGTAATGGAAGCACGGGTATGGCAGAATGCAATGCGCGTGCTCGACCTGAACAGTGCAACTCCCTTCAACCACACCCTCCTGCTGCCATGCCATGCGACACACACCTCACACCTCTCACACCACTCACACCACTCACACCACTCACTCACTCCCACACCCTACCACACCCTTGCACTCACATCTTCGATGAACGAGTGCCTCTCTTCGTCCGTCTCAGTGGGTGGCATGAAGGGCAGCGTGTCCAGCAGCAGGTTGTGTGTGTACGGGTCGATGCCGTACACCTCCTGCTCGGCAACCTCCGGCCCCACTGCCTTCCTTGGCCTCCATTCCCTCACTTCAGGGAGTTCCAGGTGTATGTACTGTTGGGGGGGGCAAAGGGGGAAAGGAGGGGACAAAAAGGCGGGGAAAGGAGGGAAAAAAGCATGTCGAGCAGCAGGTTGTGTGTGTACGGGTGGATGCCATACACCTCCTGCTCGGCAACCTCCAGCTCCACTGCCTTCTGTGGTCGCCACTCCCTCACTTCCGGCAGCTCTAAGTGGATGTACTGTTGGTGTTGGGGACAAAAAGCGAGAGGAGGGGTCAAAAAGGCGGGGAAAGGAGGTTAAAGGGCGAGTCGGGTTGAGTCTGTGGCGAGGGGGAGGGAGGGAGGTGAGCAGGCAGCAAGTCGAGTCTGTGTGTAGGGGTCTAGGCCATACACCTCCTGCTGTTAAGTAGATTCGCTGAATATAGCAAGACCCCTACACTGAATATAGCAAGTCCCCCAGCCCAGCTCACCCGGTTGGCATCTGCCATGGCTTGCGCCTGCCGGGCCTTCTCAGCAAACCCCGCAGGCAGCTCCACCCGCATTTTCCTCCGCACACCCTCCTCCTCCTCCACAATCACATACTCCTCTATCACCTCATACTGCCGAGTCACTGGCGGCACCATGGCCGCCCTTGTCATCCTGTTCCCCCAGTGCCGCCGCATCTCCTCATCCGCCACATTCACCACCACCACTGGCCCCGACCCTTTCGACCCTTCCGAAGAGGAAGAGGAGGAGGAGGAGTCGTTGCCTGCCTCTTCTTCTTCCCCTGCCCGGCCTGCCTTTGAGTTGTCGGATTTACTCCCGGCAGCAGCAGCAGCAGCGCCGCCAGCACTGGCTGTACCGGCACTGGTGCGCGCCCGGCCCTTCCGCTCGCCTCCCCTCGCCTCCGCCCCTTCTCCCTTCCTCCGCCCCGTCCGCTCCTCTCGCTTCGCTCCCCTGCCCCGGCCCTTGCTCTTCCCGCCCTGCTCCCTCCCCTCCTCTTCCTCCTTCCTCCTCCGCTTCTTCTGCTGCCGCCGCTGCTGCTTACGCCGCCTCCCTTCCCGCCCCTTTTCCTGCCTCCCTCCCTTTCGGCTCCCACCCATAGGCCTTACAGACCCACCCAGGGAACAAGACGACTGGGCATCAGATCCCGACTCACTCTCAGTCCCCTCCTCCTCCCCCTCCGAAGCAGAGGAGGCAGGGGACGAGGCTGAGGGAGAGGAGGTGCCCGAGGTGGCTGGGGCGGCAGGAGAGGAGGGAGAGGAGGAGTCAGCATGGGCCGCTCTGATACCATTTCCGCCACCGTTAGCAGGCGCATGTTTCGCTTTGCTGGCAGCACCGTGGGCTGCTGTTTCTGTTCCTCTGCGTCCCCATGTTTTGGATTGCAGTTGCCCGGGTTTGGCCTTAGTGGTTGCGACTTCAGCTGTAGCAGCGGCGGCGGCTGCGGCAGCAGCAGCTTTCTTGGTCTCCGAACCTGCGTCAGAACCTTCCTCCTCTGCCGATTCGAATTCATCCAAGTCAGAATCCCCTCTCTCTTCTCCCTCCTCGTCCTCATCCTCGTCCTCTTCCTCCTCTTCATCCTCCTCTTCTGATTCTGACCAGATGTTCCGGCCCGAATCCCCCTTCCACTCCTCCTCCTCCATCTCATGCCCAAACCTCCCCTCCTCCTCCGAGTCACTCTCATACCCACTGCTATCCGAATCCGCAGCACCCTTTCTCCTCTTACTCACTCGTCTCACCCCTGCTCCCTCTCTCACCCTCTTCCCTCCAGTTCTCGCAGAAACAGGCCCATTCCCCCTCCCCGACACCATTCGAGAACCAGCCCCTACCCCGCTCGCACCACTAAAACCAGCACCACCAAAACTGCTACCACCACCAGCAAGAGCAGGGCGATCAGTGAAGGCCATATGTGCCGCCACTAGAGAGGTGAGAAAGCTGCTCTTGATACCATCGATGGTGGAACGGCTGAGAGCGAAGAGCTGGCGTGCTGCACGATACATGGGGGACTTGTCATTCACGTTGCTGCAAGCGAGTTGAAAAGAAGAACGGGGGAAAGGGGGGATCAAGGGAGGGGCCGGCAGGAAATCTGGTGATTTACTTCAGACTCACTCACACCACTACACGAAATGAAATCGTTAAGAGAGGGGAGGGGAGCACAGGCAAAAAACAGAGACACACACACAAAACCTTATCATGTGCAAAGTGTGATCCTACGTATATGAATGAAACTAACGGAGACACTCGAGTGGATGGAATCCCGCGACTCACGTGAAGACGCTGCGACACATGAGTTGAATGTCACTCTCGAATCGCGCGAGGCCATTCACCCTCACACCCATTGCCACCGCCGCTGCCGCCACTGCCGCTGCACTCCCTGTCACTGCAGGTCCAGCAGCCAACCCTGCTCCTCCTACTGCTGCCAAGGCACCCGCTCCACTCCCCCCTGCTCCTCCTGCTGCTGCTCCTGCTGCTACAGTGGTTCCAGTTGAAGCAGCAGCACGGGCAATGGCAGCAGCAGCGCCAGAGGCGTCACTATACACGCCCTCCTTCAACCGTCTCTCCAGAGAGGGCAGATCCAAAGACAGCCGCCCCTTGCGACTGGCACCACCAGCTGCGGTTGCTCCTGGCGCTGTGTCCTGTGGTTGGAGGGTGGAGTGGAGAGGAGATATGGGTGAGTGAGAGGGTCGGAGTGTTTGAGATTAGGACACGAGGGCATCACAGCAAAACAGTCTCAACAAAAAGAGGTGACTTTTGAGTCGACTCAAAAGTCAAAAGTCACCTTTTGAGTCGACTCAAAAGTCAAAAGTCACCTTTTGAGTCGACTCAAAAGTCAAAAGTCACCTTTTGAGTCGACTCAAAAGTCAAAAGTCACCTTTTGAGTCGACTCAAAAGTCAAAAGTCACCTTTTGAGTCGACTCAAAAGTCAAAAGTCACCTTTTGAGTCGACTCAAAAGTCAAAAGTCACCTTTTGAGTCGACTCAAAAGTCAAAAGTCACCTTTTGAGTCGACTCAAAAGTCAAAAGTCACCTTTTGAGTCGACTCAAAAGTCAAAAGTCACCTTTTGAGTCGACTCAAAAGTCAAAAGTCACCTTTTGAGTCGACTCAAAAGTCAAAAGTCACCTTTTGAGTCGACTCAAAAGTCAAAAGTCACCTTTTGAGTCGACTCAAAAGTCAAAAGTCACCTTTTGAGTCGACTCAAAAGTCAAAAGTCACCTTTTGAGTCGACTCAAAAGTCAAAAGTCACCTTTTGAGTCGACTCAAAAGTCAAAAGTCACCTTTTGAGTCGACTCAAAAGTAAAAAGCTGCATCGTTTTGAGTCGACTAAAAAGTCAAAAGTCACCTCGTTTTGAGTCGACTCAAAAGTCAAAAGTCACCTTTTGAGTCGACTCAAAAGTCAAAAGTCACCTTTTGAGTCGACTCAAAAGTCAAAAGTCACAACGTTTTGAGTCGACTCAAAAGTCAAAAGTCACATCATTTTGAGTCGACTCAAAAGTCAAAAGTCACCTTTTGAGTCGACTCAAAAGTCAGCCAAAAGTCACCTCGTTTTGAGTCGACTCAAAAGTCATTGGGAGACGAGGGCATCACAGCAAAAAAGTCTTTACAAAAAGCCGGAATGCGAATGACTAAACTCCCTTGGTGAAGCAATATAATAAAGAGGAAAGAGCGGTAAAGTGATATTGAAGCACACGTACCAGCAGAACCCCTCTGGAGAAATAATGCTGCTTGTCCCACTCCTGCAGCCTGCGAATGTCCCCCCTCTATCTCCCTCCCTCTCCAGCACACACACAAACAAGAGCTCTGCTAGATAGGAAGAGGAGATTGAAACCATTCGGGAAGCACACGTACCAGCAGAACCCCTCTGGAGAAGAAGTGCTGCTTGTCCCACTCCTGCAGCCTGCGAATGGCTCCCCCTATCTCCCTCTCTAGCACACGCACCGCCTCCCCCTCCATATCCCCCCTCCCCACGCCCCTCCCCACTGCAGGCGGCGACCTGAACCCTTCCCTCCTCTCCCCCAACCCTCCCCCTCCGTCTCCTCTTCCCCCCACCCCCACCCCCACCCCCACCCCCGCCCCCCAGCCTCCCCCCCCACCGGTTCCTCCCCCTGCGCCAGTCCGCCCTGCCCCAGGTCTACCTCCCCCTGGCGCGCCCTGTGCTGAGCTGGATTTGAGTGACAGACGCCCCCCAGTGGGCGGCAGCATGCCGCCCTTCTTCCTCTCCTGCTGCAGATCCGACCTGCCCCTGTCCTTACCTGCCCCTTCCATGCCCCCCCCATGCCTATCCTTCCCCCATTTCCCATCCCCGTCCCTCTCCCTTCCCTTCTCCATGCCTCTGCCTCTCTCGCAACCTCTGTCTCCGCCCCCAAATCCTCCTGTTCCCCTTGCTCCCCCTGCTCCCCCTGCGCCTACCCTCCCTGCATTCCCGTGGCTTCTCCCCCCCGAATCAGCAGAGGCAGCAGCAGCAGCGGCACTTGACTGACCACTACCCGCATTCGACGAAGCAACAGGCAGATGCGCCACACTCCCTCCTGCCCCCACCCCTCCCCCTGCTCCTCTACCCAACCTCTTGCCACCAGCAGCAACACCAGCACCAGCAGCAGCACCATATGCACCACGAGCAGCAGCAGCAGCACCACCACCACCAGTCGCACGTGACACTCCGCCTCCTGCTGCCCTTCCACTCACCCCAGAGGCTCGGACTCCCCCCCGCTGCGACCGCCCATCCACATTGGCTGCTGCGATTGCCCTGGCCAGTGACTCTGCTGCTGCTGCTGCCAGCGGGGCTCCTCGAGGAGGCCTGGGCCGCCCAGGGGAAACAGCAGCAGCAGCAGCAGCAGCAGGAGTAGCGATAGCGGCAGCAGTAGCAGGAGGCACAGATTCGGAGGCACCAGCAGCAGCAGCAGCAGCAGTAGCAGCAGGGGTCGTGGGACCAAGAGCGGGAGCAGGAGCCGGAGCAGCAAAGCCACTCGGCTTCTGGTTTGGAGAAATTCGGACGAGTGTGCGTGCAGGTGAGAGGGTGAGGAAGAGGAGGTGGGGGAAGGAGGAGGCGAGAGGGGCGAGGCGGGGGCAACCAGTCATGATGATAGCGGAGAGGGATGTGCGAGAGGAGAGGAAGCGGTGGAGAGCGGTGGGGGTGAGTGAATTGCAGTGGGCGAGTGAGAGCGCTTGGAGTCCCTGTGGGGCGGATTTCTGAGATTGGGGCAAGATGGAAATCGAGAGGGGGGTGGGGGGTGGGTAGTGGGGGGGACGGGGGGGAAGAGTTGAGAAACGGGCATAAATACAAAGAGAGAAAAGCTGCAAGAAATTCGATAATAGAGCTACATACCTCCAACGCTCCAAGAGCAGAGTCCTGCGTGCGAGCGCTTAGACTCGACAAATTCAGCAGCTGCAGCCCCCGCCACACCCGCCGAAAACCCTCGCGCCATGCACGGCACACCGCAGCACAGCGCACCAGCAGAGCCGCATCGCCGTTCAACCGCCCCAGCAGCAGCTCCGCCAGGCCCACATTCGACTGCGCTGGGTGGCCTGACTTTTGTGGCGCCCCAAAGCTCGGCTGTGGTGGAAGGTCCACCATCTCTGGCAGCTTCAAGTTGGCTTGTGCCGGGGTTTCAGCAAGCGTATTAGGAGCTGTGGGAGGCACTGGGTGCAGCGCAGGGGCGGATTTTGTCTGCTTCACTGCTGCTTTGTCCAGATTCGCTGCATCTGGATGAATAGCAGAACTTAGAAGCTTTGCCAGAGGCTCAGGAAGGATGACCAGTTCCGTCGCTCTGTACTCAAAACTCCCACTCTGCGAAGTCCCTGCTGGCAACCTCCAGTCCAGCTTCACATCACCTGAAAAAACACCTGACGGTTCACCTGAAAGCCCAACGACCGCTGCTTCTCCCACCAATCCTGGCTCCACCTTCACACCCATCGATGGACCAGGAATAGCCATGTGATCAGAAGAAACTCCAGCAGCCGCAGCAGCAGCAGTGGCGTTGGCAGCAGCAGCGCCTGAACCACCTTTACTGTCCTCTCCCAATGTGCCTCTACTCTCCCCTCCGCCTGCAACGAGTTGTTGCATCTGCCCCCCCTCCTTCTCCTCTCTCCCACTCCTCCCTGCCTTCCCCTGCTGCATCAACCCCCGTTCCTCCTCCTCCCACTCCCGTTTCACAACCTTCCCCTCCTTCCCTTCCATCCCCTCTCCCTTCCCCTCCACTACCCCCTCCTGCCCTTTCCTCTGCCGCTCCCTCCCCTCCTGGCCCTTCTCCTCCTGCTTCACCCGCTTCCGAGCCTCTACTGTCGCCACTCCTCCTTCCTCCTCCGACTCGCTGCTGTCTCCTCCCATCAGGAATCTCCTCCTTCTCACTGCAGGAGGTCCTTTCAGTGCTGCTGCTGCTGCTGCTCCACCCGCCCCACCTGCCCCACCTGCCCCCTCTCCTGCCCCTCGTTGTCTCTTCCTCGAGTCTCCACCCTTCGTTTTATACAACTCCTGATGGCTCTTCATTCTCTGCCGATCCCTGAACCCTCCATCTCCCTCATCCTCCCTCTTTCTTCCAACCTTACTCTCCCTCCTTCCCACTTCGTCCCGATCCTCTATCTCCTGCTTCCGTACCTGACCGGTAATTGCCCCACCTGCACTCCGACCCTGTGGCAGAGCTTCGGGAGCAGGTCTGGGCAGCTCAGCGCTCCCAGTGGCCAGGTACCGATCCAGAGCCTCGGCAAGCGCAGCCTTGGCAATCTTGGCTCGGAAAGCAGCCAATGCTGCATCATGCAGCTTGGATCGGACATAAGCAAAGAAGCTAAGCCCGCACGCTGACTGCCAGCCGTCGCAACAACCCGCTTTCCTAGCAACTTCCTTCAAAATTTCTTCTTCTGCTGCAGTTGCTGCTGCTGCTGCTGCTGCTGAATGGAATTACAGACTCCATCTGTGAGGCTGTAAGCTTGCCCCCTGCACTTACAACTGCGTGTCCTTCCAAACCTGTCCTCTCTACAGGGTGACTCAACACAGCGGCAAGGGCCAACTCTTTCCCTGCTGGCGAAGCTACATGCTGCTTCTCCTGACTCTGCAGCGTCTGCCCTTCATAACCTCCCTGCCTCTCGCCCTCCTCCTCCTCCGCTGCTGCTGCTGCTGCTGCTGCTGCTGCAGTGCCTGCCAGCGCAGCCCCTCCTCCTAGCTGCGCAGGCAGAATGAGAGGCAGCATGTCCCGCCCCACCGAAGCAGACGGCAGCACCCAGAACGACGACTGCAGGTACGGAAACCCTAGCTCCACAGGCTTCCGAACTGAGACCGGCAGGGCCGACCGAGCAGACAGAGCAGAAGGGTCAGCAGAGGCAGAAGGGGCAGAAGGGTCAGGACGGGCAGACAGGGCAGTCAAGGAGCCACGAGCACGCCCACGCGGCTGGCCACATGGTATCTCCTCTGCATCTGCATCCTCCCCCTCCTCTGCCTCCCCTTCCTCCTCCACTTTCTCCCCTTTCCTGACTGTCGGTTTAGTGCCGCAAGAGACAGGGGAGTCGATACCTTCAGATATGGCGTCCCCAGGTAACACCTCCCCGGATTCCAGAGACATGCTTCTAGGGGATTGTGTGTGCTGCTGCAGGCGCTGAATGAGGGGGCTCCGGTGGCTGATGGGGCTGCGGTGCTGCTGCTTATTTTGCCCCTTTGCCTCCTCCCGTCCATGCGCCTTCCGCCCCTGTGCTGCCTCCTCCCGATCCTGTGCCTTACACCCCTGTTTCTCTGCTGCTCCGACCCTTGAAAAAGCAGCAACAGCAGAACGGCTGCCTTTCTCTCGTGGTGCATTCATTTCTTCTGCAGCAGCAGAACCACCACGAGCACCATCATCACCCCTACGACTGCTAGCACCATCAGGTGCACCACTGCCGTCGGTGCCACCAACAGCACACTCCCCTACCTCCCCAGACTCTCTGTCCCAACCCTCCACACCTGCTATCCTCTCTGCACGCTCCCTGCTACCACCCCCAGGCTCCCCTTCCTTCCCCTCCTCTTGTTCCCCTTGCTCTCTTTGCTTCGCCTCTCCCCGCTTCTCCTTCCCCTGCTTCTCCTCTCCCAGCTTCTCCTCCCCCTCCCTCTCCTCTCCCTGCTTCTCCTCCCTCTGCCTCTCCTCTCCCAGCTTCAACCCCGTTTTACCCACACCTGAAACAGCACGTCCAGCTGCCCCAACGCGCCCCTCAGCATCTTCCTGTAAGCATGCCGATTCCACGTCCTCTTTCAAAGCAGGGCCGCCACCAGCACCAGCAGCAGCAGAAGCGTCACCATCAGCATGTGCAGCCGTCGCAGCCCCTTCTCCCTCTCCTCCCTCTCCTCCCTCTCCTCCCTCTCCTCCTTCTCCCACCTCCTGGAGCTCTCCGTTTCCCCTCTGTGCTCCCGAACCACCTGGCCCTCCTTGCTCTGCTGCAAGCAGCACAGTGACCACAGCAGCAGGTGACTTGCGAGTCGACTCCATCAACAGTGTCTCGCGAGTTGCCTCCACCAATGGTGATCTGTGAATCGACTCAATCAGCGGTGACTTGTGAATCAATGGTGACCTGTTGTGAGTCAGCGGTGACCTGTGGTGAGTCAGCGGCGACCTGTTGTGAGTCAGTGGCGACCTGTCGTGAGTCAGCGGTGACCTGTGGTGAGTCAGCGGTGACTTGTAGTGAGTCATCTCAAACTGCTCAGCAGAGGGAAGCAGCATGGTGAGAGCAGCCGCACCTGCCAGCTCTGGAGTGGCCACACGTGAGTCATCTGTATCTGACACCCCTCTGCTGTCCGCCCACCCTCCTGGCCCTACCCATGACTTATACTCGTGTGGTATTGATTCCGATTCGTACTGCTGTCGACCCTCCGCATGCCCCTCCACTACATGCCTCTCCTCTCCATTCCCCTCCACTCCATTCCCCTCCACTCCATTCCCCTCCTCTCCATTCCCCTCCACTCCATTCCCCTCCACTCCATGCCCCTCCTCCCCATGGCCCACCTCTCCTTGCCTCCTGCGTCCCCATCCTGTTGCTTCATGCCCATCCATTTCCATCTTAGCCGCCATTCCCCCATCCTCCCTCCCACCACCTCCCCCCTCCCTGCCAGGGACCATCCCATAACACACACCTGCACTCTGATCCCCCTCCCCAGCAATCCCTTCCCCTACACACCCCACACGAGCGCATCCCACATTCAAACCGCCCCCAGGCACTCTCTCCCCAGGCAAACCGTTCCCAGGCAAACCGTCCCCAGGCAAACCTTCCCCATGCCCACTCTCCCCAGGCGCAGAACCCCCAGTGCTCACCACTGGCGGCCCTTGCACGAGCTGATTGCAAGGATGAATGGCTTGCTTATACCTCCACTCGAGCCCCTCACAAGCACCTGCACCAGAAGTACCTTCACCAGTAGTACCTTCCCCACCCTCCCCCCCACAGTGCCCCGTAGGAGGAGCATGCCCACGAATGGGGTCTGGACTAACGAGGCCCGAGGAGAGGAGGGTGATCACCTCCTTTTCAGTCACATCCTCCCCCTCCTCCGCCTTGACTTCATCCCCTACGCCCCTCTCCGTTGCTGTGACCGTAACAGAGGGTGAAAAAGCACCAACACCCGAGGACTTAACACCAGCTGCGGCCTGCGGGTCAGAAGAGTGGAGCCTAGTGGTGGCTGCAGGAACAGAGGCAACAGGGATCACATGGGAGGTTGTAGAGGGCCCGAGAGGGGCACTCGTAAGCACATGGGCTTTAACTCCCATGGTTCTGCGACGGGAGTATCGGCTGAATGGCATCTCTACAAAATCTTTCTCCTTCCCCACATCCGCCAGACTTCTCTGCGGCAATTCGACAAAATCTGCTCCTGCACCCGCTGCTGCTGCTGCTGGTGCTGCTGCTGCTGTTGCTACAGTGCCTGCACCTGCATCAGCATAAGTATCACCCGCATGGGTTTCCCCTTCTCCAGAAGAATCGGCATCATTCTTGACAATTCCCACAATCGGCTCCTCTCTCCCTTGCAGCAGCCCAGCAGCAGCCAAGCCCACACCCCCCGCTGTCTGTTCCCTCCCAGCCACCAGGCCACCAGCTTCGTGAGGAGCCTCAGAAACCCCTGGGACCACATCACAAGGCCCGAATCTCTCCAGGTCCCCAGACTCTGGCTCTGCCTTCCCACTCACCCTGCCCCGCAGCCCATCAGAATCTGCCCCTATTCTGCCTTCCACAGCAGCTGCTGCAGCCCCCACCAGAGGATTGGCAGACCCGCCATTATCAGCACCTTTTGGCCCTTGGACATGGTCAGAGAGCTCATTTTCCCTCCCTAGTGGTCTCCCGTGCTGCTGCTCCTCCCTTACCTTCTCATCTGCTTTCTCTTCCTTTCCATCCGCCTGCCCCTCTGCGTTCCCCTCTGCCTGTTGCTCTGGCCTCACCTCCGCTTTCTCCTCCGCCTCCCCCCCCATGCCCACTTCTCCACCCACCGATTCCCATGCTGCTGCCAGGAACAGCAGACCATGCCCCACCCCCTGCTCCGCCTCCCCCATCCCCTCCCCTACTCCCTCCATCATCCCCTCCCCAATCCTCTCCGCCTCTGCACCTTCCATCCCCTCTCCATCCCCATTCCCACCACCCATCCCCGCTTCCATCCCCTCCTTCCCCCCAATCGTCCCCCCCACTTCCCCCTTAACCTCCACCTCCGCACCCTTGTACTGCCTACCTCCATCCAGCATATCGCACGTCTCTTCCTGCCTGGAACCGAGCTCAACCGCCCTATCACCCATCTCAACCGAATGCTTGCCAGAATGCAGTCTACTATATGGTTCTGGGGTAGCTCTTAACGCAGCAGACTGCAATCCAGCCTGCACCAATATCGCAAGCGCATCCCCATCCCCATCCCCGTTTCCCAAACCCCCAGCTGAATCTCCTAAACCCCCAGCTGAATCTCCTAAACCCCCATCACACACTCCCTCCTTCCTCCCAGCACGCCCCACCAAAACCCTCTCTCTGCTGCCCTTTCTACCCGCCTCCTCCCAACGCCCCTCCATCTCTAACCCCTCCCTGCCCCCACTCCCCTCCCTCACCCCGCTCCCGTCTCTCCCCTCCCTCGCCTCCTTTTGCCCCACCAAACAGCGTTTCCCCCTCCCAGCATCCACCGAAACCTCTCGGTCCAACCTAGGGTCCCAATCCTCCTCCTCCACCGCTCCCTCCCTGCCGCCACCAGCAGCAAACACCAGCCCACGCAGCACAACCCCTCTCTCCGCCCCCCCCTCCCCTCATTTTGCCCCACCAAACAGCGTTTTCCCTTCCCTGCATCAACCGGAACCTCTCGGTCCAACCTAGGGTCCCAATCCTCCTCCTCCACCAATCCCTCCCTGCCGCCACCAGCAGCAAACACCGGCCCACGCAACACAACCCCCTTTTCCGCCCACTCCAACCCCGGAACCACCAGGGGATACCCATCCCGAGCCATAGGCATTGGCGGGGCCACACCCAACCCTAACCCTAACCCTAATCTCAGCCCGAGCGCGAAAACAAACGCAGGGTCCTGCAGCTGGTGCCAGTAGGGCGTGAGCAGGGCGAGCTTAACCACAGGCAGCCAGAGGTCGTCTTCTTTGCGCCACACGCTTGTTCCTTCCACCAGCAGCCCTGCACTGACCATCCACTGCAGGCGGGTGAATGACACCCCCCCTGCTCCTTGCCCATACCGTCCCGGTAGTACCAGTTTCCCTTGAGGAACTGTTGCTTAGGTAAGTGCCCCTTAGTGGTGAATATGCCTGGGAAGAGTGACCGCAGCACTGGACCTCCCTTCGCTGCGTTATGATTCCAAAACAGACCAGAAGGCACCTGCAACCACCGCTGCTGCTCCTGCTGCTGCTTGGCCTTCTGTTGCTCGGTTTCCTCCTCCGCCTCCTTTTCCTGATTCTCCTCCCCTACCTCCTCTTCCGCCGCCTCCTTCTCCTCCTCCTGCTGCTCCCGCTGCTGCAGCTGCACCTGTGGAAGCTCATGAGAACGAGACACAGCACCTTCCAGACTTGGCCCCTCCTCCTCCTCTCCACCGTTTCCACCCGCTTCAGCTCCTCTACTCTCCCTAACCCCATTCACCGCATCACCCCTTCCCTCGCCCACATCCCCTACTCCTCCGGGCTGCCTCTCTCCGCCGGCCTCTGTGTTTCTCTCTGCCAAACCAGTTGTGGCATCAGCAGCAGTTTTTACCTTAGCAGACGATGCTTGTGCACATGCAGCAGCCTCAGCATCTGCAGCCTTGGCAGCAATAGACACTTGAGGTGCAGCCTTGGCAGTTGCAACTTCGGCTGCTACAGCCTTGGAAGATACAGCTTCAGCTGGTATAGCTTCTGCAGAGGGGATATCCACATCAGCTGCTCCTGCAGCAGCTGTAGTAGCAGCAGCAGCAGCAGGTGCAACAACCCCAATTCCCTCCTGCTGCAAAGCGACTGGAGAACCCGAGGTTTTGCCTTTCCCTTCAGAAGCAAGCTCAACGTGAGAGGAAACGCGAGCATCAGCCACAGCATGCAGAGGAACAGCAGGCATCGTTCTGGCTGCTGGTAACCCTATACTGGCTGGTAACCCTATACTGGTTGGTAACCCTATAAGGGCAACAGCTGCACGCTCCCCTTCAGATGACACCACCATGATCTCTCCATTAACTGCTCCCCCATCTTCCCTCTTCGCCTCCCCCACTCCTCCCTGCAGGCCTGCCAATCTCACCCTTTCCCCACCAATCCTCTCCTCCCCTGCCTCCTTACCCCCTTTTCCTCCCTCCTCTCTCTTCCCCTCCTCGTTACCCCTTCCTCCCTCCTCGTTCTCCTTCCCTCGCTCCTCCCTCTCCTCGCCACCTCCAAAACCCAATCCACCATCCCTACCAGCACGAACCATCCCAGCATCCTTCTCTCCCCCTCTGGCAGGTTCTTTTCGAACAGCAGCACCACCGTCAACCTCCATAGCGCCATGGGTCTGTAGATCAGACCCATCATCACCACCACCATCACCACCACCACCACCACCGCCGCCAAGTGCTTCAACTCGCACCTCAATTCGAGCCTCACCTGACAACTTACCCTGTGCCTCTCCCACTCGCATCTCTGCCTGAGCCTCGCCGCCCCTCCTTTCCTCTTCTGGCCTCGCGTCAGCCTCCCTCGTCTCAACCTCCCTCCCAGCAGCCTGGGCTGACCCATCATCCTCACAATCATCACCCTTCTCACTTTCACTCTCACTCTCGCCCTTGCCCTCCTCCTCGTCTCCTCTCGCCTCCTTCAAGGGAGAAACGCTCAAAGCAAAAGGAACAAACTTTGGGACAACAACCGGGCTGCTCCTGCCCTGTTCTCCCTCCTCTCCCTCCTGCTCTCCCTCCTCTCGCTGCTTCCCCTGCCCTCCCTGCCCATCCGCACCTGCATCCTCCATGCGCGTTCCTGCCTGTTTCAACTTCCTTTCTTCTAACGATTCTTGCTGTATCAAATGCAAGTGCTGCTGCTCCAGCTGAGCCGTTAGCAAGTTGAAAATGCGTCCAAAGTCAATGTCACCATCTACCTCCCTCGCTTCGTCCTCTTCTCCCCTTCGCCCCGCACCATTCGCCTCTCCTCCTCCCCCATTTCTTTCGTGCACAGCGCCAGCAGCAGCCCCTGCTTCTCCTGCCACCACTCCTGCTTCTCCTTCCCGCGCTCCTGCTTCTCCTTCCCCCGCTCCTGTTCCTCCTGCTTCTCTTGTGCTCGCTCCTGCCTCTGCTGCTCCTGCTCCTGCAGCTGCTGATGCTGGCACCTTCCCTTGGACCACAGCTCCACTCTCCACCGCTCTAGTCAACGCAGCTTCTCCCTTCTCAGCAGCACCCTCACCCTGAGGAGTTAATTCCAGCCTTAAATTTCCAACCAGCATGGGAGCTTCAGGAATGACCCTTGGTCCGACCCTGACCACTTGTTCCACATCACGCTCAGCACCAGGTTTGGCACCAAGTCGGGCACCAGGTTCGGCACCAAATCGGGCACCAGGTTCGGCACCAGGTTCGTTTCCAGGTACGGTTTCAGGTTCACCTTCTCCCAGTATCGCCAGGCCAAACTGCTGAACCAAGAGCGCATTCCGCATTACCAGCTCCACAGCAGCAGCAGCCATGTCAAACCCTACCTCCTTCCCGCCTTGCAGCGAAACAGAGGACCCTGCTGCTTGCAGGGAGAGGGACGAGCCTCGCCGGGTGGACGCCTGAGACAAGGGACTACATGACGGGGACTTAGATCCAGAATCCATAGACAGAGTTGCTTCCACTGTTTTATTCCCATCCTTTGCTTCCTCTGCTTTCGATCCCTCCTCTTCCTCCGCTCGGTGCTGCTGTTGTAGCTGCTGCTGCGGCTGTGGCTGCTGCTGTTGCAGCGGCTGCTGCGGCTTCCCCGGCGGTCTCCCCTGCACTGCTCCCATCCCAATCCCTCCAATCAAAGCACGCCCAGACCCTTCCTTGCCCACAGCCACAGCCCCACTATAAGCCCATGCTGGTACAGTCAAAGAGCTGTCAAAATTCTTCTCCTCACGACTCTGACTCAAAAGAATCCTAGGGTCACGAGCTTTATCCCTCGGCCAGTCGCCCAAGCAAAACCCCTGCAAAGCCCTCTGGCCAAACCCTAACCCTAACCCTAAACCTGACCCCAACCCTAACCCTAACCCTACTGGAAGCTTCCTTGAAACGTCTACTCGCTCGCTGAGCGCCTGGCTATCAGAGAATCGAATCCAATCACATCCCCTGAGCCAAGACCCAGTCCACCTCTGCTCCTCCGCCCTATCACGAGCCACAACACCCTCACCAGTACCAGTACCAGCAGTGCCAGCAGCAGCAGCACCAGCAGCAGCAGAAGCAGCAGCAGCACCAGCAGTGGCACCAGGAGCCGTAATGCCTACAGCAGCATCAGTGGAAGGAGCTGCTCCTTCCCCTGCTGCTCCTGCTGCTGCCGCCGACCCTCCTGCCTCTGCTCTATCTCCTGCTACACCCACTCGAGCCTGCTGCTGCTGCTGCTGCTGCTGCTGTTCCTGCTGCTGCTGCGTCAGGCTGACCCATCACACCCGCTCTTCCCTTCTCTACTTCACTACGGCTGTTAATCCCACTCCCAGTGCCTCCATCCCTCTCTGCTGCTTCGGTGGTACCATCCGCAGCGGCAGACGGAGCAGCAGCTGCCATGGCACCAGCAGCAGCAGCGCCAGCAGCAGCAGCAGCAGCAGTGGCAGCAGCAGTGGCAGCAGCACTACCCGCAGCAGAGGCAGCAGCACTACCCGCAGCAGCATCAGCCCTAACGACTGCATCAGATTCTACTGCCTCTGCTGGTGCAGCCCGCACTGCAGGCACTGCAGCGGCCCCATCCAATGCCCATGGCTCTGCCCTGCTGCCTGCTGCGCCTCCCAATGGGCTGGGAAGCTCACCGTACGGTTGATGGGAAACACCGGCATCTGAAAGTGAGGAGGGAAGGAAGAGGAAAAAAGAGGAAAGAAGGGGGTAACAAGGCAGCAATTTGACACTCCCATCAAAGGCAATGCAATTCTCATGGAGGCAGGCTGGACTGGACTGGACTGGACTGAACGTGAGTAAGAAGCTTGCATAAAAGATGTGATAGCAAAAAAAAAAACCAGCACTCAGTCCAGCAACAAAACAGGGAACAGAGGAAGAGGGAAAGGTGGCAGCTTGGCAGGATTCTCTGCTCGTGTATCACAATTCAGCAGCTCGGGAGAGAGGTAAGCGGTGACTTAGATTGAATGAACACAAAACTTACCAGTGACAGTGACAGCTTCCGACACGATTCCCAGTTCCTTCTCTAACTGCTCCTCCACCAGTGTTGCTGCTGCACTCAGCAGCTCTGCAGAGAGAAGGGAGCACGCAGGGAAATGCGGTGAGTTCTTCATGCTGATTGTTGCAGAAATCAGCAGAGAAGGTAGAAGGGCAAACGCCAGATGAAGCACCTTGAGGCAACATGGATCAGCAAAATAGGAGCACTACGCAGCACAAAGAGGAGACACGGTGCAGCATACAGCTTTCGCTTCGCAACAATCACGAAGATAAGAAAAGGACCCAAAGGTTTGCCCAGCAAGGCTGCAACCGCCAAAGACACAGCGGAATGACTGCGTTCCTCCTCATGAGAATCGTCCATGAGAAGGAAGAGCGCAGCGGAAAACACAGCAAACTGACTGCAACAAGCTCACAGAGATCACCATTGCTTTCCCTCTCCGCCACCAGGTATTTCTTTTCGAAAGTCATAAAGCAACTTTTTAAATGGGAGAAAAAGTTACTACAAGGGGCTCATAAAAAAAGAGAGTGAAAAGAGGTGGTTTGAGAGAGGGGGGAGGAGGGGGGGGGGGGCTTACCGAAAATGATGTCCTTTTCCTTCCCAGCCACCAGCACCACGCCTTGCATCAAACGCTCCACCCTCTCATCTACACTCTGCATCCCCACACCTGCCACCTCAGCATCAGCCCCAACTGTAGCTCCTGCCACAACAGCACCTGCCACCTCAGCAACAGTAGCCACCTCACCAGCATCATCAGCAGCATCAGCAGCAGCAACTGAGCCCACTGCATCATCCCTCTCCTCCTCCCTACACGCCACCTCGTCTCCCCCAACATCATCAGCACACCCAGGAGCAGCAGCAACTGAAGCACGAGCTTCAGCAGCATCCCTCCTCGCCCCATCTTCTTCCACCCCATGCCTTCCTTTCACCGAACCTTCTGCCTGCTTCTCCTCCTCCTCCTCTTCCCTCCCTTTCCCTATACCTTCACCCAGCTGTGCTTTCCCCTCTGATTGTTCAATGCCCCCAGCCTCACAATCCCGCGCCTCACGCTCCCGAGCCTCAACCTCCCGAGCCTCGTCCCTCCTAGCCTCACACTTCCTCGACTCATGCCTCTGCTCCTGTTGGGTTTCTCGCTCCCTGCAATCGTCTCTACAAGGATCTATACTCCTTCCAGACCCCTTTTCCCCTCCCTCCGCACCTTCGGCATGCAAGTCCACCCCTGCTGTACCCCCCTCTCCCTGCGCCACAGCCCCTCTGGTATCAGCCTGCTGCTCCCCTCCCTTATCCTCACCAACATCTCGCTCCCCTGCATCTCTACCCACTACACCCTCGCCTTCACCTCTCGCAGCACCATCCTCGCCCCCTTCACTGGTCATTTTTCCTTCTCCTGAGCCGTTTTCCACGACTGCCTGACCCTGCTCTGTACTCGATTGCTCCTTAGCCGCATTGGGAGGCCACCACGGCCCATCCATACCTCCCACTTCTCCAAACCCGCCAAACGGACGGGAGAACGAGGGGCAGAACTGCAACGAATCCCTATCCACAAGCGCAGGGTCGGCAGCAGCAGGCTCAGCAGCGGCAGCAGCCTCGAGAGCCCGCGCCTCCAACTTGGGAGCCGTGGCAGCTGGAACGGTGACAGGCTCGGAAGCACTTTCAGGTTTGGGAATGGCGGCCCAATGTACGGCAACAGGCTCGGAGGCCGCACTGCCAGAAGCAAGCCTGGGAGGCAATTTGGGTGGACTACCACCTGAAGAATCACCTGGAGGTCGACTCGATGGCACTGGTGATGATTCACATGGTACGCTTGAACTGTCTGGGATCACCTTCTCACAACCAACCGTTTCCCTACCTACTGCCTCACTAGTCTTCTCCCTAGCCCTCGTTTCACTAAGCGTTTCCCTACCTACCGTCCCACTAGCACCCGTTTCCCTAGCACCCGCGTCACTACCAGTCGCCGTTTCCCTAACTAACGCCTCTCCAGCGATGTTCTCCACAGCTACCTTCTCACCAGTCCCACCTGGTAATTTCAGTGTCAGCTCTAAAGTAGTCTTCCCACCGCCAGCTTCCCGCTCATCCACATGCTGCTTAAGCACAGGACCACGCTCCACCTTCTCACCAGTCGCTGCTGCTAGGTCTCCCACTGAAAGCGGCACCTTCTCACTGGTCGTTGTTGCAGGTTTTCCCACTGTGTCCGCGCCCTCCTTCCTATGTTGCGACGCCCCCAATTCGTCCTTCAAGCTCCCTGCTTTCGCTCCCTGCGGCCTTTCAGCCTCTACTTTGCTACTCACCCGCTCCTTGTCTAAGTCCGAATCTGTTACAGCAGCGGCTGAACTGGCTTCTCTACCTTTCCCTTTCTCCCGCACTTTCGCTCGCTCCTTCACCCTCTCTCGCTCCTTCTCCTTCTCCCGACCCTTCTCCTTCTCCTTTTCCTTCTCCTTCTCCTTCTCCTTTTCCTTCTCCTTCTCCTTCTCCTTCTCCTTCTCCTTCTCCTTCTCCTTCTCCTTCTCCTTCTCCTTCTCCTTCTCCTTCTCCTTCTCCTTCTCCTTCTCCTTCTCCTTCTCCTTCTCCTTCTCCTTCTCCTCTTTTTCTTTCCCCTTCTCCCTATCCTTCCCCTTCTCCCTATCTTTCTCCTTCTCCCTATCTTTATCCTTCACCCTGTCCTTCTCTTTATCCACCTCCTTTGTCCTCCTCTCGCCCTCCCTCGCCTTTCCCCTTCCTTTTTCTTTCTCCTTCCTCGCCTCACTGCCATGCTCGCTCAACCCAGGAACACCACCTAGAGGACTTTTCAAAACACGTCTCTTAGGCGACATAGACAATGGCATCTCTCTTCCTTCTACTCGCTTTTCTATGGACCCTTCTAAGCATCCCTCTTCCACATCTTCCCCCTCTTCCCTCTCATCCACCCCCACTTCCCCTTCATCCGCTTGATCCCCTCCCTCCCTTACCTCACCCTTCTCAACCTCTTCTCTCTGCCCCTCCACCCCTCTCCTCCCCCATCCTCTCCTTCCTTCTCCCTCTACACCCTCCCACTCCTCATACCCGTTATAAGCTCTTCCTTCCCGCCCCTCCCGCTCGTCTAGCGCCATTTCCCCCCTCCGGAGCCGCGACCAGCCCTCCCCAGGGTCCTCACCTCCCCCATAGTTCCCCCGCTCTCCCCGCCTACCAAAAAATTCCCCGCGCCCTTCCCCCCGAACATCCCCGCGCCCTTCCCTGTCCGCGCCAGCGCCCCAGCCGGGCCCGCCACCAGCGCCGCCCGCGCCCGAATCCAGCGCGCCATGCCACAAACCCGAGCTCTCCCCGCCCCACCCATCCCCCCACCCTAGCGGAACAAAATCCTCCGCCCATGCGCCACCAGAATGCGGAAATCCCCCGCCGCGCCCATGCCCCAGCCTCACATCATACACACCCGCAAATTCCCCCATCCCTCCGCCATCCACGTCCCTGCGCTCTCTGCTGCGCGACTGCCTGAATTCGCCGCTTCCTCCCTCCAGCGCGGGCAACGGCCCAGGGGGAAGGCCTCCCGCTAGCCTCCCCCCACGGGGAAATTGCCCGCCATTGCACCGCTCGTCGCCCCCCCTCCCTGCTCTCTCCCCCGCCTCCTCGTCGCGAATTTCCCCAGCCTCCATTCTTGACCTAGCGAAACCCCTCTCAGCCTCCTCTAACCATCCTGGACCGCGCCTGTCGTCCCGTTCCCCCGCATCCGCGCCATAGTCCCCCCTTCCGGATATATCCCGCCGCGCGGGTCGCCACGCGTCATCCCTAGGAGGAGGCCCGCGCCAACCAGCAGGGCCCCTGGGGTACAGCCTACGTGGATCGTCGTCCATTCCCGGAATTCGCGGCCACCGGGGCATGGCTCCGCCAGGGAAACGCGGATCGAAGGGGCGATGAAGGTCGGGGTGGGGGAAATTGGGCCCCATGGGGTGCGGCGGTGGCGGACCCATGGGGAGGTCGCGCCCGCACTTGGCCTCTGTATGCCCAAAGTGCCCGCACGCGGCGCAGAGGGCGCGCGCGTTGCGGTCGCCTACCGCGGCGGCGTGCGCGGCTGGGGGCAAACTGCGGGGTAACCCGCCGCCGGCACCGCCCCTGCCGCCGAAATTGGGCCAGACGCAGTTTCGGGAGAAGTGGCCGAAGCCACCACAGCGAAAGCATTGAACCCGCGAAGAATCTGCCATATTTCCGCGATTTTTGTTAAGAAAGTAGTCGAACTAAGGTGCAGTCACTGTAGCACGGTCTTATTCTAGGAGTGGAGACGAACGAAGGAAAATTCGTTTCGCGAATTCATGGCGTTTCGACGCGCCGTCTGCACAGAAGAAAAATTTGAGGAGAAAAACACACGCGAGGTACCTACGAGTTAAAACATTATAATAACCTAATTAGTCAAGTCTCAAACCTCCAAACACAAGGAACTCTCAAAACGTTGCTGCGTGACGCGAACAGCAATCAAAGCTTGCTCAAACGAATAGAGATCGTCGAAAAGTAAAATACAGCGAAAAAAAAGTGCAACTCTCTCAACGCTGATCAGACGCCGGATGAGCGGCTCCACGAAAACTAGTACGAACCCGCGACGCGCGACGAGCATCGCAAATCGCAACTTTCAATAAAATAAGGGCACTGACGTGCATGGCGAGGTCCACCAGGAGATCGTATCGCACGCGCACCGTACTCCGAACGAACTCTCCTCGTTGCAAATCAAGCACCGACACAGAGGAACGACGCCTACTGGACGAGAATCAACGAATGGGTCCTGACTCAAACAAAGCGGCCACAGACAACTTCACGACGTTAGGGTTAGTAAGAAAAACAAATGCTCAGATTATCGAAGTAAGTGGCGGCATCTCTAACGGGCTCCTTCACACAAGGAGGCAATCTTCGCCGTTCGCCTGGCCAGACACAAATTTTCGTCCTTCGGAAGAAAGAAGCTGCAAGGAACAGAGAGCACTAGCCCCGAGGATTTACTACTCCACCGCACAGCTGCGATATCCCTTCGTTAGCTTGTTCGGAACGACCAGCCACTGCTGCCGGCTCTACGTTCTGTGGAAACGAGAAAGAGGAGGCGGCAACAGAAACGAAAAGCAGCAAAATGAGCGAACGTGTGAACGGGGGTCCAAAATGTGATCTCGAGATAGTGTTGAAGGGGAGAGGAGTGAAAGGGGTGTGATATTTTAGGAGGCGGCACCTAAAGCACCGATCCTGCGATCGATCCTGCGCAGGATCGAAATTTTGAGGAGTTAAAAATGGTATTGGAACTTGTTAGTGCTTTCAGCAGGGTTTCAGTGCGGTGGAATCAGCGATCCTGCGATCGATCGTGCAAAATTGCTAGAGGTGCCGCGTCCTTAGATACAGCGAGTTGAGATGGAGAGTTGTGGGGGGAGAACCTCGAAGTTGGGGTTCAAAGGGTCTGCGCGGGAAATTGATTTCAAGGTTCCAGCCAGTCGCCGTAGATCCGACGTTTCCGGGGTGGTGAAGATGGTGAAAGATCGGACGGTCATTACCCACAAAGGCCGTCTTTGGACCAATCGTCTGACGTCAAATTTCCAGGGAGGTTTTCATTTATTTTCTGAACAATGAAAATTCGGCCCAGTGAACGCAAAAATGACACAGAAACCCCAGTGTAACCGATTTCACGCCATCCAAATGAGCACAATTCACGATTCACGACTTACAGATTAGCCCGAAACATTTAGGTCCAATTCAGTTGCCCCACAAAAGGGAAGGGGAAGGGCAAAAGACGTGGAAGGGCAACCACTCTGATGTTCTTTATTAGATGCCGCGCTATTCTGTCGCAAGGCACTATGTTTGAAGGACGTCACCAGCAGCAAGGACGATGCGTGACAGCATACATATATTGTATTTCGTTCTGTTCTAAGGCGGCAGTCCCGTCATAAAATTTGCCCTCCATTCCTGCTTCCTCGTTCGACAACCTTTGCCCGTCGCCGTGCCATTCGTTTCCTAGCGTGTGTCTCAATGTGCTGCATAAAATACGCGAATAGCAACTCCACAGTTCAGCGGTTCGACGCGCCTCTGAACGCTCTGTAAAAGCGCCGGAAGCACTTGAGAACGCGTGCCTGAACGTTGCCGTTGGCTAGCTGCTGTGATTTTCTGCTGTTATTTGCTTCACTCTGTACCCGTTATAAGCTGCTCCAAAATCGTTTCTGAGAGGGTAACGAGGTCGTGTGCGATGAGCGGCGATGTCAGCAGCGGTATTCCCTGGGACGGCGTGCTCGCCTGCGCCAGCGGCCTCGCCTTTCATTGGCTGAGCTCGCGAAGCGGAAAGTGAGACGGTCCATAGCAGCATGGCCCATCCCATGCATAATTCTTCGTGTTTCTGTTATTTTCACAGTCTATGGTCGCACAGTCTCGGGTCGCACAACCTATTGTCGCACAGTCTAGTGAGGTCTTATTGAATATGGTCGCACAGTCTAGTGAGGTCTTATTGTCTATGGTCGCACAGTCTAGGGTCGCAGAGTCCAGGGTCGCACAATCCAGGTTCGCACAATAAGGCCGTACAATCTATCGTCGCAGAGTCTAGTGTCAGAAGCTTTATCTTGTTGTTTGCTTAACAGTTGCATGAGTCCACCCTGTGTGCCATATGCTTCCACCTTAGCACACATGGAATCCCTGCCTGTAAGTGTCTGTTGTGGATCGCCATATCGGGTCACGTTATAACATGTACACATGTTGACTCCCTTTTTTTGGCTTCCTACTTGACCCTTGTATAAGCATCCCCTTTTTGTGATTTTATGCAGGGAAGCCACGTCACTCAAGGCAGTCCCAAGGGTGCCCAGGCTGAGAGAGCTCGGTAAGCAAGCTCCCTTGCTCGGTAAGCAAGCTCCCTTGCTTGTTTAGAAACTTCATTAAGTGTAACTACAGTTAACTAGGACCTGACGCGGTGCATTGAGTTGGTGAGTCGCGCAGTGAGTTCTTATCCCCCCACCTTGCCCTGTTCTCGATTTTTAGGCGCCTCGGAAATAGTTCCCTCCTCGTTGCAGTGTTTTCGTTTCACATTACCCCGTCACTGCATTTGCCCTCACTGTCTCTGCTGTTCGCGCTGCTGTCTATGTTCCTGTCAACTCAAACATCGGTTATATTATATGCTCCTTCCTTTTTCCGTGCCTTGTTTGTGCGTGTGCGTGCCTATACTATACTTCACTGTCCCTACTCTGCTATTCGCGTTATCTGAGGGTTTCCAGGAAGAATGTTGCAGGGCACTAAGGGGTATTCCCCTCTGATCGTTGCAGTCACGATTTTTTAGGCCCCTCACAAGCTGTTTGCCACTGCATTATCTGTCCTGTCTCTTTTCAGGAAGAATGTTGCAGGGCACTAAGGGGTATTCCCCTCTGATCGTTGCAGTCACGGGCAAAGTGGGCAGCGACCAGCCAATCACGTGCGAGAACAGTAGCCTACGTGGCGTCATCGTGGACCAGACTGTGAGTGAGCATCCACGTCAGCATACAGTTCATGCACTAAGTGGGCCACGTCAGCATACTGTTCATGCTTTGAAACGCCGTTCCATTTCAATCCCCCAGTCTCTTTCCCACTTCTCCTCATCATTTCTCCCCATCTCTTCCCCCATCGCTTAACTCCATCCCTCTCTTGCATAAGACATTTACCCATGTCCTTCTTCCCTTTCTCTCCCTTCCCTCCCCCCTCCCACGAGCAGGCGGAGCAATTCTTTCTAAAGCACAACGATGCAGGGGCATGGGTGCAGGATTCAGCGTTTCTTGTCCGGAATCTTAAGTCTGTGCCCTGGTACATTGTGAGTCAACGCTGGTACATTGTGAGTCAACTCTGGTCAACGCTGGTCGTGGCTGAGGGACCACTTAAGTACATTCTAAGTTACTTCAAGTCAACTCTAATCAAGGTTGTTACGTTGTGTGTCAATGCAATTCAGCTCTGGTTAGGTGTTACTTTTCTTTGATAAATGTAACGGTTCGTATTTATAAAGGATAGTACACTGTGAATCGACGGTTGTGAGTCAATCTCAAGGACCCCGTGGTTTGCCTTCCCGAACCACCACAGGACGATGGCACGGGCCGAGCCAACGTGGTGGGGGCACGTTCGGCAGCAGGTTTGGAGCTGACGGTGGGCACGGAGGTCTTCGATGACAGTGGCAAGTCGGTGGTGCGCAGCACTGTGGACTACCTGCAGGTGGGTTGGGAGTGCGGGAGTGTGGGCGATTGTGCTGGGAGTGCGGGAGCGTGGGCGATTGTGCTGGGAGTGCAGGCGTGCAGTGGGCTGCAGCGAGCAATGGTTGATGGGGGCTGTAGGGCTGGTGGGGAAGTTGGCACAGCAGGCTTGGAGCTGACGGTGGGCATGGAGGTGTTTGATGACAGTGGCAAGTCGGTTGTGCGCAGCACTGTGGACTACCTGCAGGTGGGTGGGAAGCGGTTGGATTGGGTTCTGAGAGCCTGAGAGTGAGGGCAGGCGGGCAGTAGACTGTAACAAGCACAGCAGGCTTGGAGCTTACAGTGGGCATGGATGTGTTTGATGACAGTGGCAAGTCGGTTGTGCGCAGCACCTTATTTGCGGAAGACGCGTCTAACGTCTTAGACACTGGCGTCTAGACGCTGCGTCTAAGACGCTAGACGCAAGTATAGGCCAGATTAGGCGCAGGATTAGACGTAAGCCCGGGCAGGCCAAAAAAGTACGGGCCGCCAAAAAACCTTCTATGGGGCATGGGGAGGGGGGGGATATGGACGTATATAACATTTGTGGGCTGTTTTTCAAGGTCGAAATGGGTGGGAGGGGGTCTGTTTTTTTTTCAGGCTGCCCAAAAAAAATTACCCCATGCGTCTAGCGTCTAAGGGTGCGTCTAGCGTCTAGCGTCTAGACGCTAGACGCAGGACGGTCCCTGCGTCTTCCGCAACTAAGCGCAGCACTGTGGATTACCTGCAGGTGGGTGGGAAGGAGTGCGCCTGGGTTGGATTGGGTGGGAAGGGGTTGGTAGGGGGTGGAATGGGGCGCATGACAGTTGCAAGTCAGGGGTGCGCGGCTTTGTCGACTACCTGCAGGTGGGTGGGTGGGTGGGTGGGAAGCGGTTGCGGTGTGCCAAGTCGGTTGTTTGCAGATCTGTGGACTATTTGCAGGTGAGCGAGAAGGGGGAAGGGTTGGGTTGGAGGTGAGTTGTGCAGGGTTGGTTGGGGTGAGTTGGGGGGTTGGGTTGGGTTGTGCAGGGATTGGGATGGGTGACAGTGGCAAGTCGGTTCGTTTGTGCGTAGCAGAGTGGCGTCCTATTTGCGGTGCAGGTGGGTGGGTGACTGGTTGTGTGGTTGGGCACAAGCGCAATGGGAAAAATGGGCTTGATGCCTCCTTTTGAGGCGCCTCAATGGGAACAATGGGCTTGATGCCTCCTTTTGAGGCGCCTCAATGGGAACAATGGGCTTGATGCCTCCTTTTGAGGCGCCTCAATGGGAACAATGGGCTTGATGCCTCCTTTTGAGGCGCCTCAATGGGAACGATGGGCTTGATGCCTCCTTTTGAGGCGCCTCAATGGGAACGATGGGCTTGATGCCTCCTTTTGAGGCGCCTCAATGGGAACAATGGGCTTGATGCCTCCTTTTGAGGCGCCTCAATGGGAACAATGGGCTTGATGCCTCCTTTTGAGGCGCCTCAATGGGAACGATGGGCTTGATGCCTCCTTTTGAGGCGCCTCAATGGGAACGATGGGCTTGATGCCTCCTTTTGAGGCGCCTCAATGGGAACGATGGGCTTGATGCCTCCTTTTGAGGCGCCTCAATGGGAACGATGGGCTTGATGCCTCCTTTTGAGGCGCCTCAATGGGAACGATGGGCTTGATGCCTCCTTTTGAGGCGCCTCAATGGGAACGATGGGCTTGATGCCTCCTTTTGAGGCGCCTCAATGGGAACGATGGGCTTGATGCCTCCTTTTGAGGCGCCTCAATGGGAACGATGGGCTTGATGCCTCCTTTTGAGGCGCCTCAATGGGAACGATGGGCTTGATGCCTCCTTTTGAGGCGCCTCAATGGGAACGATGGGCTTGATGCCTCCTTTTGAGGCGCCTCAATGGGAACGATGGGCTTGATGCCTCCTTTTGAGGCGCCTCAATGGGAACGATGGGCTTGATGCCTCCTTTTGAGGCGCCTCAATGGGAACGATGGGCTTGATGCCTCCTTTTGAGGCGCCTCAATGGGAACGATGGGCTTGATGCCTCCTTTTGAGGCGCCTCAATGGGAACGATGGGCTTGATGCCTCCTTTTGAGGCGCCTCAATGGGAACGATGGGCTTGATGCCTCCTTTTGAGGCGCCTCAATGGGAACGATGGGCTTGACGCCTCCTTTTGAGGCGCCTCAATGGGAACGATGGGCTTGATGCCTCCTTTTGAGGCGCCTCAATGGGAACGATGGGCTTGATGCCTCCTTTTGAGGCGCCTCAATGGGAACGATGGGCTTGATGCCTCCTTTTGAGGCGCCTCAATGGGAACGATGGGCTTGATGCCTCCTTCTGAGGCGCCTCAATGGGAACGATGGGCTTGATGCCTCCTTTTGAGGCGCCTCAATGGGAACGATGGGCTTGATGCCTCCTTTTGAGGCGCCTCAATGGGAACGATGGGCTTGATGCCTCCTTTTGAGGCGCCTCAATGGGAACGATGGGCTTGATGCCTCCTTTTGAGGCGCCTCAATGGGAACGATGGGCTTGATGCCTCCTTTTGAGGCGCCTCAATGGGAACGATGGGCTTGATGCCTCCTTTTGAGGCGCCTCAATGGGAACGATGGGCTTGATGCCTCCTTTTGAGGCGCCTCAATGGGAACGATGGGCTTGATGCCTCCTTTTGAGGCGCCTCAATGGGAACGATGGGCTTGATGCCTCCTTTTGAGGCGCCTCAATGGGAACGATGGGCTTGATGCCTCCTTTTGAGGCGCCTCAATGGGAACGATGGGCTTGATGCCTCCTTTTGAGGCGCCTCAATGGGAACGATGGGCTTGATGCCTCCTTTTGAGGCGCCTCAATGGGAACGATGGGCTTGATGCCTCCTTTTGAGGCGCCTCAATGGGAACGATGGGCTTGATGCCTCCTTTTGAGGCGCCTCAATGGGAACGATGGGCTTGATGCCTCCTTTTGAGGCGCCTCAATGGGAACGATGGGCTTGATGCCTCCTTTTGAGGCGCCTCAATGGGAACGATGGGCTTGATGCCTCCTTTTGAGGCGCCTCAATGGGAACGATGGGCTTGATGCCTCCTTTTGAGGCGCCTCAATGGGAACGATGGGCTTGATGCCTCCTTTTGAGGCGCCTCAATGGGAACGATGGGCTTGATGCCTCCTTTTGAGGCGCCTCAATGGGAACGATGGGCTTGATGCCTCCTTTTGAGGCGCCTCAATGGGAACGATGGGCTTGATGCCTCCTTTTGAGGCGCCTCAATGGGAACGATGGGCTTGATGCCTCCTTTTGAGGCGCCTCAATGGGAACAATGGGCTTGATGCCTCCTTTTGAGGCGCCTCAATGGGAACGATGGGCTTGATGCCTCCTTTTGAGGCGCCTCAATGGGAACGATGGGCTTGATGCCTCCTTTTGAGGCGCCTCAATGGGAACGATGGGCTTGATGCCTCCTTTTGAGGCGCCTCAATGGGAACGATGGGCTTGATGCCTCCTTTTGAGGCGCCTCAATGGGAACGATGGGCTTGATGCCTCCTTTTGAGGCGCCTCAATGGGAACGATGGGCTTGATGCCTCCTTTTGAGGCGCCTCAATGGGAACGATGGGCTTGATGCCTCCTTTTGAGGCGCCTCAATGGGAACGATGGGCTTGATGCCTCCTTTTGAGGCGCCTCAATGGGAACGATGGGCTTGATGCCTCCTTTTGAGGCGCCTCAATGGGAACGATGGGCTTGATGCCTCCTTTTGAGGCGCCTCAATGGGAACGATGGGCTTGATGCCTCCTTTTGAGGCGCCTCAATGGGAACGATGGGCTTGATGCCTCCTTTTGAGGCGCCTCAATGGGAACGATGGGCTTGATGCCTCCTTTTGAGGCGCCTCAATGGGAACGATGGGCTTGATGCCTCCTTTTGAGGCGCCTCAATGGGAACGATGGGCTTGATGCCTCCTTTTGAGGCGCCTCAATGGGAACGATGGGCTTGATGCCTCCTTTTGAGGCGCCTCAATGGGAACGATGGGCTTGATGCCTCCTTTTGAGGCGCCTCAATGGGAACGATGGGCTTGATGCCTCCTTTTGAGGCGCCTCATGGGAACGATGGGCTTGATGCCTCCTTTTGAGGCGCCTCAATGGGAACGATGGGCTTGATGCCTCCTTTTGAGGCGCCTCAATGGGAACGATGGGCTTGATGCCTCCTTTTGAGGCGCCTCAATGGGAACATGGGCTTGATGCCTCCTTTTGAGGCGCCTCAATGGGAACGATGGGCTTGATGCCTCCTTTTGAGGCGCCTCAATGGGAACGATGGGCTTGATGCCTCCTTTTGAGGCGCCTCAATGGGAACGATGGGCTTGATGCCTCCTTTTGAGGCGCCTCAATGGGAACGATGGGCTTGATGCCTCCTTTTGAGGCGCCTCAATGGGAACGATGGGCTTGATGCCTCCTTTTGAGGCGCCTCAATGGGAACGATGGGCTTGATGCCTCCTTTTGAGGCGCCTCAATGGGAACGATGGGCTTGATGCCTCCTTTTGAGGCGCCTCAATGGGAACGATGGGCTTGATGCCTCCTTTTGAGGCGCCTCAATGGGAACGATGGGCTTGATGCCTCCTTTTGAGGCGCCTCAATGGGAACGATGGGCTTGATGCCTCCTTTTGAGGCGCCTCAATGGGAACGATGGGCTTGATGCCTCCTTTTGAGGCGCCTCAATGGGAACGATGGGCTTGATGCCTCCTTTTGAGGCGCCTCAATGGGAACGATGGGCTTGATGCCTCCTTTTGAGGCGCCTCAATGGGAACGATGGGCTTGATGCCTCCTTTTGAGGCGCCTCAATGGGAACGATGGGCTTGATGCCTCCTTTTGAGGCGCCTCAATGGGAACGATGGGCTTGATGCCTCCTTTTGAGGCGCCTCAATGGGAACGATGGGCTTGATGCCTCCTTTTGAGGCGCCTCAATGGGAACGATGGGCTTGATGCCTCCTTTTGAGGCGCCTCAATGGGAACGATGGGCTTGATGCCTCCTTTTGAGGCGCCTCAATGGGAACGATGGGCTTGATGCCTCCTTTTGAGGCGCCTCAATGGGAACGATGGGCTTGATGCCTCCTTTTGAGGCGCCTCAATGGGAACGATGGGCTTGATGCCTCCTTTTGAGGCGCCTCAATGGGAACGATGGGCTTGATGCCTCCTTTTGAGGCGCCTCAATGGGAACGATGGGCTTGATGCCTCCTTTTGAGGCGCCTCAATGGGAACGATGGGCTTGATGCCTCCTTTTGAGGCGCCTCAATGGGAACGATGGGCTTGATGCCTCCTTTT